GGGGGGGGGGGGGGGGGGGGGGGGGGGGGTCATCGGGTGCCTGTGTGGTCGTCGTGGCGTGTTTGGGGGAGTAGTGCGTGACTGTTTGCTGTGCCTTTGTTTCGGGGTCTTGCTGTGTTTTGGGGTCCGTGTTGTTTTGAGATGGGGGCGCGGTGCTATGTAGTTTCTTGGGGTCCATGCTTTGTCTCAGGTGTGGTTTTGTGTCGCGGGGTCACGCGGTGCCCGCGGGGCCGCCCTGGGTTTGTGGGTCATGCGGTGGCGGGGGGGGGGTCGGTCGTGGGGTACTTCGAGGGGGTCGCGGTGCCTCTTGGGGTCATGCTGTGTCTGGGGGGTCAGCCTGCGCCGGAGGGCTGCTTTGTGTTATCGGGGCCGCCCGTGATTTGCTTGGGAAGCCAGGAGGATGATGATGATGATGATGATGATGATGATGATGATGCAAACCTAGCAACCGGGTGGGGCGGGGTGCCATCTCATCCCTGCCACCGTTTTACCTAAGAGAGTCGCCCTTTTTAAGACAAAAGAGGCTGCCCCTACTCGACCCCGCAGAGAGAGGCTAGGCCCGCGCCTGCCACCTCTCCGGGGGACCCCAAGGAGGCGAGGGGAGCTCGCTGCGCTTGCTCCTACCCTCCTGCACTGCCTCGCTCTCCCTTCGTCAGGGGGTCTCCCCTTAAGCGGTCCCTTAATTTCGGCCCTTTTTTTTGCTCGGGAAGTCATGCTGTGCTTGGGGGCGGGGTCATGCGGTGCACTTGGGGCCATGCGGTGTTTTGGGGGTCGCAGTGTGTGCGGGGCGGGGGGGTCGTCCCGTCTTAGTTTTGGTGGCCGTGCTGTGTTTGGGGGGTCGCGTTGTGCTTGGGGTGGCATTTTGTGCCGGAGAACGAAGTGCGCGCGGCGTTTGGTAGGCCGTGCTGTGTTCTTGGGTGGTGCTGTGTTCAGGGGCCAAGCCGTGTCTGGGGGGTCGTGGGGTGTTTTCTTTGGGGGCCGTGGTGGGGTGGACAGTTCCACCCAGCGCACTGCGCGAAAGAACAGGCCCGCGGGTGGCTTTGGTTGAGAATGCGGGCAGCTCGGACCAGGCAAGCCTGAGCGGCCAAAGCTGCCAAACCGTCTGGGCACGCTGGCCGGGGCCAGCCATGACAAGCAGAACGCGTGGCCCTGGGCAAGCTCGTCCGCCGAGTGCCCCGCTGCGGCATTGGCAAAGCCCCCGCGTGTGCACGTTCGCCCGGCCCGTCTCATAGGCGTGCCGCATTCCGATTATGCGCACAGGGGCGCTCTGGGTCTGGATAGCGTGGGCCGCTTCGGTCTCTGCTCCATCCTCGTCATGTGCTCGACGACGGCCGCCAGGGGGCGGCCGTCCTGTGCTCGTGCCTTGCCTTTGCGATTCAGCCGCCTTTCTTTGCTTTCAAGTCATTAGTTTCCATTTTTTGCCAATGCTACTATCAAAGAGGGGCCGCCCAAGGGGCGGCCCCGGTTTCTTGTACAAAATAATATAAGTAAGCCATGAAGACTGAAGCGAGGAGCCTTAAAGACATCGGCGTCAGGTCCTGCGCCCTGCCTGACCCAATGAGCAGTCCCCGCCCCAATGTCCGTCTGGGGATCCATCTCCCTACGATCGCTGACTCCAGCAGCTGGCTCTCCATCGTCACTTTCATCCTGATCTCGTTCTCGAAGGGCGAGTAAATATTTAGAGGACTGACGTAGCTTCGATCAAAAGTGTTAGTCACATAACCAAAGGATCATGATGAAAAAAGAACGCTAAAGGCGAGTGGCGTTGTTGTTACTGTTGATGGCGCCCCCTTGTTTATTGCCGCTGGTGTAGCTGCTGTTTCTTCCTGTCTTCTTCCCTTTCGACATTCTAGAAAAACAAAAGGAGGCGCAGGATGGAGACAGAGTGAAGACTTGACCAACGAATTACCAAAGACCATCCTGATTTCTCGCGTCGCTTGTTTCCCTGGGGCCATACCTTCTTCAGCTTCCTCCAGGCCTCTCTGCTCTCCATCTTCTGATAAATCGTCAAAGAGGCTACGAGAGTCAGCCTCTGTCACACGACTTCGAATCGAAACCACAGATCTAGCCGGCCACTCCACAAGGGTTCTATCATCGGCCCCCGTCCGCAATAAGCCGCCGACTGTGCTTCAAAAATTAGATGGGCAAGACTTCTACGAAAATAAGCTTCGCACGATCTTCATCTCAATAATGCACAGATAAGCAAGGTCGTCGTGCTCAGCGAGCAGCCCTTACAGCAACTACGAAAGAAAATGCGCAACCACAAGAACGCATGGGAGAAACAAATGAGAGAACGCTACGAGTTGCTGCAATCAAAGAAATCCATAATCATACCATATTCCAAGGTGAGAAAGGAGTTACAGAAAATATAGGAAGAGAAACAGAAGGGCTAGGGTACTTCGTTACCCTTCTTTAAGGGGAAGCAGATCATGGCGAAGACAATTATACACAACTACACGCCCCAAGGCTCAAGCCCAAGGCCCACCAGGCGACGAGCATGGCCTCAGCCGTGAGACATAACCCTAGTGCATGAAAATCTTTTATGAGTTACCGAGGCCATAACCATTCGTCTGCAGGAGGTTACGAGGCTGCCAGCAGCACCCCTCAGCACCTTCGTGACCGTTGCCCAATTTTCTTGGACTGAATCGCACAGATTTTGTTAGAACTTGCGGGCTGGCAGCCGTTCCCGCTCAGTCAGTCATCTTCGTGAAAAAGGCCGCGCCCTTTCCAACCTATCGATGAACAGCTCTCACACCCGCACGACGCGCCTCACTCTCACACCCGCACGACGCGCCTCACACTCACTTCACACGACGCCCCCCACACCCGCAAGACGCCCGCCCGCGGCCCACACTCGGGACGCGAATCGCACTCACAAAACGCGGCCCGCACTTCCTTGCACGACGCGACTCACACTCACACGACGCGGCCCGCACTCACATGACGCGACTCACACTCACACGACGCGACTCATACCCGCAAAAAGCAACCCCCGCCCGCAAAGAAAGCGCGGCGCGCGCTCGCACTCACAAGACGCAAACCACACCCGCAAGACGCGACTCGCAAGACAGACGCGACCCGGAAGGCGCAGCCCGCTCGCACTCACAAGACGCGACCCGCGCGCGCGACGCGACTCGCAAGACGCAGCCCGCACTCGCGCTCGCACTCGCAAGACGCGGCGCGCGCTCACACTCGCAAGACACGACCCGCACCAGCACCCGCGAGACGCGGCTCCCACTCGCAAGGCGCGGCGCGCACTCGCAGGACGCGGCTCACGCTCGCAAGACGCGGCCCGCACTCACACGATGCGGCTCGCACTCACACCAAGGCGGGCGCGGCTCGCGTTCACACTCGCAAGACGCACGCCCGCGGCCCACACTCGCCAAGCGCGACTCGCACGACACGGCCCGCACTCGCAAGACGCCCGCGGCCCGCACTCGCAAGACGCGACTCGCACTCGCAAGACGCGACTCGCACTCGCAAGACGCGACTCGCACTCGCAAGACGCGACTCGCACTCGCAAGACGCGACTCGCACTCGCAGGACGCGACTCGCACTCGCAAGACGCGGCTCGCAAGACACGGCGCACACTCGCAAGACACGACCCAGATTCACACGACACGCCTCGCACTCACACGACGCGGCTCGCACTCACAGGAGGCGGCTCGCGCTCACAAGACGCGGCCCGCACTCGCAAGACGCGGCCCGCACTTCCTTGCAAGACACAGCCAGCCCGCACCCGCACGGCGCGACGCACACTCGCAAGACGCGGCTCACACTCACAAGAAAAGACGCTGCCAGCCCTCAAACAGCAGGACGCCGCTCGCAACCGCAACCGCAAGACCGACGCGGCCCCCACTCGCATCGCAAGACTGACGCGGCTCACACTCGCAAGACCGACGCGGCCCGCACTCGCAAGACGCGGCGCGCACTCGCAAGACGCGGCGCGCACTCACACGACGCGACTCACGCGACGCGACTCACACGACGCGACTCACACGACGCGACCCGCGCGACGCGACTCGCACGACGCGACTCGCGCGACGCGATCGCACGACACGACTCACACGACGCGACTCACACGAAGACGCGACCCGCACGAAGACGCGACGCGCACGACACGACTCACACTCGCAAGACCTGGCTCACACTCACACCCCCCGGCTCGCACTCACATGACGCAGCTCGCACTCACTCACACGAAACGACTCGCACTCACTCACAAGACGTGACCCGCACCCGAAGGACGCGCCTCAAACTCGCAAAACGCGGCTCACACTCGCACGACGCGGACCGCACTCGCAAGGCGCGGCTCGCACTCGCAAGGCGCGGCTTGGACTCGACTCGCAGGACGCGGCTCGCACTCGCACTCGCACTCGCACTCGCACTCGCACTCGCACTCGCACTCGCACTCGCACGACGCGCCTCGCACTCGCAGCGCGAGGCCCGCACTCGCAAGGCGAGGCCCGCACCCACAAGACACGCCTCGCACTCACAGGACGCGGCTCACACTCGCAAGACCACGACGCGACTCGCTCGCACCCACAAGACGCGACTCTCTCACACTCGCAAGACACCCACGACACACACTCGCAAGGAGCGACCCACACGACGCGACTCGCGCTCACACGCAGGACGCGGCTCACACCCACAAGACGCGACTGGGCTCACTTGCAAGACGCGGCTGGGCTCACTCGCAAGAAACGACGGGGCTCACACTCGCAGGACGCGCCTCGCACTCGCAGGGCGCAACTCGCACCCAAAAAACGCAGCGCGCACCCACAAGACGCGGCTCCCACTCGCAAGACGATGCTCGCGCTCGCAAGACGCTGCCCACACTCGCAGGACGCGACTCACAAGGCGCACGCGTGCGCGCGCTCGCAAGCAGCGCCCCATAGTCACACACAGACACAGCAAACAACTCACGCCCACTTCGGCACGCCTTGGCCTCCCTGGCGGCCCCTTCCTTGCCCGGGACGAGTGGCGGCCTCGTATGGGCACCCTTTCCGGCCCCTCATTTCTTTGCGGCTGCCAGGCTTGTAACTGCTCGAAAGTTTTTAACTGCCTGGAAGTTGTGTGTTCATATCTTTGCATACCCGAACGGTGGAATACCGCAAAGAGAACACAAGACAGAAGGCACGAGGCGCACGCACTGAAAACACAAGCCGAGCACTGAATACCACACACGCCAGCCGGCCGCGCGCGCTGCGCATATGATGCGCACCCCCCGGGGAAGCGCATAGGCGATTGCGATGGCGATGATGCACACCCAGCGAACAGGCGGGGCAAGATGCCACCTCATGTCACCCCTGCAGCCCCTTCACCTGAGAAGGCTGCCCTGTTTAGAGTGAAAGGCTGTCCCCACTCGATCCCACCGAGAGCAGCTGGACGAACGTCCGCCACCCCTCTGAGAGACCCTCAAGGAGGCGAGCGGAGCCGCCTAGGCTCTCACCTTACGTACCCTCCTGCACTACCTCGCCCTCCCTCCGGGGTCTCCCCTTCTGCAGTCCCTTCACGTCAGCCGCCTGCTCGTCTCCTGCTGCTCTGTTGGTTCCCTCCTCGGTGGTCTACTCGCTGGCCCCGTTTCGTCTAGTCGTCCCCCCGCGGTGCTCCTTGTTCCTTTGGGGCCATTTCTCGCCCTTCTTGCCCCTTTTTCGCTCCCCTGCGGCGCGTTGTCCTCATCTCTTTCCCGCCCTCTTGTCACCCTCTTCCCCTTTTTTCCGTCCCTGGAGCCCTCGCGCATCTCCTCCCCCGGTCTCTTCTTCCCTTTCCCTTTCTCTCCCTTGGAGGTCTCTTCTTCCTCCCCTGGGATTCTTGAGCGGCTCTGCCGCCGGTCTCTTCTTCCCCTGTCCTCTCTGTCTTCTCCTATAACCCTCCTCGCCTCTGCGCTTTGCGCTTGGCTTCCTTGCGCTCCCTGTCCTCCTGCTCCTCTTTTCTCTGCCTGCTTTTCCTAAAGGTTTCGCCCCCCCCTCCTATCCTTTCACGCTCTTCACACCAGACCACGCGGCCAGGCTTTCCGACCACGGCCCGCCAAATGCCTCCCCCTTGTAGGCGCACGCCTTTGCCTCCGTCATTTGGTCCCAGCGCATCCGCCCCGCCCCTTGCTGATACATCTCCCGCCTTTTCTCGTCTTTCCTTTCCTCTTTTGGCCTGCTCCCGCCACTCCTGGCGCGCTTGGCCAGTCCCATGCTTAACCTGCCACCCAACGCAGCGGCGCATGCCCGGCTCCCCCCTGGTAGGTGCTTTTTCAATTACGCCGCCACCGCACGGCCTTCGCCTGTCCTCGTCTATGACCTCTCCCGGCCCGTCTGGTCATCGTGTTCCCCGTCTTCCACCGGCTTCGCAAGCTCTTCTGATTCGTCTTGCTTGCCCTGGAATTCTTGTATCCCGTTCCCGATACTGGGCCGCTTTTTCTTTTTCGGCGCCGCTCGCGCTCCTCCCTTGACTTCCTGCGGGCTCAGTTCTGTTCTGCCCCTTCCGGATTGGTTTCCTGGAGTCTCCCTTTCTGTTGCGGCCCGATGTCCGCACCTTTCGCGGCCAAGCTCCTTCCAGTTCTTTGCCGTCCTTACTCGGTGCGCAGACACTTAGCCCCTTGCGGCCTTTGAAGCCGTCCATCCTGGTCGCAATATTTGCACAAGGTCCAGGCCCTATCAGTCTGCGTCCTCTCCTCTTCTCGTGTTGTGTAGCACCCTCTTCGCCGCGTTCCAGTGGGTGCTCTTTCAACCGCGGGCGCCGTGTGATAAGGTGCCGCACTTCATCCGCCATGCCCCGCCGTTCCCCCAGCGTCTGCGCCCGCGGCTCCTCTTCTGGTTTCACGGAGCCCCAAAGTCGCAGCCTCTGCGATATTGCTGAGCTCCTCCCGGTTCGTTTTGCGGCTCCCTTCCCGGTCCTTCTCGCAGGAATTTCCTCAGCCGTTCCGTGAACTTTCTCCACCTACTGCCCCCCGTGTTGTCTCGGTCCCTTAGCTTGAACCTCCTGGCGCTAATGTTTCGCCCGGCCTTGAGGACCATTCCAGGCCCCCGCCTTCGGCCCCACTGTACTACCTACAGGCAGCGCCCAGTCCGCCGCAAACCCTCCCAATCACTTCGCACCACTGGGAGGCGCGCCCGGCCCTCCGGTCGGCCTCCTCTTGTGGTCAGCACTCTTCCCTTTCCAGGGAATACGACTAAGGCCCGAGTAAGAAAATACCGACGCCCACCGAAATAGTACACGTCCCAACTAGCTATGCCAAGCGCCTTCGCTATTCTTTCATATCAATAACAGGGAGAGCCCTCTGATTCTGATGGACCAAGCGGAGCAGAATGACAGTAACACAAAATAGGCACTCACGACACTCCTGCACACCGATAGCCTTAACTTCCACCCACTTCGAAGAGCCGCGGACTCAGAGCGACCGAAGATACCTGGCTCAGGCCATCCGTCGGGCTGTACAGGATTGGCAACGGTCTCAGCGGCTCGACGCCGTCACGAGTTTTCATCTGACGAATGCCCCAGACCTTGTCAAAATCACTACGGGCGAGAAAGGCGGTGTCGTACTGCTTCACGAAACCTAGCGAGAGTGGTAGCAGGAGTGCGCATTAGTGGTGGGTGGGCCTAAGTCTGGATGAGCCAGAGAGGAAGGGAAGGTGGGTTCATCGAGAGCGAGGACCCAGACTAAACAATCGTCGTGAAGAATGAAGGCTGCTCGGATGTTAAGACTCAAAAAAAAGTGAGGGGTGCGAAGCAATAGAAGGAGGCCAAGTATTAAGCAGACGAAGTAGAGTCTTCGTCTTACGGTGCAAGACCGATAGGGAATGCGAAGAGCGCGGAGGATGAAAAGTTGAGACTTGGAATGTGTTTACTGAGTCGCACAACTCACAGGCAGAAGTCTTATTCCGCATTGTATGAAAGGTCTCAGAAACAAAGACCACTGATGGCAGTGGTAGGGGCTAACAGATTCTATACCTGACCACGTCGCCGTGCCCCCCACGACCATATCTGCGTATTCCTGCAAGAATTAGGGCTACCACAGTCGCATCCATCGGGCCATCCTTGGCGCCCTTTTCCATTTGGAAAGTAGCCAAGGGTCGTGATGCCGGGGGATGTTGTCTTGGTTGTCTTAAGGCAAAAGATAAAAACCCACCGTCTGCGTCCCTGGCGTGTACGATGTGAGATAGGCCTGACCGTTGTAAACGAAGCGAAATTAGACAAGAACGCCGTCCGCGCCTTTCTGTTTCTGAGAGCGTGAGTCTCTTTTTAAGGACAAGAGGACGAAGACAACAGCAGTAGCATCACTAAGACCTCCAGTAGACGCCTCATTGTTCTTAATAATAAATGTCAATCTTCGCTGGGTCATGGTCTTGTCGAGATAGTACTCACTTTAGACGAGGGCGAGGACTTCAAGCGGTCGCTCCAACAATAATTTAATTTCTTCATTAGAACATTAGGCAATCATGGCTAAACTAGGAATAGAATATGAAGGGACGGAAGTGATGCACTTTATGCCGCATACGCATTGCTACACTAATCTACAACTAACTCTTCATAAACCCAGGATCCCATGCTGAGATGCTTCACGCAGATGTTCTCAGCATCCAGTTTCATCGCCATCAACCGCAAAAACTTGGGTTTGAGTCGACAAAGATCTCGGAGTGCTGCTTGCTCGCCTTTCTCTGTCGCTTGAAGTTGCTGCAAATGTTCCACATTCTTAGACGGATTCAATTGAGTCTGCAGGCACACATAGAGGAACTCAAGGCCAAGATACTCTGTCCCAAATCTTAAAAGAAAAACAAGTACTTACGCTGTATTGGATGAGGGAAAAAAAATTGGGAGAACAAGTGCGTGGAGGCTTCTTTATAGGAAGGTGTTATAGGTAGACTCAATATGGTTATATAATGTTGTAGTTTTTCGTAGCACTAGTACACGAGTGTGGTTCTGAGCAAGCAATTAGAAGAACGAGAAGAAGTAGCCTTACAACCGCTTCTAGTACCGGCAAGGCATTTCTTCTAGCTATACTTACAGAGTGCGCAAGTCAAGTATTTTGTTCAGACTAGGAATTCTTAAATGTTTTACCCGCACACTCTTCGGAAGACTGCTGCTCCACAAAGGACACCTGCTCTGTTGGAGAGACCGGATACTTGTCCTTGGTGTCGTGTTCTTTGCGAGTCGTGTTCTTCTTAGAAATCTAGTATATTCATCTTATGACCTTGACTAAATCTCAGGTAGTTGTGTGTCTTATTTTGATTCTCTCTGCTTCTTGAATGACAGAGCTGCTGAGAATGAAGTGACCACATAAATGATACTGATATACTACAAGAACCTTAGTGAGAGAAACGGGACTCAGATGATGATATACTACAGGACTACAAGATGAAGGCTCAAATCCTGTAAATTTATGTAGGTATTATTCTTTTAAGGCAATAAAGTTGGCCGCGTTCGTCGGAGGGACTAGCCATGCCACGAAGCTGGACATGAAGGCATTGTGAACAGGTGAGGCACTAGACGAAGTGGAATTGTTGGTGGTGGTGTTGTAAGGGGCAGCCAGATGATTTTCCTCCAGCTCGTCACCATCATAGCCACGAACAGTCTTGCTCCCTCTCAAGTTGTATTTGTTATCTCGACCCCAAACGCCGGCAACTACGCCGATGGAGATGAGAAGGAGTTCGCGGACGAACATCTTCTTGTTCTTGGACAGAAAAAAAGCGTAGAAGTCTGTGTTGTTTTACTTGTCGTAGTTGAAGAGAAATCGCAGTCGTCTCAAGAACAAGCAAGTAAGATCTAGTGATCTCGAACGAAAGTTCGACACCTATTTTTTTGTGAAGACGTTCAGTTTCAGTGTAGTTCACAAAGAAGCTCTTTCTCTTAGTGCAGCGAGCGAGTCCCGATAAATTAATCGTGACGTTGACTCCATGCCTTTTGATGCCAGTCTTTGTCTTAGTTTCTTTACTCTTCTAATTCAGTCTTCATATCGAAACAACAACGAACTCAGAATGAGATCCGTCGAATAAACCATTTTCACTACAACTGCTAACGGCCCGCTTTGATCCCTGACCACACGAACATTGACGAAGACGAGATAACCATGTCTTCTATTCCGAAAGCCGGACGAAAGCGCAGCGATGAAGAGTATTAATGTCAGTGGTCGTTTGGTAAAATACCTCTCATGTAGTTAGAAGGGGCGAATTCGCAAGAAGGGGAACGGGGAGGGCTTAGGGCTCAGGGTAGCTGGACGATCGACCTCCAATGTTGGTACTCTCGTGGCTTTTTCAAGAATCCCGAGCACTAAATCTAAGGTCTTTTCAATATCAGAAATGTCGTCTTCTGCACGGAAATCCGCCACACTATTCACAACGACCCGATATCTTTTGCGAAAAATTAGCTAACTCAAAGGACTGTCTTTCTCTCTCGTCCTCGTCTCTCGTTTCATCTATTCACAAGGGACAAGCCGGAACCTTCCGAACATGGCAAACACGAAGAAAGTAGGGCGCAATGACTCCCACAGTGGAAAAATTGAAGATGAAAATGAATCGGGGATAAACAACGAACTCATAAAAATACACCGCTTAGCATTGGTAGTTACAGAGCGCCGTAGCATTCTTGAGGGTGAAAAGTGTGCCTGCTGTAAAAGTCTTCAACATCATAGCACAAAGAAACAAACGCCAAGACCAGGTCCGATTTTCTTCTGGTCCGTATCAACAAGAACAACCTTGAGTCGTGTCCAAATAAAATTCAAGCGCTCGTGACAGTCATGGGAATGGATTCAATTGTGCTCGTCTTACAAAGATACAATTGCGAATAGAAAGGCGCAGCATGGTAGTCTTGAGTTGGCGACCACCTCTGTTAGGAATTAGGTAATTCTTGTTCTGCGGCAAATGATATACGTACGCCACACAAAGTGAAAATTCTATACTAGTCAGTATACGAGTACGACAGTCCAATCAGTACGACGATCCTTAATAAATATGAATGATGTCGCGCTCCTAGAAGTACTCACCCTTGAGCCATCGCAGGGGCAAGCATCGGCAGTATACACTTCCTCGAGCGCCCAACATCCGTTGAAGAAAACAACTAGGAGTCATGATTGAGACAGTCCCTTAATATGTTAATAACGATACTGTTATGGAATTCATTCAAATAGATGAGAAAAAAACCTTCAACTCGGCCATGCACAAAAAGTTTCTGAATGTATGTACTGCTTATTCTCAAATTTATTTGCTAACTATAAGTATAATATGATTTTTGTCTAGAAGTTCGAAACAACAATGATTTTGAAACATCAAATACACATTGGACGGATCATTGCGTAGTGACTATATCAAAACAACAAAACTGATGCTCAACCTAGACAATGCTCATGTTCACAAATCAATGCGCCCAGGTTCACACGGAGGTAGATAACGGCCTTCAGGTTCATAGGTAAAAAGAGTAATAATGCCTTCAACGGATTCATAGTATTTAACAGTTGTTCCCCTTGATGTATGAGTATTGACTACTAATGACGAAAAGCCATTGCATCCGCTTCTGTCTTGATGTAAAGTCATAATAATAAAGTATACCTAGGACGTTTCAAAGTATTGGCTGAAATTGCCTTCAGGTCGTTCAAAACGACCTCGAACTTTTCAAAATGCCTTCAGGTCGTTCATAAATAAATGCGTTGAATGTCAGTGCATTTTGTTCTGCATATCGGACACGTGCCTGCACTTTCGAAGCACTCGTTTGCGCAGTCTTTGCAAAACTTCGCATGGAAGCAGGGCACGAAGGCATACTGCCGCTCTCCAACATAACAGATTTCGCACAAAGTACTTTGACTTTCTTAGAAATCAAGGCACAGATGGAGCTGGTCTCTACTTTGCAAAATCATTCTTAATAGAAATCTAGAGCGACAGCTTCCCTCTTTTTTGCACCCATGCGCATCCCTTGATGTGGTGCATTCTGATCCATCAAGCATATAATATAAAATAATAACCTTATAAATATGTACTGTGTACTATTTGAGACCACTAGTTGAGACTACTAGTGACTTGAGAGACAGATCCTCCACCCTATAGATACATAGAAGAGAGAGATTACTTATCTTTAGGTGAAGCCTTAATGATCTTGAGCCGTCTCTCCGTAGTCCGTCTCGGCATCCCCATCGTCGTTCTGGACAACAACACTCACACCTGCTGCCTTGCATACTGCAACGCAACGTTGCGCGAGGGAGTCGCAAGTGGCAGCATTTCCAGCACCATCTTCAGGTGTACTGGTTCCCGATGTGCTAGTAGAAGATCCTCCCGGTGTAGTTGCACTAAAAGTCTCAGATGCCGTGGAGGTGGAAACCGTAGAAACTCTGGAGGTAGCGGAGAAGTTGAAGATTGTATCTCGTGGTTGTTGAGGTGCAGCACCAAAAAGGCCACAAGTTGTACTTCCTCCGCTACCCGCGAATCGTCCGAAGATACTAGTGCTAGTCCCGCCTACTGGTCCGGAAAAAATTCCTCCAGGAGGCCCACCAGGACCAGGAGAGGCGTTTTTATTACTAAAAACGGTTTCTACTTCTACACTGCAGCTCAAGTTCTTACTAACGGTGTCTAAAGCTTGTTCTAAGGCCATCCTCTGCCATTTAGCTGCAAAACCCGAGATCTTATTCGCTATCGCTAGATGCCCCAACTTTCGAGCCTTCTCCGCAGGTCGATCCGTCTCGAGAAAACGGCGACAATTGTCAATGTTGGAGGTTGCGCAATTACATTCTTCAGACATCATTCCTATTAGCAACATCATTCCTATTAGCAAGCAAGTCAAGAATGGTAGGAAGGATGCAATTTGGTAACCCTTAACAATGTACTGATTCGTTAGAGCGCAACCAAAGGGAAGCTGCATGTTCAACGATTTGAAAGCATCCAATAAAGCTTCGACAATGTCAGCATGTCCGCGTGTCGCGGCCAGAGACAAAGCTGTTTGGCCATATGAATTCTTTCGAGAAAGATCCATTCGATAATCGCTTTTGCGGAAGGCCTTGCTATTAGAGAAGCTAGTACGGAATTGACACGAAACAAGCTTTCACTTTTAGAGAGGCTACCGGACGATTGGCATCCCTGAGTGATGAAATAAGCTTTCACTTTTAGAGAGGCTACCGGACGATTGGCATCCTTGAATGAAGATAGGAGCATCCTTGTCTTTCTTCTATAAAGTACAACCTAGACAATTCCCTTCTACCTTTTTATGAAAATAGAACTCAGAAAAATTGTAAGAGGTAAGGACGATGACGCTAAGGATGTAGTCTTGTTATACTACTGAAGCCTTAATCTTATCTTGATGTGCTCCATGTTCTCCATTCTTTACCGCAAATATACTTCCGAAGATCTGTGCTGATCCTTCACTATTTTCCCGGAGCAAGGTTGCCACAAACAGACGCACAACTTGTAAATGACCGGCTTCGCATGCGGTCATCAACGGGGTATAGCCATCTTCGCCTCCACCGTTTAGGTCGATGCATATTTTAGAGGATAGAGGGCAAGCCACATTGTAGAACCAGTTGTAATTATTCCACGTTTCGTGCATTTCTTTTTATGCTACAACTTATGCATCTGTATATAAGAGTAGTGGAAAAGAAGTGAGTAGTCCAGCAATCTTGTTGTTGTTGTTGGCCTTAGAGTTTCAATAAGATACCACAATCAATGATGAAAGTAGTCCCAATAAGTATTATTTTGCATGAAGGCATAAACCTAGGTTAGAAGAAGAGGAGCTAGATCTCTACAGAGGTACAAACTCTAACCGGTTGTTATAATTAGTGCTTTGAGCGCTTCTATCCTTGTTGAAAGAGCCATACTCATCTTCCTCTTTAACTCGTCGNTTGTTTTCACTCGTCCATTCACACGCATCATTTGCTTCAAAAGATTCTTTCTTCAAAGGGTGTGATCTGATGAACTTCCTGTCTCTTTATTCTTTCTTTCAACTCAGGATAAGGGAAGAACGAGCCCATGTTGGTTTCTACGACTAGTTTCTTCAACTTTCTTATGGAACACCAGTTGGATCTGTCGTCCTTACTTCTATCGAGTTATTAGTTATTCAACTATCAATACCCCGGGTTAAATAAAAAGACTTAGAAGTATAGGTAAGGCAGAACAACATCTTTACGGATACTTGACTGCGTTGAAGAAATGATTTACAGGTAGTTGGGTTTGTAAACATTTCAAAACTGTGCGTCTTGCTTTTGATCCAAAAGTAGTTGTATTATTACTAGAAAATATGTTCTGACTCGAAGTAGTAAGATTTGTGAATAACGGATGGATTGTCACTTTTATGTCGTTATGAAAGAAAATTGAGATTCTGTTACTATTAATTGCTGAGTTACTACTACTAGTTGTTTAAGTCTGCTAGGAAGTGATTCTTGTTGCTCTCTTCTTCACTTCTATCATGTCAAACCACATTCGGCTTCCCGTTGGTCAGAAAAGGAAACCCACAACCTTCCACAGTCTCAAAGAGAGGCAGAGAGGTTAGTTTTCCCTTTCCCAATCATATTCCCTCCAGTAGAACTGCACACCATCAGCGCCCTTGCTCTTCTTATCACCCTTAAACTTGGTTTTCCAGATCCCGTCCTGCATGAGGTTCACCAAGGCCCTGTGCTTTTCACTGTCAAAAGCAATCTTCTTTGTGGCCGTGTCGCAAGGGTTAGCCACGTCGGTGATGAAGCCTATGCCCAAGTTCTCCCTTTCCCTATCCTGCTTAATAAGGCAAACATTTTTGAAGTCTCGGGTAGGTTCCACCGATGATCTCTTATTGATTCTCTTGATCAGCCCGCCATTGTCTGAACCCCAAGCCATCCGTCTATTTTGGCCCAGGTGAGCATAGACTTCCCTTCTGAAGGACCCAACAGGGATGTGCTGAGCACCGCTTTCAGCCTCAGCGCTAAAGCTTGACGAGCATACCGCTGAAGACTGTTGAAGCTGCCAATCGATCAGCGTGGCTCGGTATCCTTCCTCAAGAGGATGATCTACATCTACCAAAACCACTAAGCAGGCTATTAGAGGCATTATCTTCGCTTGTCGCTCTCTGCTAAGTTCGGCAAGCTTGTCCTCCTTATCCGTTTCCGAGAGGCTCTCCGAGTTCTTGACATTTTCCATCTCGCTTAAAAGTGCGGGGTCAGTAACCGTTCTAGGACCAATGGACCCTTGAAAGGACGCATCGGTGATCACCACCAGTGCCCAGTCTTTGTTGTCGTAGTAGATACACAAGACAACATCCTTCTGAGTTCTGGCCCGATCAATTGCTACTTTAACAAATTTGACGTGCTCTTGTGTCGCGGTAACCAGAGATCCCTGACTTACTTCGCGAAAGGCGTAAAGAAGATCTGGTTTGCAAGCGTTCACGCTAAAGCCCAGTTCTCCCCGGACACCCAAGATGTTGGCTATCTGCTCTGGGGTCAGAGGTTCATCTAATTGGAGACCAGCGATTTTCAGATCTCGGAGTCCATCGGCAAATTTGTGGGCCACCGAGAATTCGAAGCACTTCTTGGAGAGAATATGTCTGATCCTCTTTCCGGCATAGATTCCTTCTCCAATTCCGTAGACTGTTATTCCAAAACGTTTCAGCAGGGAACCAACGATGGCTCCGGCGAATCTCCTCTCTACTAGAAGGATGAAGTCGTCAACGGTCGTTGGAAGAATCACGTATGGACGGTTCTTCTTGGGAGTCGCCTGCTCTACCTTGTAGCCTTCAATCTTCGGCTTTTCTCCAGATGCAAGGTTTTTACAGTGCCATTTATCGCAAGCATCCTGCAGCTCCTGACTCCCATCCAGGTGTGCCTCTGCGATGTGCTTGTTAGCTTTCGAAGTTCCTCCTTGTAGGAAGAAAAGAGCAGGTGCCAAGGGAGACGATGTGTACCCACGCGCCTTGAGTTCCGCTTCAACTGTTCTATAGAAGCCGAGAGATCCGCACGAGTCTCCGTAGTGGAACAGTGAGAAGAGTCCTGTCGAGGTCGGAAAGAAGTTGAATTCTGCTGCCACTGTAAAAGTGAAGTTTGCCCTCAAATTCATAGGGAATCTGAGTCTCCTTCTTGCCGCAGGAGCCAACTCATCATTCTGGTTGAAAGCGCGAGGGACATCCACGATAACCGCGACAGGTTCCTCGAAGCACCCTGTAGCACTTGCAGCCAGACGGATGTCCCCTTGAGAGACAACAGAGGATGACGTGTCTGCCCCCGGAGACAACTTAACCGATGATCCGTCACATACCAGACGAAAGGCAACCTTGCCGAGATGTTGAGAGCTCTTTTTCAGGTCCCATATTCCCCTCGTTCTGAGCTGGTTAAGCTTGGTGTCATACTCATCGCCTTCTTCAAAGATTTTCGCAACTGTTTTTCCGGTTCTCTGGACCGTTTTGAAGATGCCCTCCAGTTCCTTTCTAATAGCAGCTTCCATGGCCTTCTCCAGCCCGCAGCGAATGAGGAAGGATTCATCTACATCAGTCACTTTCTCACAGCTCTCAAACCGCTTTCGGACGTCGGGAGGTAGCCTAGACAGCAAGAAGACACCGCTTTGCTGTGATTCAATTGACGCGTCTACTACCGGTCTAAAACGGAGAACCAGGATGTGATCTGCCTCCAGCTTGGGCTGTAGTTCTCGAACTTCGAAGATTTTAATGTTACCCTTCACCGCTAGGGGCTGCCCGTAGCCTTCAAGAACTTTCTCTTCTTCGTCATTTGCAGGAGTACTCCCTTCCCCCTGGATAAGGAGGCACTTATTACATCCATTTTGTATGACTGGAGAATGACGAACAGTACGGAAAGTTTTTTGAATGACCACCTCTTTTAGAAGATTATTGAATTCTGGATGGACGAGGGAGTTATTGAGTTGTTTAAACTGTTCTTCGTGAACAGAAATGGCTGCTCGTTCGTGAACAATTTTTGCAGCGAGTTCGATGTCATCCAGTTGCAGGTGGTCTATTGATTGTTCTTGTTCCGTAGCAACCCTTATGGAGTTGATATCGGCTCCTACGATATGTTCTGTGTCGCAGATGTGTGAAAAATGAATTGCAGGTTGCTTGATGTTGTCGGTTTCAACATGTTGAGCATTTAGCTGAAGAAGATCCTCTGAGTTATCTTGCTGAAAGAGGTCTGGGTAGACGCTTGTCTGCCACGATTTGAGAAAATCTTGGAGGCTGTTCCAGGTATTTTTCGGAAGAGTGTGATTTTTGTTCGTTGATTTGAAGAGAACCACTTCTGCAAAAGTAGTTGCGCGGGAGAATTGCCTGACAATTTGCCCTTGTAAGCGTTCTATTGTTACAGCTTCAAGAGTCTTGCCGTTGTCTTTGTCCCTTTCATCCAGCAGAACTATTAGCCGTGCGTCTCCTTTCTGGACAGAGCAATGCAGGTGCTTTCTAGTGGTCTTGTCTGAGAAAGGTACGATCTTGACAGAGCATGAATGGTAGAGGTTTTTCAGAGCGTTAATGGTGCTGCCTTGAAAATGTTGATGCAAGAGGTTTTGAAGGGGTCCTTTTGTGCTAAAAGGGGCCCCATCTCTAATGATGTGGATTCCATTACTGTCAGGCACTATTGCATCGAGGAGTCTTTTAGGGACAGCGTCATCACACCAGGTCCGCGGTGAGATTTGCAAACCATACCCGCGGGCTTGAAGATCGCAAATTTCTTCACAGGTGATTCCAACCATCTTACAACGAAAAGCTGTTGCGGCACGTTTCCCGTATTGAAGATGGATGTTTCTTTTAGCCGCTTCTTCCTCGAGAAGCCGAAACTTGCAGCACCGTCCACATATTGCTTTTCCACTTCCTGCTGATATAGGAGCAATGAGAGCGCGTTTAGGTGGAAGATGCTCGCGTCCTTTCAATGCCTGCTTCTTTTTCTGTCGTAATGCGTTGACGTTGTGGACTGTGATGTGCGTGAGTTCGGGCAAGTCAATTAGGGAGCAGTCATCCCTTGTCCGTCGAATGAGATTCTTCTGTTTGGTTTTAACTGCACCACCCGTGGTGGTGGATACTAGAACTCTGCTGCCGAAAAGCCCAACGTTGAGGTCTCGAATGATTGCCGGTCGCCGCTGGTTTTGCTTGCCGATGATTTCCACTCGATCGCCAATTTCGTACTCCGGATCCGTGAGTTTTGCTCTAATCAAAGTAGAGGAGCGAAGACGGTCTAGGATGTACCCGAAGTATTTTGTAGAGCAGCGTAGTAGGCATTTGGCTTGGAATCTGTAAACGTGACCTGGTAGAACGGCCTGTGAGGCTGACAGAGCATTTTCGTCGAAGCAGATTCCCAGGTCCATCGGGGAAACGCATGCTCGCATGTATCCTCTTTGCACCGGAACTGTGTCGCCTCGTAAGTATTGCGAACCAATCATTGGCGAGGAGCTGATGAAGTCGTAGATCAAGTTGATTTTTTCTTGTTCGGGCAAACGTGCAAAGACAATGTCCTCATCGATTTCCTCATAGAAGTCTCTGGCAATGCAGTGCTGGCCTTCCTGCCGGGCAATTCCTGTTTCGTTACCTTCCGATGTCGCATAGCATTCTACACCTAATCTACGGGCCCCGATGATTGTTATTAGGTTGGTATTTTCTTTTCCAGGATCGCAGATGTTGAAGAGCATCATGATCCCTGACCTTCGCCCATGGACCAAAGTTCGCACGGTGTCGATCCCAGTAGGATGAGCGGTGTGACACCCTTCAGGAATCCCGTCGTTGGTGGAAATAGTTCCACGAGGTCCAGCACTAACGGCGGGAAGTATTGCTTCATCTTCATCTGAGGCCATCTCAAAGGTTGAAGAGTCGTCTCCATCACTGCTTTTAAGCAGTTTTTCTGTTCCACGGAGGGAGGATAGCAACTGGTTCTGTTGTTCTTCAGTTTCAGCTAGAACAGGATCACTAGCGAGGATCTCCTCCTTGGGTTTGCGTCCCCTTTTCTTTTCAAGGAGTCTGGTAGGTTGTTTGATTCCTCCTTTTTGTCGTGGTTTGTACTTCGGCCCCAAGACCAGCGCGGCTCTTTCAGGTCCTGTGACCTTTGAGATAGCCATAACCGCAATAGGAGGACCACCATGCTTGGTGATGAACCATGTGTCAGTCATAGTGGCAGCATGCAGGTCAAGTCCACAGAAAGAACCAGTTGCACGACGTCGCTGCCCTCTTTTGTATCGGAACCGAAAGGCAGCTTCCCGCACCAGTGTCTCGATAGCCCTTGATAGCTCCTCCTCACTGCAGTTGTGGAATTCCTTAGCAGCTTCGGCTCGTATGCGGCTCTCAGGTGGACGACTTTCCTGTAACCACCATCCTCGAAGATAGAGCCAAGTCCTTTTTTCGCGTTCACTTAGGAGAGTTGATGGAGATCCAACGAAGATTTGGTTCTGGGCATCAATTGCGGCTTGTTCACTAGTAGCTATGTCTAGTTTGAGCAAGTTTCCATTTACATCAACTGTCATGTCATGTTTCAGAAGCTCTCCCGAGAACGACAGATGGACCGGTCTTTGTTTTTTAGCTAGTCGATATTTGTTGGAGACTGCTTCGCAAACCGCCACCCCAACTGTTAGTCCATCCGTGTCGGTGACGAGCACGCGTTTGTCTTCTTGCAGAAGTTGGCCAATTCTCCAAGTCGTTGGCTTGTCCGAAACGGCCTCAATAAGTTCCGTTGTCAGACCTGAGGGACCGAGTGCAGAAGTTAATTCATTTCTTGAGTACTTCTGGGCCAAGTCTTTCATGTCCTCACAGTCGTGAATGTTGATGATTTCAGCTTCCTCCTCAATGAAGTGATGTGCATCTTCCTCCGCTGAAGCACTGAATAGGCTGTAGTTCCTAAGATGGACCGGAATTCGCATTTGTGTCAACACTGTCCGAATTTCGCGCTTTTGCTGTCCTTTATGATGGAAGTGTGAGTGTACAGGGACCCCGCAGTATCCTCGAAAATGTCCTTCGTGGATGGAGGTACCGCCACCATTCTCTTCTCTTGAGGACCAGACATAAAAGTCTACTATGATGTTAGCGGGGTGCTCCAAAACTGCATTGCGGAGAGCAGGGTTAAGAGACCAAAATCTGTTGTCATCCGCAATTAGTTCGGAAACCTTTTCCATTCGCCTGACAATTCTGCGACCACAGCGACCTGCTAGCGCCACAGGAGGTGAGGGCAGTGTGGAGCAGTCGTACTCAAAGCGTCGGATGATCCAGAGCTGATGGGATTTGTCATGTGAGGGTGGCAGTGGGACTTCGCTTTCCCGCAAGAGTGGCGTTTCAGGGAGATTGTTGATATCCCCAGAGGCCACTCGGCCAGGATGAAGCACGTCCATCGGCAAGACCGGTCGCACAACGGCGTTGACCGTCTCAATGTCCACTGCGACGACATTCGTATCATCAGCTAAAGACTGCTGATTCTTTAGTAGAATAGAGCGCACAAGTTCATCAGGGTGTCCTTCTAGTTCACACTCTTTTTCAGAAGTTGCAAAAACAGCAGCAAACGCGTCTTCAACGCTCAGACCCTCTTGTACTTTGGATGCCCACTTCCGCATCCCATTTTCGTCATCAAGATACGAGTACGGTGTTACAATGTATTTGTCGCGGCGGTCACCCACGGGGTAGCTGTAGTGCCAACGATAATCTGGGTGATCGCATCCAAGCCAATGCCCTTCAGGGTTTTCTCGTACCGCAACGTTTAAAGTCGAGTTGAACACTTTTCCTATGAGAAGATCTGTATCATGCGCGGGACAGAGCGCCTCGACTACGGCCGGCCGGGGTCCTAGCAGGATTGGAATTCTGGCACGCTTACGTAGGTCGGCCGGAAGAATCCCAGCATTTGAGGCAGAGCCTTTGATATTTTCAATGGCCCCACAGTCAATGCCATGATCCTTCAGTCTCTTATGCACTGCTTCAACTACTTCGAAGGACTCATAGATGTAACGGTTGAAGCCGCCATCTGCAAGACCACGTCGCTGTCCCACCCTTTCGTTCATGGAGAAGATGTCCTGTGTGGAGACAATCGCTGGATTCACGCTGATCCCCTTGGAGTTTGGTAGTTCCACATGCAGCTGGAATTCAGCTAGAGTTCCTTCGGTCTTTCCGAAGATGGGAGCGTCTGTCTTCTTACTGGAGATTGCAAATATGGCTAGTACTAGCTTCTCCTTCTTTCCTTTGTCCACTAGGTCCTTGAGACAATCTAAGGTTTCTTGAAGTCCTAGGAGCGGATCATAGCGCTCTGACCAGATGCAGTTGTTCCCAGCGATCACGGCTAGCCCCACTACATTTCTTCTACTATCCTCAAAATCTTGAGTCACTTTCTGCAGATGTCTTAACAAGGATGGGAGTGAGTCTTTGACACTGACTTCTTCGTAGTAACATCGCTTAAGGATCTGGCCCAATGCTAGGGCGCCTTGGGTGCTGTGAAGATCCATTCCTTCCAGCTCTGCAATGGAGATGCCAACATCGTTGAAATCCGCCTCCGCCTCAAGTTCCTCCTTGGTCATCAAGAACGTATTCTTCTTGTGTAGAGCCGTTTGCTCTAAGACAGCCTTTGACTCCACCCTTAGGGCAACTGCGGAGTCATCCTTGTGCTGGAAGGCTGTTCGTGCTACTGTGGGTTCGCAATCAAATCGAAAGGACTGAGTGTCAATAGCAACTCGGAAAGAGTCTACGTCGTCCAAGGTCTCTTCTCTAGCGTCATCTTGGGGCTCTGGGCACACTTCTCCGTCTTCAACCACATTTTCTTTAATCTCCACGGCCAGTTCTGAGTAGCCGCCCCATTCTCGCTCCACCGACGTTTGGTATGCATCAAACCTAACACCAGTCTTGTTCTGATATGGCAGGGGACGCTTGGAGTTGTCTTGCGACCCAAAACCCAATGCCTTGTTAGGGGAGCGACTACTGATGACTTTGGAGAAGTCAATAATTCTTTTGTCTCCACCAAGCGCAAAAATCTTAACCTTCTCCTCCTTGACAGTAACATGAAGATGGTACCGGCGATTTTGATTAGGCTCCTTTGATGCGGCTTTAGCTAGGGCTACAAACAATCCAACATTATCTCGTTTACAGCTGTGCATGTTGTGCTCCGAGCTCTTGCAGATCTCGCAGACATCGTCAGGTCCGTAGGGACAAGTGGGCTTTGGGTGCATTCCTCTGGAACCACAGCCAAAGCACTGTAGTTTACATTCTACCACCTCCTCATATTTTCTCACCACTTTGGAGCCACCGCTTGGTTGTTGATGATTGTTCTTTCCTGAAGAATAACCATTACCACTGCTTCCTTTCCCTGCCTGTCCCGAGAAGGTTTTCTTCGGGAGGTTGTTCGAAGGGTTATAGTTGTACCAATTCGACTGAATCTTATTGATGGAAATCTCATCCAGACCTTCCGTGAGTGCGCTAAAGAGGGACGCATCATCCTCCACTGACATTGTATAGATGGGCGTCTGGGTCTTTGGACGGTCTACACCTTTGCGTGGTGGCAGCATGACTGTCTTTTCGTTAACGATGTCTGCAACAGCTTGTTGAAGAAAACGAAACACCGGAACCGCATTTCGTCGCCCTTTGATAGGCGTGGGATTGAGTTCGAGAGCGCGTCGTCTAATCACCTCCGGAATTCCAATCCTTCTCTGTATGACGCGCCATGAGAAGGAGCATGCCCGTTCGTCAAACTCGTCAGGTTGCAGGTCAGACAGTCGATCCGCCATCACGGCCGTTTTTCTAAGCTTGTCCAATTCCGTGTTGAGGCAGGAGCCTTCGCCCGCCTTGTAGTCTTCCCAATCATCGATGTACTTCAAGTAAGAGATTGATTTGCCTGGCCACAGAACGCAGAGTGATCCAATAACGTTTGACCAAGTGAAAGAAGCCTGATTGGAGACGGTGATTGCTCTCGCTTCCAGCGCTCTAAGAGTGGACTCCTCCTTCTTTCCGGCATCTCTTAGGGCCTTGATAAAAGCCTTGACTTGTCTTCGCTCCTGAAATTTTGCTACTAGAAGATAAGGACTCTTCACATCTGCCGCAATGAAAGCTGTAATTTCATTGATGATTTCATCCAGGAGTTCCGCGTCAGTTGGCAACAGCCCAACGTATTCTATTGGGCGCGTGTTCTGGTCACCCAGGTCTAACTCCTTGACATAAGGAACTCCTTTCCACTCTTGATCACTTTCAAAGTAGATGTCCACGATAGGAGCCATTTCAATCAGAAGATTTTCAGGAGCAAAAGGGAAGTCTTGTGGTGAAGTGGAAGCTGTGACCCAATGACGTCTTCTTCCGCGTTGTTCTGCAATTTCCTTTTCCTTTGGAGATGGACCCCAGGGCGGTCCTCTGTATCCGCCCTTCGCAGAATAGCCGAAGTTGTTCTGATCATAGTTGTAGTGATCATCCTCGTCACCCCACTGGTCCTCGTCCCAGTCGTGATCGTGGTCATGGGCGTTTGCATAGCCATGATCGTAGTGGTAGTTGTGATCTCCTTTTCCTCCATGATTACTATAGCTTCCTCTGTTGTTCATGTAACCACGCTGCTGATTTTGCGAATAGCGCTGATGTTGGTAGGACTGGGACCGTGGTGAAGGTCGCGAAAAGTTTACCCCACCGGATCCTTTCATTCCTCCCTCGGAGTGGTTGTCACCAGGAGCAGGAAGAGAAGAAGATCCTTGCGTTTTAGAACCACCAAGATGATAATTCTGCTGTTGCCGAAAAAGCTTATCCTCTTCCCCCGGTGAGAAAAAATTATTGGCAGCAGCAGCTTCTTCTTCTTCAAGTTGTTTCAGCCTTTGTCGAAGCGTTTCCTTCTCGGTGAAACCCTCAACCCGTCGAGGAGATGCGTTTGCAGCTTTAGGGTTGGTGTTCCGACCACGAGGAATTTCTTCTCCGTGGTTATTTCTCCAGTTTTTGTCAGTACTGACCTCTCTGGGAAAGCGACTCTTTCCCTTGTCTTCTTGCGTGTTGGAATTGAGAGACGAGAACTGTGAAGAGGAAGAGGAGGATGGCTGATGAGCAGAACTGTGCACTTCCAAGTTAACAGGAGGCAATTCTAATGGCTGATTCGCTTTGCCAGAGGCAGCGATTATTACTTCAGCTTTTTGAAAACCCTCGGCAGTCTGGTTGCGTAGTTCTGTGGTCTCCTCGGCGTTTTGGAGCAGTTTTTCTTGGAAGACTGTAAATTTCTGCTCCAAGAAGTCTTGCTGCCGTTGTTGCTGCTCTTGCAAAATTTTAATCTGGTTAGTTACAGCGGCGATCTGAGAAGCGTCGTTAGTACTCTTATTGACTAGTTCCTGTATTGCAAGGTTCGCAGCAGCTTGGGTCTGTCGAAGCTGCAATGCTTCCGACTTGGCGTTGTCTACTAGTTCCTTGATAGCTGCTTCGGTAGTGGACTGGGTCTTCCGTAGTTCAACAGAGACAGCAGCTGAAAGCTCTTTGTTAACGGCTTCCTGCTTTTCAACACTCTTCAGCTTCACGGTATTTAGTGCTTCTTGTGCCTGCAGGTCTAACACTTTACTTTCCAACTCCACTCCTGCTTCCGTAGTGGCTTCCAGACTCAGAATGGTTTGAACGACTTTTCCTTGAACCTTTGCCAGATCGTCTCGTGTGACTGCGGTAGTGGTATGTCTTCTTGCAGGCTGGGGTTGGGCTCCTTCTATAGGAGACCTCTCTAATATTGCCCCAGAGTCACTTTTTCTACGCTTGTGCGCTGGAATGATTATGTTGTTTGCAATTTGAGGTAGTACCAACTGGTTCGACGAGGTGTTTGATATTGCCGCAGGGTTCGATGAAGATACAAGGAAAAGAGAAAGAGGCTCGGTCATAACTTTCAGAAGAAATTCAGCCACTGAGTGCAGATACCAGGAAGGCTCCACTTCTCAGTTGCTAAATGATCCAAAAAGAATAGACACAGAGCGCCCGTTACTTTATCCGCAATATTTTTGAACTGCTACTACTGCTTGCTACCAGGTTCGGGTTAAAAAATCGCGCAGGTTTCTTCTTAGGTGCAGTAGACTGTTCAACCTTATCCGCAATGTTGTCCTCTTCAGAAGATGTTGAAAGCTCGTCTTCTGAGTAGACTTTTATTTTTGGAGCTCTGATGCGCTTGGTTGGCGGACCGCTCTGAACACCGCGCGAATTGACGTCTTCTCTGGAAGTGAGTAGAAGCCCAGTGGCTTCTCTTTTATTTCCAGTAGATGAAGTCGGGTAGTGATGCTTCGTTTGCGTCGTGGAGTAGTTTACTTTGGATGTATTTGAAGAGTTTTCAAGGGCAGGCTTGCGGGTGAGAGTGATACTCGAGGACTTTGAAGTCACAGCACCGAACAGAGGACTGCTCGATGGGGAAAAAGAAGACAGTTCGTGGCTCTGCTTCTTTTCGTTCCACTTTTTGATGAAGTTAAGCTGGCGCTCTTTTTCCCGTTGAATATTCTTCGCTTCCTCCTTTGCCTTCGCTGCCTCTTCAGTGTCCACTTTTTGCAGCTGCAGCTGATGGTACTGCTTTCTCAGTACCTCTTGATTCTCGTTCTGCTGAAGGATCAGACCGTCACCAATGATTTCGAGTTCCAGGTTCTTTTTAACTAACCTCTGAACTTGCTTCTGCTTGGAGTTAGCGTTCTTGCTTTTACCTCCTTTGAAGGCGTTAGGTGTGAAGATGTCGACGCCTCCTTTATGCTCTACTGAGAGTTGGCGGCAACGATCCGTGATTTCTACTGGATATCTTTGCCACAATGACTTTGAGGGAAACCAAACACAGTTTTGAGCAATTACTTGGTCGTTCCAAATAGCTTTATTGACTGTTCTGACAGCTTCAGTTAGTTTCTTTGCTTTGTCTGGATCAAGCTTGTTTAAGTCAGTGATAATTTTACATTCACTAGTCATTTTGGGATAACATTTCTTGCACCGGGGAAATATTACTATGATTAATGTTGTCCTGCCTGGAGTTGTTTTTGTTCAGAGTTGTAAAAGGTTGCTTACAAGTAGGTGAAGAAAGTCAGATATATGTTGAACAAGAAGAAGATTTGATAGCTGCCATGGCAGGGAAGAAGTAGATAATTGTATTTTACAGAGGTGGAGAGGATCGTCTGAGATTTTAATTTGAATTCTGAGTGGTGGAATGTAGGAACTATTAAGATTTGTTTTTTTTTTTTTTTTTGAAGGTCTTGATCTACTACTGGAAGAGAGAGAGAAAGAGAGAGAACGACACTAGACATCAGAGGTTACCCCACACTTACCTCCACGCAACGATGATTAAAAGTGGGAGATCTCGCTGCTCATGGAGGGGAGTGACACTCCGCACCTCCAGAACACATTCAAAGTTCCAAAAGGAAAACGTGGAAGATGTATTGATTTTTACTTTCAAAATTTAAGTAAGAATGTATGGCTTTCAGATCATATATTGGCTACTACAGGGTTTTCTTGTCTTCTCTGTAGGGGTGATAGTTCTGCTCTCTTGCTGTTCTAGGGGAGGTTCGAATGTGCATGGGTACTTAGTAGAAAGTTGGTAGTTAGAATTACTTTGAAAACTGCTATGTAAAGCAATATGCGAAAATATCTTATCCGAAGACGTATAAGGTTTCGAACAGGATAGACAAGACCTAAACTTACAAACTGATTTTTAAAACAACCCTATCAATTATTACTAAAAGAAAATTTGTCCACTAACCACCATTTAACCACCCGTTAATCTAAGTCCAACGTCCGTAGGCCTTTGGTTGTGAAGATTGCCTCGATGTTGTAACAAAGCATCTTCACCACCATGAGAGCTCGGCGTCCAAAAGCCTTACGGAGCATGCAGTTATCGATCCATCCCAGAACCTCGTCGTATTCCTTGCGCGCATCGGGCGAATTGATGACGTCTTCTGTAGTGAACTTAGGTAGGCTCAGCTTGTCCTTTCCGAAGCCAATCAGATCGCAAAGGTTGACTGTGGCACTGCGGAGATTATCCGTTTCATCGTAGGCTTTACGGAAGAGACCTTCAGACGGAAGGTATGGCTGTCTCAGATTCATCCTGATTCGAGTAAGATCACGTCGTGGCAGGGTGTAGTTGTCGTTGTTCCCGTCACGCTGAAGACGGTGCTTAAGATCATAGGCAAGATCCTGCAAGAAATGGTAAGAGCACTCCATCTGCTCGTAAAGGCATTTCAAGTCTCCAATTTCAACGTCCAGAATGCTAACCCTCTTACCTTTCAGGGTAGCATCTGTAAGAAAGGTGGGTCTCTTACTGCGCGTGTCCAACTCAACGATGTGCAACTTTATCTGCCGGAAGATTCGACTGACCGTGTTGTTGAGGGTAGTCTGGTTTTCTAAGAAGCAGCGAGCTTCCTGCAGACCATCCAGAGTTGCATAGACCATCAAAGAGTAGAGAACCTTCTCATCGCGAGCCCGAGCCTTATCTTCCAACTCCTTCCGTTGGATGAGGTGCAAACGACGTTGTGTGTTTGGAGAAAGAGGTGTAGGACCTCCTCTACCAGCATTGTCATCCACAGGGTCTGCATCGTCTTTTTCGCCATTCTTCTCGCAACTCGGGGACGTCTGGACACCGGAATCTTGTCTTTCAGTGTTAGATACCACTCCCGGAAGGAGTGTCACTGTAGTAGTGACCTTCTTCGAGTAGGTCCAGACATCCTCGTAGCCTTCGTCTTCCGAGAATCCCACCGACGAGTGCACGACGTTATCTGCACAATCGTTGATGAAGGACTGGTTCTCGCAGACTCCTGTGTTGTAAATGATCCCCTCACCTGGTCCAGCGTTGACACCCCCGGAGTGCAGAGCTTCGAGACTAGGCTCCAAGTCCACCTCTCCAGTGACATCATTGCCAGATGCAGGACCCTCAGCGAGGCCCAAGCCCTCGTTGAAAGTAGTAGGGGTCAAAATTTCCTCTCCCGCCACTCCAGACTCGTCCACCGGGCAGGACTTATCCTCAGTATAGCTCTCCTCAGAGGTCCCGGGAGAAGAGGGGGATTTGTCCGAGAGCTGAGGCATGTTCTCTGCTTCGCGGCGTAATTCGCGGCTGAAAGGAGTCTTACTGCGTTGGTTGGACGGCATGATGACGAGTCGGGTTGAAGAAAGTGATTGATTCAGAAGTTAGGGTAGTTCCAAGGCTTGCTCACCTTCTCAACCGTGATCAAGGCAGTACAGAACGAGATTGCGGGCTTGTCTTGGGGTAGAAAGAATTCAACAAATTCCCGGAATTTTCTTGCCTCACCTTCGATAGTCGTGAGCTCGTGCTTGAAGTTTCCTGCATTCAGATTGGTGATAGTCTCTTGTTCGAGACGAGGGCCCCTTTCTTTGGGACAGCAAAGATTGCAAACTCCCGCGTCACGATGAGTCACTATTCTGTTAACTGTACTTTTGTCTCCAGTACGACCCTCAAAACCTGGATAACGTAGTTCCAAATCGAAGAGTTTTAACGCATGGTAGAATTTGGACGGTGAGTCGAGGGAGCAAGGCGAAGTCTTGCTGGATTCCGATCGGTTCTCGCTCATGCTTCAGGTTCTAGTTCTTGTTTTTCTTGACTGGGTGCTCCGGAAATGAAGAGTCACCAGCTGCCCGTTTGTTCGAGTCGGTGAAGGTTGAGGTAGTAGTCCTCTCTTCCGCTGATGGAGTCGAGCGATCAAGATGACGGATGTTATCCCCACCCTTCGTGACTGTGTCCGCTAGATTTTCCCCTTGCGTTGGAACTTGCTGAAGATAGTTGGATTGGAGAAAAACTCTGCAGATATCGGTTATGGAATGAAACATTATACCTCAATAAGCATGCGTGAAGTAACAACTTGTTTGTGTTTTGCCGATCCTACTCCACTAAAACCAGAGTCAAGATAGAAAATTTCTTTGTTTTATGGGAGTTTGAAGTTAGGAGGACTGGAGGGTCTTTCCACAGGTTGGGCACAAGCCTGTGTTTTCTGCGTCGTGGTAGAGAAAGAACTCGAGTACTGTTGCAGCAGATGTCTGCCTCCTGTAAACGTTTGACCCGTTATGAAAGCGCACCGCCACCTTTCTCAGTTCTTCCCAGGAGAGGATGGTGTCCAAAAGATCTAGAAGTTCTAGATGTATTTGATGTTTATAGAGGGAAGTGCTGTCATAGACTGAAATAGCTACTATGTTGGGCTCAGTAAGTGATGACGTTGTGATGAAGTCTTTCTTCTTTACAGAAGAATTGCCAAGAGAGGAGACGTCCACAGTCTCCCAGAAGTCTCGAGATAATCGCAACGAAACTACTCTTGAGTGTTTGTAGTCCAACTGGAGCCGATGGTCCACAAAATGGGTTCCCTCCACTTTAGGAAGTGCGGCCGGCATCTGCGTCCATTACTTGTCGATTCCACAAACGAAATGATTTCAGTGATAGCATGAAAGTGTCTACCAAACAATTAATGCGATGGATCTTTGTTTCAACCAGCTAAGTTGTTTCTACGTTTAACTAGAGTTGAGTAAACCACTCTCCGCTACCATTGAAAGTTCAGGAGAACACACAATGGTAGACGGAGACTTCAAGTCTGAGACCTCTTGGTCTGATTAATCAGTGAACGACCTCTTGGTCGCAAGTCAAAAATAGCTGTAAGTCAAAAACTGTTTGGGTTGGGAAAATGAGAGTTCAAGGGATGTTCAGAGTCTTTTGGAAACAAATTCCCACTCCATTCGACAAGAAGAGTTTCTAGAATGCACGAGCTGACTTGTTTTCACTCGTCCATTCACACGCATCATTTGCTTCAAAAGATTCTTTCTTCAAAGGGTGTGATCTGATGAACTTCCTGTCTCTTTATTCTTTCTTTCAACTCAGGATAAGGGAAGAGCGAGCCCATGTTGGTTTCTACGACTAGTTTCTTCAACTTTCTTATGGAACACCAGTTGGATCTGTCGTCCTTACTTCTATCGAGTTATTAGTTATTCAACTATCCATCTGTATATAAGAGTAGTGGAAAAGAAGTGAGTAGTCCAGCAATCTTGTTGTTGTTGTTGGCCTTAGAGTTTCAATAAGATACCACAATCAATGATGAAAGTAGTCCCAATAAGTATTATTTTGCATGAAGGCATAAACCTAGGTTAGAAGAAGAGGAGCTAGATCTCTACAGAGGTACAAACTCTAACCGGTTGTTATAATTAGTGCTTTGAGCGCTTCTATCCTTGTTGAAAGAGCCATACTCATCTTCCTCTTTAACTCGTCGTCGTCGATCAAGAATTTCAGCTTGTCCAGATAACGGCCTCCCTTGGCGAGAGAATACAGCTCCTTCTCCAAGGTACTGCGAGAGTCGCTATTGTTAGAAATGACGTTAGCAACCCAGCAATTTACTGAGTCACGATTTCCAAATGATAAACGGCTAAACCTAATAGATCACAAGTAGAAGACGTCCCTCTGTATTGTCAGTGTAGACCACGTAGATGGAGGTGAGCAATATTCATGGCGCTCGCCTGCCGTGAACACTCTAGTTAGGGCCGAGCTTTTAGGGTTCGTCTTAGTATGGCCTTAATATTGAGAACACAGGTCTTCCAAGATCGACCATCGAGGCTGCCTAAGTCCGATGGATTCCCACGAACGAGACCAGCAGCAGGGTCGTCACTTGTACTACCATTGGTGTTGTTGTTGTTCGTACCACCTCCACCATGAACACTAGTAGTTGTGGTAGAAGTAGTTGCATTGGTGCCATGATTGTGATTCGCCGTAGTTGCAGGTGAAGCCGTAGTCCCAGTACTGGTTGTACCAGTACCAGCGCGAAGATTCGGATGATTATTGTTCCTTCCTCCAGGAGCTCCCGATCCAGAATAACGTTGTTGAGCAGTAGAGGAGGAATTACCAGCATTAGATGAAGCGCCCCCTCGTCCTCGTCCCGACGCAATCGCCCTATCTTTCGCGGCCTGGAGGCCGTTGCGATCCATACCCAGGTCATTGACACCGTAGCAGAAATGCGCATGGCATCCAGAATTTCTCACCATCTGCAAGATGTGCAGCCTACTTAAAGATAGTAGTCGGTGATCACGATCCCAGGTTGAGTGACTTGTCTTGTTTTTCCTCTTAGTTTATTCCCCTTAGTTTATTCCCATTGACTGACCTCCACGAGGAAAAGCCCGCTCAGGATAGTCCACCAGCCCAGATAAGCTGACAATCTACTTGAAGAGATTTTACATCCACTACACAGACTAACCTTAATTTACGCGATTCTCTAGCATCGCCAGTACGAGGCCGAAAGAGGCGGTCGCAAACGCGACAAGAAGCGATCTCGACGCGGCCTCCAGATTGCATTTTGATGATTGAAGATCAGAGGGCTGTGATAGTGACTGTAATCAAAATCAAAAGAGAAAACTTAATGGGGTTCGTTCGTGTTCTGCTCAAGAGCTTTTAGACTCTAAAGAAAGGCATACCTAAGATATGACTTTTTAAGTATAAGATGTAGTATATGCATATCGCCATTGGTTTGGTCTGGTGGCACATGTAGAGTCTGTTTAGTACCGTGCACAGCACGCAACGCCTCACGTAACGACGGCTCAACGACGTAACGACACAGTGCTTTATTTTCATTGCAGCGCATGCTAATCCTCTTCTACAATGATCGACAGGCAGCTTGGTGGATCTTCAAATTAGTACTCGCAGTTAAACCATTGGATCACGAGTCCAGAACAAGAAAGCCCCATCCTAAGGGTAAGATCAGGATATGCAAGCTGAGGAAACGCGATGAAGCTTGCGTGTAATTTCGCTTGCCTCTGTAGTTTCGCTTGCCTCTTCTATTGCTAGAGGTTGCATCTGTGCTGGTTAGTCCTCCCACGCGTGCAGGATACTATAACGCGAGAAATTCAGACTCAAATTTGCGTCTGAAGATTAGCTCCTAGGTCAAAACAACTGTGAAACTAAATTACTAGGTACAAGCGTCTCATAAAGATTCGGAGAGCTAGTGTTGGCCGTCAAGTTTTTCGTGAAGCAACCAATTGTTCTTCAAAAGAAACTGGCCAGTAAAGTAGCTCTAAATCCTTGTGATACTCCATTCCGAACTTTTAATCCGACCATGGGAAAGGCTTGATTAGAGGTCGTGGATAGCGGCAGTGGAATGAAGTCTTCTAATGTGCACAGATTCAAGTACTTCGTTATAAAAAGACAAGCTAACACATGACAGAGCACGCAGTAGTATGACAGACTGTATCAAGGGTACTACTAATTTCGTAACCGAAATAGGAGTAGGAGACTAAAGCCAAAAAACATCGCTCCTCAATTCCACTTTCTCTTTACAGCACCAATTGTAGACCATTTTGAAGTGCTGCTTTCGCTGCTTCCCGCACACGTTGATGCTCGAAATCGTTGCTCACGCACCCATTCGCCTCTAATCTCATCACCTCCGGACGATTGTCCAACAATTGCTCGAGACCCATACTCGTAATACTAGTCCCACTCAAATACATTCGTTTCAGCGATGCTACTTTGGCTAAAGCAGTAGCAGATCGATCCGTCACGCCCTTTAAATCGTGCGCATCTAGTTCTTGCAGTTTTACGCAGTACTCCGCGATGGCTTCGAGGCCGACATCAGTGATGTTGCACTTAAAGACGTGCAACGTCTGAAGTTGTTTTCCCAGAGCGCAAGCAATGGCATGGCAGCCAATGTCGGTTACTAGAGTGTCAGCTAGCTTAAACGTGTGAAGCTTGCTTTTTGAAGTTGTAGTTGTCATAGTCAACATTGGTGGAGGTCTATGATTTCTACTTGGGTCTTTTTGAAGGAGAACTGGATCTTTTGCTTTTGAATCAACTACAGCACCACTATTAAAGGCTGAAACAATTCATATTTGTCTTGCATATTTGCGACGTTTCTTCTTGAAATGTGTCAAATATAGAAGTGCACAAATATGAAATGCTTCAAGTCTTAACACTATCTCCGGTTCTTCCTTCCACATCTCCGGTTCTTCCTTCCCCAGCAGCATATCCTTCTTCGTCTACACCCAGTAACATCCGCACCCCTGTATCTGTGAGTGCCGTTGTATTGATGCCTAAGACACGCAATTCCGCACAATTGGCGGCAACCGATGCAGCACCAACATCCGAAAAAGCTGTCCGCGACAGTGCGAGCATGTGCAGCCCTTGGCAATACTTCAGGAATTCAGCGCAACCAACGTCCGTCACTGAAGTGCGGTTGTTAGAAGAAGAGCAGAGGGGCCCATCTCCATTCTGGTAATAAGCTTTGAAGCAAGAAACTCAGTGGTTCAATTTGACTACAATGTACACCTATCAAAGAGCTTTCCATTCTGGTAATAACAGTATGAGGAAAATTTAAGGTATCACAACATCGAAACCGATGACACAGGTAAGACAACTACCGATCTAGTCTAATTAATTTGCTACCCAAGAACGGTATTTCTGGTAACAAATTTGCTACCCAAGCACGGAATTCCCTTGCTCAAAACTATCTCTATCCTAAGCAACCGAATTCACGATTGAAAGCTAAGTCATCAGGTCAACATTCCAAACTCCATATATTTGCATAGGGCGTGCTTGTGGTGTCTTAACATTGAGAAACAGTTTCTGCAGTTTACTACTGCCACCTCCAGCTTCGTGGATTCGTCGACAGATCAAGACTGCGATATCATCATCAATTTCGCTGTTGTCAGCAGCAGAAAGTTTTTCTAGATGGCAACAATGCATTGCTACTTCTCGAGCAACCATGGCTGGAAGATTCGCGCTCGTGATCGTCAGTACACGACACACGTGTCCATGTTTCTGTGCCCAGGCTGCGACATCTTTAGCTGCAGGCTTACTCGCTTTGGTCCCTAATTTCTCCAGTGTTGGCGATTTCTTCAACATCGTCTGCACTACTGGTAGACTGTAAGCAGTAGCAGAATTCCATCTTAACGAGCAGCTCATAATTGCTCCCGATTTTCATTTCTCAAACAATGGGACCTACCACGATGTTCTGGGAGATGGATTTATCGAAGATGGATTTGTAGAAGATGGATTTGTAGAAGATGGACTTTTGGATGCTGGATTTATGGAAGATGGACATGTTAGTCGACGAATGTGTGAGTCATGCCTTAATAACACTGTACTAGCTGTGCCAGAAGTCGACGTGTCCTTTCCATGTACATCCTCTTTCGTGAAGGTTACGTCCACGTTGGTAGCCGTTTCATACAAAGTCCGGACGTGTTTGGCCTCGTACAGCAACTCAAGAGATAATCGACCCAAGTGAACCAACGTCCCAAACAGCGAGACCCAGAAAACGAAATCCAGTTTCACCCCAGAAGAAGAAGTACTACCGCTTCCAGTGCCTCTCTTCGCGTACAGACTTGAGTATGAAGAGAGACAGAGTGGGGACTAGGCGAAGTTGTGGTTGTGCCGTACGATAGTGGAAATAAGATCTACTTCTGCTTCATCAGTCACATGTCTACTTCTTCTTTGTTCGCTTCTAGCATAATTAGTGTTGCCCGAATACTCCACCACAGATTCGGGGCCAAGCACTGCGTCCTTCCTCTACCGTAGTTCATAACAGCAATAGCAAATACAGCAGTTCGATGCAGAGCTCCGGCAAATCAGCTAGGAGAATCACTGCTAATATTGTCCGGATGTTGGTTTCGGATTCTGAGTGTAGAAGATGAAACTCCAAGGCTAGAGGGTGCATCTCATGCGAAGTGCCATCAGCATTGAAGAATTCCTTTGCTTGCCTAAAGGTTGAAGCGATGCACTTCTTCCCACTGTTGGGCTCGATGAGGTACAATTAGAAGCAAGTGGTTGAACTCTTCTTTTTTTATCCATTGACTATAATCGTGCGGTAGCTAGCTAGGAACTAATTGACTATCATGATAAACAGTCACTTTCGGGCTAACTACACACTCATTACACCACACATTCATTACACGCTCCTCCTCTTCTTGTAGCCTTAATACAAGAAAACAAAAGCGAAGAATTTTCTCCGCTGGTCTGCTCGTCCATCCGGATTGGGTCTTTTGACTCGTATATACCCCGTTGACAGGTCTGACTTGTAGATGTATCCAGGATCAACTTCCGGATATGCTGACAGGGCGATTAAGAGCCGCACCAACAGGCTTAGGGTAAATGTTATCACCGCCAGAATGTAGAGGACGCTGAGAGAGAGAAAGGCTTCACTCTCCTCAAGTTTATTGCCGGTCGAAGCGTCGTGACGCAAAGTCGTTGTTAGAGAGATGAGGATCGAGAGAGAAAGCTGGTAGTCTTTCACGACACGACCCTGCGACCCCGTTTTGGTAGAAGATTCAACGACGATAACCACTGCTTTAGTGCTATTGATGTGTCGACCCCGGATAATAGGATACAGTGCCGTCGATTGTTGTCACCCCTAACTATATGAGATGTCGCAAGTTCGATATGAATGTCGTCGTGAGGTCTAATATTACAAGCCTTAAGGTGAAGATGAATAGAATGCTGCCCGTTTCGTTCAAGAGTTCAAGCCCACTTTCGTATAGTTCGTTAATTTTTTCCCGCAACTGCTCTCGACCTCGCAAATACGAAGGACGAGCTGCCATACTTCTCCTATCGTGATTGTGAGGAGCATTGTAGTTATCCGCTGCAGGAGCAGTCTTTCTATTCCGTAACCTGGAACGCAGAATGGAACAGCATGATCGGACATATTTGCTGTTTCTTCCCGCCACCAAACTCGCAGTTTCTTCGCGTGCTTGCAGCCACGACCGCAGGTTGCCTTCGACGGCACAGATAGCGCCATTTAGACGTTAGTTACCCTTATTCATCCCGGAGAGCATCTTTGCCGCGTGTGTCCCTTAACGAAGGGGCCAAAGATGCTTCTAAAGATGAATTACTGTGAGCCCTAAGTTATACTGCGTCTGTCGATCCTCGGGATCCAAGTCGCGTACCCGAATCCCCTCACGTTCTACGAAGTTGGGATTCTTAAAGAGACCCGACTCCAGTGCTTCCTCTAGTAAACGCAACAAGGTGCGCTGCTGCTCCACACTTAGCAACATTTAGCGCTGTTGCTCCACACTTTTAGCAACATTGAATCAGGAGAACGCCAAGACTCTTGCTGTCAGAAGTCTTGCTGTCTGTACTAAGAATAAAGCCATGTCCTTATTGTGCTTGTTCTACTTGTTAACTGTAGTAGAAAACAAGCTATGTACTTATTGTTGTTGGTATCTGCAATAGTGCAACTGCTTTGTAGCCTTTATCCATATTTTCCGCGTACAAAACAAGTACAGCAATGAATTTGGATGAAATGTTTCACTCCATGTGGAACGGCCTGGTTTGCGACGTTGCTATTCAGGGATGCAAATCATCAATTTGGTTAGGTTAGGTTATGGATCCTGCACAGCGAGCCCCGCCGGCACCTGCTCGCCTCAGAGGATGATGGGCGACCTGCGTAAAGTCAGCAAGCACCGAGGCTGATGACCTGAGTAAAGTCGTAGCCATATGACCGAATTTTGGGGTAAAAGTAAAGGCATTATATTATTGTCAATAGGGACTAAGAATATCCAAACAAAAATAAAGGCATTACATACTCAGCAACTAGTACTGTTGTTGATCTTTCAACCTAGACTTGTACTGGTCGTGCTCTCTCAAAAGTTGTATTGAGTGCTCTCTCAAAAATGGTATTGTACTGGTCATGCTCTCTCAGAAGAATCTCCTCTCAAAAGTACTATTGACGACCGATATACATTGACGAGAATGCAGCTGCTCGCGAGAGCTTGATCCGTAAAAATCTCGCTGGACGGGTCAAAGATGCTTAGAACAAGGAGGTAAGAGGGGAGGAGAGAAGGATGGTACAGGTTTCTGAAAGCTAGGCATCAATAGCTGTTGCGAATTTTCTCGAAAAAAGATGAACCACTCTTTGGCGAATCGATACCAACCTGAGGAAGGAAATAGAATGGATGAAATAAGTTGTAATTGAGAGTCATATAATACTTGCGCGCCTAGCTCCTTGTTGTGCTTCAGCATCATCGCCATGGTAAGTATCCCATTTTGTACTACTAGCCTAATGGCGGGACAAAACAGTTCCAGTAGTGTAACAGGAAACGCATGGGATTTCAGAAACGGGTAATAAATGTATGGTTTGAGAATGACTACTCCACTAAACCACAAACGCCGCTGCAAGCAATAAAGTAAGCGTAAATTACTAGGAAAATCATAGCCAGAAAGAACCGCATTAAGGAATAAGAAGCAAGAAACGAAGATTTTTACATGGATGTGCGAGAATGAGCGAAGCGCTAGTAATAAACATCGCCTTCGTCACAAATTCAACAGTCTGACTTTATCGCTCAGCCCATTCTATAAAGTAGAGTAGCTCCGTTTACTTCTTCTTCTTCATCGCCTTGGCAGTGAACGCAGAGGATTTCTTTGCGTCCACCTTAGTAGTGGAGGACCTCTTCACCGACTTTCCCCTTTTGTCGCTGCTCTTCTTCACGGGAGTCCTCTTCACCGGCTTTCCCCTTTTGTCGCTGCTCTTCTTCACGGGAGTCCTCTTCACCGGAGCTCCCTTCGCTTTTGGCACCTTGATGGGAGTTCCCTTCTTAGCCGTCCTCTTGGCGGCAGAAAACCTTGATCTTGAACTCGAGGCACGTGAACTCGTCCTGGTGGGACAAAAAGTTTTAGTATTAGCAGTGGTAGACGTAGCAGACGTTGTTGTCGTAGAGGTAGACGCTGTTGTCCTCCTCGTGCTAGAAGTGGCAGCTTTCTTGCTCTTTTTGTCGGCGGCCTTTCTGGTAGTTTTCGACGGGTCCTCCAGCGTCTTCTGCAGCTCCCTGTAGGCCTTTTTTCTCGAAGCCTTGCATCTCTTCTGTTCAGACGATTTTTTCATCTCCATTGTAGCAGCACTCTGACACGCAGTGGAAGTAGAGGCTGAGGCTGAGGCTGATGCTGTAGAGGTTGAGGCTGTGGACAAGAGAGAGGCTGTTGAGGCTGTAGAAGTTGAGGCTGTAGAAGTAGAGGATGTATGTCGTGAACATGTTGAAGAAGCACTCATCGTTGTAAGAGTATGACTCATTTCCATTTTCTTGTTTTTTGCAGCACTAGACACTTGATCGTAACCAACACCAGACGAAGTTGAAGACGCAGCAGCCTTCGAATACGGATGAATACCAGTCGCCTTGGCTTGCCCCGTCTTGTTGTCGGCTGAACCTGAAGTCTTCTTTTCTAATACGTCCACATCTCCATCAACGATACTGAGACCTTTGATATCTTGTTGGGCTTTCGACTTTGCTGGAAGCTCCGCAGGACCGTTGCCATTCGCTTTATGGAGTACTCCTGCAACAGGATTATTCCTCTTCACAGAGCCTTCATCTTCTTGCGCACCATTGGTTCTCTTGGTTTTGTTCTTGTCTGCCGCGACTGCCATCGCAGGAGTTGCTACAACTCTATCCGCAGACTTCACCTCAGGCTTGTTTAGCTGTCATAGATTGATAGTTTTTGATTCATTCATGATAAAAAAAGATGTTCATGACACATAGTGTGAGACTCGTCACGATAGAAAATGAAAACCCAGCTCCGCAACATTCACGGCAGTCATGAAAAATGGCAGAAGTAAATGAGTATGACATTAAAGAGCTATACAAATAATCTGATGTTGGATACTGATACTGTGTTTTGCTGCTCAAAGGCGTTGCTGCTATGTTCGACCGTTGGTTCAGTCTTGTCCTCTTCCAGCTTCTCGTTCTTTGATGCCGCAGCTGCTGCAGCAGAAGATAAACAAATAACAGCGGCGATTTTACTGGTCTCATCAATCTTGATCTTACCAAGAAGAGCAGAGCCTTGCCCTTCTAGATAAAAACTGGGCTCCTTCCTTCCCTGAGCTGTTCCTACTTGTGTGGCCGACGCTGAAGGAGGTGAGGATGAGGAAGCCGAAGTAGAGCAGCAGCTGGACGAGTTGTTGTTGTTCCCATTAGCAGAAGCATTCTTCATATGCTGCAGCGCGGCGTCAGCGCGGCGCGCCAGGATCATGTTCATGTTAGCGCTCACCCTTATCTACCCTGAGATGCATCCTGGGACCTTTTCCCCCTTGAAAACGACTTCAAGATGCTTCCGCAGATGGATTAGGGGAAGCCTTAATAATGGGACGAAAGTCCCCTTGTGGAAGGTTCTGAAACCGGCTGAGGCCGCTTCGCGTCTTCCCCCGCCCTTGGCAAAGCTCTTGCCACCACTCTTTGGCCTCCGCCTCCGTAGTGATATCACCCAGCGGTCGGCCGTCGCAGAATAACATCCCGACGTAGCTGTAGCGCAAGATTTTGTACGCTGCCTCCTCCTCTTCGGATATTAGAGCTACCACGTCGCATCCTTTTGAGCCCATCCCTGCGCCCTTTTTCCCCTTGCAATAGAAGCCAAGGATGGCGTTGAGGATGCGTCAGTGGTAGCCTTGAGGTTACGTACTTCAGCTGTTTGAATTTCTTGTCGATGCTGTCCGCCAAGATCCTCCCAGCGCTGCGCCGGAGCTTCAGCGTCTTGCGTGCCCACTCCGCTCGCTTCGAAGGCACTTGCTCCCAGGGAAGTGCGGCGACGTCATCCCTATTCACCACGATTGCCTGTGCACAGTAGAGGAAAAAGTAAAAATAGTTTGTAGTTAGTTACATCATACTTAGTTATTATAAATGCAGGAGATATTGTTGCACGAAGAGTGTAAAGTCTTTTACAATCTAGATCGTCTGAAAATAATCATTCAAAAGCGTACCAAAAACCTATTTCTATTACCTCTTGCTGGCACCTCTGTATCTTCGCTAACGTGGCCGCTTTTATTTCTCCATTTGGCTCCATTTCAAATTGTTCCTTCAGAACATTCAGCTTCTGCTGTATTAAAACTCTGAAATTGCCTAAAATTGTCAACTTCTGAAACTCGTGTATAGCCTCCAGAAGCTCCCCCGCAATTTTACTGCGTTTCTCCGCTAACCTGTTGAATCAGTAACGGCCACGCGTATTCAGTGGAAGGTACTTAATTCATTTTGATGGGGGGGCTTTAATCATCACAGACATGAAATGAGTGAGCAGCTGAAAGAAAAATCGAGTTTCTGTCACTCGCGATACATCGTAGTTATGCAGACCGGAGAATGGACGTTCTTCTGTACGGAGTGAAAAAACTAGCATCAACCGGTCCTCCACGTGCTGACCATGTGACCACAACCCTTGCCTCTACTGAAGCTAGCTTCTTCATGCTCGAAACAACATCAAATCAAAAAACAAAGCGCAAAAATACTTTTCGTCCACTAGTTCCCTCCCGCGCATCAGCACTTCTATCTTGTCAATATCAGTCGCCGCGCGGTTGTACTCTTTCCTCATTTCCTTATTCAGAACTGATTCGGTGACTGTACGGCTTTCCCACTTTTGGAAGGCACATCGGTGCTTGGCAGTGTCGTGGCCGCAGCGGCTGCAGTTGACGAGTTCGGCTGTACGCGAGGAGAAGAGCGGGTTACAACACGACGCTGGAAAAGAACAGCCGCAGCCGCCAACTGTGCATCGCCGGTGAAGGCTGTCGGTTTCCTGCAACTCCAGAACTCGGGTCTCAATTTCGGTGCGGAAGTTGGCGTTCAGCTGTTTAGCTTTCTTCGCCTCCTCCAACTTCTTGCTGTATTTGTCAAGTTCATCTCACATTAGAGCAGGAGCTCACAGTTATTTCGTGTTGTGGTTTATGTCATCTACTCAAGTTCATAGTTTATGTCACGTCTACTCAAGTTTGTTCAGGGTCCTCTAAGGAGGAGAACTCAGGGAGACCAAAACCAAGAGATAGAGAAATACTCGTCTTTGGAAGTGATCAGTCTTGTCAATTCCTAGAGGGGAGGCAAAGAGGGGTGACATCATGTGAGGAGACTGACTAAGAGAAGCATCACTCAGGGATCAATTATAATGTAAGAGTACTCTCTGATGATGTTAGTCGGTTCGGATTGGACCTACGTCGACTTCCCTGAATCTTCTTTGAGTTCTAAGAATACTCTATTATAGCAGCACTGTAGAGTATTATTTCTAGTTATAACTTCAGCTTTTGCTGCCTCTGGCAGGTGACAAGGTTCGCTTGGAAGCTTGCTTCGATCTTCTTCCTTTTCTCGTACGCCATTGAAAACTTCTTTGTTTCCACTCCCTCCAGCTCTTCCAAGTCCTCAAAAAGTTCTGCGATCGTGTACGCGCAGTTCGTCACCTGAGACCTGGCATAGGCGTTATCGATCCGTATTGATCGCCGGTTGCACCTCGCCCTCATCTTGGGTATTGGTGTAGATGATCCGCACGCTGTCCACTGCGTCTCTCGAAAGCAAGCTGAAAACTTCCTGGAGTACGTACCGCATACTGTGCGTCATCAGTCCCATTCTTCCGTTCAGGACGACAAGAATTAGAAAAAGGAGACAAACTAAGAATCAGTAGAGGCTTCATGATCTCGTCAGGTAGATGCTTCTAATGATGGATCATCCGATGAACATGGGAGGTCTACGAGGAAAAACTGTAATCGTTTCATCTCTTACAAGTAGCCGTAGATGGATTAATCACAGTTACAACTAGATGGAAGCCGTAGCAGAATGCTACTCACCGTATCCACCTCCTCGATTGCTTGGATAATGAGCTTCGCGTTTTCTTTGTCTTGCTCTGTCCCACGCGTGTCAGCGAACCCTGGTGTGTCTAGGATTTCGAGATCTCCAATCTTATAGAACGTCGCGCCCCGAGTGCGGGACTCCCCGACGTCCGTGCTCTCCTTTGCCTTGTTGCATCGCGGCTGCTGACTCACTGCCCGAAAAATCTGGGCCCACTGTGGGGCAGTGCTGTTCTCCTTTCGGAGAATCTGCGCCACCGTCTCGTCATTACTCAGCAACAGTTCCAAAAGAGCCGTCTTCCCTGCACTACTTGGACCTAGTAGCACGACGCGGTGGTTTTTTGACCCCAGGGTATTTCTAGACTTGTTATACAGCTTCGCTGTTTCGTCCAGTGTCCTCTCTCCATCGTCCTCATCCACGTGTTGATCCATCATTCTTTTTATGCCAATGAATTACTTATCACAAGTTAGTATACACTAGATAAAAAAGAACAACAAGATTAGATAAAAAAGGAAGTATACACTAGATAGTTAAGTATACACTAGATAAAAAAGAGAAGTCGCCTAGTTGAATCAAAGTCGATAACAACGAGGTACTACGCCCGTTGGTATGCAGCCGAATGATTATATCCCTGGAAATGCATAGAGTACTAGTTTTCGGTTTGCTCGTCAGGCTCAGGCATCCTCACTCTCTCAGCTTATTTCTAGTTAATATCACCAGCGGGGGCAATGTCATCATCAATAAACTCACCTAATCATCTTCTGCCGCCTCACCAATTAATTTCAACAAGAACGTGACATCGCTCCTAAAAATTAGGATGAACTTCAACGATTGCCATTCTCAGTTTCTCTTTCTCCAGCGCAGAAAAAAAAAAACATCCGGAAAAGATTTTCATCAAATATGTTTGTCCCGCCAGGTTGTGTGGTCGTACAATATAAACGTCCGACTGTGCTCAGGCGCGATGTTCTCATACACTCAGGCCGCCTAGATTTCAGACGTGAAAGATGAATACTCATTCTGCAAACCACCCCGCACAAGCCGACATACACACGCTCGCGCGTGTCACTTCCCAACACTGACGCGTGCACATCGTGTAACAGACTCGAGTTGTATACAACGCCAATTTCCGCAACATGTCGCGCAAGAATGCTTCGTCGTGTATGTTTCATCTGCACTTGAAAATCCTCCAAAAGAAAAGCGCGAGACACCGACGTCGCCCATGACCCGGAGCCATTTTGGCTCAAGGGTTGTAATTCGGCCGCATATCGATAGGTCTGCTTTCGCAGGTTTAGGCTAGCGCTCGAGGCCGATAGAACTTATTTTTTGCGCTTAGGCTCCTTTTCTACGCATGAGGTAAGTAGGTGTTCCGGGCGATCTTCATCATATCATAGAATCATAGAGCCCTATCATGTATTAAGCTCCTGTATTTGGTGCAGCTCCAAGCGACTCGCCTTGTTTGGATACGACGTATTTTGCGTGTGCCTGGTTCGTTGGGTAGCACAAGATATCCGCAATTTGAACGTGCGGTGGTCTCGTCACCGCATACGTTACCTGATCCGCGATGTCAGCCGCACATAGAGGCACGATGTTCGCGTAGACATTGTGTGCTTTTTCCATATCCCCTTTGAAGCGGACTACTGAAAATTCCGTGTCGCAGAGTCCTGGAGAAATAGTGGTCACTCGCAACGGCGTCCCGACTAGGTCACACCGGAGGGCGTCCGCGTAACCACGGATAGCGTGCTTTGTTGCGCAGTAGCTTGAGCCCCCTTCATAAAAATCCTTCCCGGCCACACTAGATATATAGACCAAATGACCCGCAGCTTGCTCACGCATTTTCTTTCCGAATAACGAAGTCAAATGGGCACAGGCGATGACATTCGTCTGAAACATCTGCATCGTGTCTTCGTAGGGCGTTTCATCAGCGGCATTAGTACCCAATGCGAGACCGGCATTGTTTACCAAGATATCAATCACGCCAATTTCTTGTGCCAGCTTCTCTACCGCTTTTTTGTCCGTGACGTCGAGTGTCACGCAGACGATACTTCCCTCCAGACAATACGGGTGTGAGAATCCACCTCCACCATTTCCATCAGTCTCGGCTCTCTCATCCAAAACAGCCGAGTCTTCTTCGCCTTCTGGTTTTTGGTGCTCGATCTCGTCCATAAGACGTTGCTTAAGCGCGTCTAGACGCTCTGTGCGTCTACCACATAGGACCAACTTCTTCAAGCCCAGCTCGGCAAAACGACAGGCGATGGCCTCCCCAATCCCTGCCGTTGCTCCAGTGATCAAAGCCGTCTTCCCAGACAAACCTTGCGCTGAGTAATATCGGGATTCGGGGAGCGTGACGTTGTGCGACTTCATCTTCTCGGAAGTAGAAGTGGTGGTCGAGGACATGTTTGGCAGGATCATAGATAAGTCAATTTAATAGTTCTTGTGTGAAAAGTGGACAACAGAATAGTTACAACGAACAGCTGGGTGAGTGAATGAATGAATGAATGAATGAATGTGCCTAGCAGGAGGTGTTTGGACGTCCTTTAATTAGATGCTTGTGGACAACAGAATAGTTTTTACAACGAGAATTCCGCTGGTTATCAAAATCATACAGTGAGTCATGAAGAGATCAAAGAAGTGTTTTTGTTTTGCTTAAAAAAAACTGCCGAAAAATTTTCTTATAATACGAGAAAGTTGACCAGAGAAGAAGAGACACGACACTAAATTTTGTTTGAGGAACAAGTAGCGCAGCGTGGGTGCTGGGTGGGCAAGGACAGACATTTGATTTCCTTAGTCTCCTTCATTTTTTACAACTCTTTAGGCTTTCAAACAGAGACCAAGTAGAGGCAGAGGAACGGATTTATTTGGAGGCCGAACATATTCATATTGCAAGGTTGAGAGCATAGATTTAGATGGGAAAGAACCGAACTAAGAGAGTTGAACTCGTTGAAGAACCGACTGAGGGAATATTCTGGTAATAAGGGTATGCCTCTCTCTCCTATTCCGGATCACATGACATTGAGTTTGGATTTGCCAACATTGATGAAGCAAGCATCTGCCCACTTCCGAAGATCATTGCTGCTGAACATACTTACTTACAAAACAAAGGACCTAATTTGGTGCATTCTTCGATGACAATGATGAACATAAAAATGCATTTGCAAGACCACGTTGAATTTCAGTTGTATGCCACATGCGTGCTCTTTCTCTAATATTTGCAACAGCAAATCAGTGCTCCCCTGACCTACGGGAAGACTCAGCGACTCAGGCTCAGCGCGCACTTCCTTATGTTGGCCTGATGATCCGATTCCGTTATTTGGCAGCTTGCCTAAGATTTCCCTGACGATATCTACCCGCTCGGTTGAGCTATGAAGGTGCCAAAAATTCCAAAAAAGCCACCGCTCTCGCGCAGAATTGCTGGTCTATTTCGTCCATCTTGCGCATATTAGCAACTCCCAGCGCTGTCAACAACACGCGAGGACTCGCGTTCCCGGATAAGGCGAAGATATTTTCTAAGTAGGTGGTCCTCGGACTGGTCTACTTCGCCATGAACAGTAGAAGCAGTGGTAGTCTTTGTCTTAGAACTAGCAGACCTGGTATTAAATGAGGAATCTTCAAGAAAGTCAATCAAAGCAGACTGATCTTGGGAGTTTTTTCCAGACAACGACAAATCGTGACTCTTTCTTTCATCTCTGTCGCTTCCCTGCCTGTCGTTTGGCTGTTTGTCGTTTGGCTGTTTGTCGCTTGGCTGTTTGTCGCTTGGCTGTTTGTCGCTTCCCTGCCTGTCGTTTGGCTGTTTGTCGCTTGGCTGTTTGTCGCTTGGCTGTTTGTCGCTTGGCTGTTTGTCGTTTGGCTGTTTGTCGCTTGGCTGCCTGTCGTTCGGCTGTTTGTCGCTTGGCTGCCTGTCGTTCGGCTGTTTGTCGTTCGGCTGTTTGTCGCTTGGCTGTCTGTCGTCCTCCTGCATCCTCCATCTTTTTACTGCATCTTCTCCTCCGAAAAAAATTGATAACGATACTTCTTCACCTGACATCTCAATCGGAAACCGACCGCCCCCACCGTCGATCCGACTATCAGCTTCCAACTTTCCATACTCCTCATCATCCGTCAAACCAAAAAGAGATCGGGGATTTGGATGGTTTCCTCGTAGGTGCGACGACACCAAGGAGTCCCAGATTGGCCGCGGACGGTATTCAATTCTCGCACCCTGATAGACCGAAGGTTAGATAAGGATGAAGTTTTGCTATGTCATTTGTCTACGATTTGACTTGCCACATCAACTTACTCAAGGACCATAATGCGTCTTGTTCTTCTCGTCTTGTGAGTTCTTATGAACTAAACCTTTTATTTCTTGCTCCCTCTTGTGGTTTTTCTTGAGTAGCATCAATCATTGAGATTATTCCAAGACCTAGTGAATCTACATTCGTTGCCATAAAAATTGACGCATTTTAGATGCCCACTGGCGACCTTCACACGGTCATTGAACTCCAAACGGGTCTCCACGCTCATGGACTTCAAAAAATCGCTGATATCCTCGTCTTCAGCCGCTTCTTTTAGAGCTACCGCATTAGCATCCTTGGGAGCATCCTTGGCGCCTTTTTCAAGTAGAAAAATAAGTACCTCCACCAAGGATGATGCCCCTAAATAGAGGACATGCTTCAGCGGTAGCCTTAATTCTTTCCTTCTTTTTGCCGCTTTACTTTTCAATGCATTTAAGTATTCCCCGAGTATGGTACCCAATTCTTCTTGTCTAGCTGATGAGACTTGTTGGGAAGTCGAAAGAGAATTGTCGAGAACCTTTTCCACGAGTTCTGCTGGTTGTAAATGCAGAAACTCGTCTTGATGTGGATCATGTGCTGGGCCCTTCTCTTCCTGACGTTCTTCTTCAACAGGGCTTCCCAGCTTGTTCTTCGGATCCTCTTCAAGAAGATGATCATTCTCCTTCTTCTTCTCTTTGACCTTTTTCTCTTCCTCCTCTCCATCAAGGAGAAGGTGATCGTTCTCCTTCTCCCCTTTCAAGTCGTCGCGTCGGGATTCACTGTCCTGCAGTAGTTTCCGCCAGGACGCCACCGGCTGTAGCATGCTTGTCGCCCCCGAAAAGATTCCCTCCATAGGGTTGGCAAAAAATAAGCCGGACTCAAGCGCATAGACAATTCCGGTCACGTCCCACGCGTCCAGTTTCTGGTCGAAGCTCTTTGCATTCTGAAACGCGAAAGAGAAATCTTGAACCCGCCACACGTCCCACGCATTCACTCTTAGCGGGTACGGGTGCTACAGCTCTTAACTAACTCATAACGCTAAGCCTCCTAGCAACGCTAAAAACAAATGTAACGAGGCCGCGCTTAAGGCGATTCCCAGTTTTCTACATCTATTGGGATTGCTTTACATCACAGGCGAGTCTATCCGATGCGGACTGATGTAAGGCGGTCTCCTGAAAACGACTCAGTTCCGAGGAGTACAGCACTGTAGGCTCCAGAAGGGTCGCTTCTCTAGCAGTGTTGTTTCCACTGGGTACTTGAGTCCTAGCCTCAGCGACTACTTGGACTTTTTATAATTATACTACATACTAGAGGTTGAACATTACTAGCTTCATTGCTCCACTTACTCTTTTTTGCACAAATACAAAAAAAGATGACATATAACTGTGAATGAATTCATTCATAAAAGCGGTTGGTTGAACGCACCAGCACCAGAAAAAACACCGCCGAGGCTTGTCACTTTCGACACGTCCCACTTCTCGAGCGGTGGAATTTAGAAAATAAAATCAATCAAATTCTTGGCTATGTAGAGGTATACTTCCACCCGGCTCTCTAACCTAGTGAACGAGGACTAGCCGTTGCACTTGCATATTATAAAAATAGCAGGTGCTTCAAGGATTATCATAGTACCTCTGCACTTCTCAGCAAGAACAATCGTTGCCTAGAACAATCTAGTTAGTACTGACTTCTAGTTAATAACTAGTCAGAACAATAGTCAGAACTGAATAGTCAGAACTGAATAGTTAGCCTAATACCAATTAGTTACCTAGAACTGAATAGTTACAGCCTAGAACTGCTAGTCAGAACAATAGTTGCCTAGTTAGTACTTCTGCACTTCTCGGGAAGAACTGACTAGCCATAATGATTGAACTTTTCTGCCATTGCAAAGGCGCGGGCGAGATCTGTGACCTTCGAGGTACTCCAATTTTCAATTTCTTGGCGATATTAAAGGTAGTCTGTCAGTCATCATCTGTGGTAGAGTGGACTCGTCTCATTCTCACCCGCCTCAAAGTTGATGTCGTTTCTTGATGATATTAATTAGGAGGGGAATCGTCCTCGTTCGTTGGGTCCCCCCCTTCAAATTAGACAGAGAATCCAATCAGCATACTTAGTCCACACGAGTCCCCACAAAATAATGAGTGAGACGATGACTAGCCACCTATTGTTCTTAATTAAAAGCCGTGGCACCATGGAAAATGCCGCTCAGATCCTTTACACGTTCTGTATTCCAGCTTCCGATCGGTTGGTTGTACGCTGCCGCCTGCGCAAACATGTCACGCATTGTACACGCATGTGCTTAGAGCTCAGAAACAAGCTTTTCTTCGGATTGAGTACGACTGTAGAAGTGGAATTCTAAGAAAGTCTAAGACGCATTCACCTCATTGAGTTGTAAGTGCAGCTAATTCATATATTCATACTGAACAGTATTACAAAAGAAGGCCTTTACCTCATGCTTGAATAAGAAATTGCTTCATTTGAACTAGAGGACATGAGGAAGAGGTCAGCCTCAGCATCTCGAAGAAAGATTTAGTAGCTAGTCCCTTGCCCTTCTTACAACCATCCTTTAAATAAAACCTATTTTCGAGATGACAGCCTTCGCCTTACCTTTGAGTATCCCAGTCGCCTAAAGGCTGATCAAAGCTCCTTGCCGCGAAAAACGTACCCGTAAAATTCTGTACCCGCGATACGTCCCACGATCCAATCGGCTCATTAAATCCCTCAAGACCAGCGAAAAAACGTTAGAGGAGACACGAGAAGGAACAACAACTAGTAGTATTATAAGTATTTGAAGACCTACCAGAGACGCCAACAAGAGACGACTTCTACAGCTAAAAAAACCCTAACGACCTTAATGTGCAGAGTTGTATTTCCGAACAGATAAAGTTTTCTTCTATTTTCACAAAAGGTCGCACGACTTGTTCCTACAAAATTTAATACTCTCACCTACTTCTTCAAGAAGTCGATTTTAAATGAAAACGTTAACATGAGAACAAGAAAAAGAGCCCCGTGGTGGTGCTATTTTTCATCATCAGCGCATTTCAGAAAATTATTCTTAACTATTACCAAGAGATGAAACCGTTCTTCCTAAACCTATATCTATTCAACAATAACAATGCCATAAAGATAAGACATATCCGTTACGCTGGAGACGTCCCAGCGTGCAAGGCCTCGGGTTAGCATACTCACAACGCTAGGAGGTAGAGCGCCCAAAGCATCGTCCTCATGCTCATCTTGATTACGCAAAGAATAAGCCCGACATGCGTCATGGTACAGAAACATACCGTTCGTCGATTGGACACGTGACATGTCCCAGTCACTTACGTTGAGTATGAATTCGTCTTGTTCTCCTGTATGATCCACCGCAGAAGAAGTGCCTTTATTTTTGTGATGCGGTACTTGTTCAGGTCCCTTACCTTTGAATGGAGTAGCTTTTCCACCTCTATCAAATTGTCTGGCAAGTGCCGCCACGCGTCCTGCAGGGTTGAAGTTCTTCTCCCCTTTTTGTTTGCCCTGCTCATCAGGTCGCAAAGCTTTCTTCTCGAGTAACTCGTCCGACAACTGCCCGATCATCATTGAGAGCACTTTTCCCGAGAAGATCTTGCGGAGCACAACAGTTTCAGCGATAATCCAGTATTTGCTACTTTTAGCGCTGCTAACCCTAATTGATTCATCCCTGTGAGTGAAGATTCTCCTTCAAGAAAAATCATACTTACAGGAGAGATGAGGACGACTTAGCGGCTGTAGCCTTAATATTTCCATAGGTCATCGTGATTAAATCGAGGATGCACCTTTTCCGCTTGTCAAAAGTATCGGATACGGCGTTGCATAGAGAGCCGTACGGAGTTAGTTCGCCACTCGACGTTGCGAATAATGGACCTCCGCCACGTGCCATTCGGCTTACAGATGTACTAATATTTAGAGTGTTTTTTTAGCTTCTTCATAGTCTAGTAGGGAAAGACAAGCCACACCTCAAGTCATGGAATGTTCAAAGATAGAATGGGAAGCCCCCTTTGCTTCTCTGTATATTATAGTTGCTGTAGAGCCCTCACTGTGAAAGAAAGAAAGCTGAAAAAAACTCTGTATCAAAGTTCAAGTTGCCTCTTCGCTGTTCTTCCATCCGTTGTGGATATTTGATATGTGTCATCCTGTTGAGTAGTGAGCCACGCTATCCTCCATTTGTAAACAACGTCTGAAGCTTTCAGAAGGACGGCCCATACTAATTGAAGAACCTCAACCTCCTGTTGACAAAGATCTTTTTGTCTACTTGCCTTGAAGATCGCCTCTTCATGAAAGATGTACTCAATTCTTGCCTACAGTTCTATACATCAGAGTCAGAGGGGGACAGAAACAAAAACACAAACAAGTGAGTGGTTAGGTGAGGTTATGGATCCTGCACAATGCCCCAGTGAAAATATGAACATATCATAGATTATACATAATAAACCACTAGAAGTAGTCCTCAGCCTTAATAAGTCTCCTCCTGGAGGCACCAAAAACCTTTCCTCGGATGTAATGCCGAGATAGAGGTCATTTCCCACCCTCGAAATTGTACGATCCATCACCGCTTGGCGGCCTTCGACATGTCCTTTTTCACGAAGGTGGCCGTATAGTCGCGCTATAACGTAGCGCAGCTCTTCTGCGCTCTGGAATGCAGCGGCAGGCTTCACATAATATAACACCTCCACGATAGTCAAACTTGATGAAGATGACTGCTCTTCTGTTGATGTTCGATGATTATTCGGTGAAAGGAGGGCGCTCTTCTGTTCTCGTTTTCGTTCTGACACAAGGTGATCGAATGCCTTCCAGGCTGGTGCCGAAAGTTGCTGGTTCCATGATACACCACTTCCAGTCTGGATAGCCCACGGCAGTTCTTCTTAGAGGTAGTTGCAACATCATAAGTCCACTCTTCTTTAGTCATACTTACTACAGCATCAACCTTCCGATCTATTATCGAGAAATGGCAGCAAGAGTCAGCAACAATGTATAAGGTAGCGCTTCATGAGGTACCAGAATGCATATACTGTGTCCAAGTATCCTGATGCCCATGGTTCCTTAAGTTCTAGCGGTGAGACGGCGGTCTAGGAAGAGGTCGATCCTTTCCGCGAAGGTCAGCTTTTCAGCGTCCATTATTCGGCGACTACGGCGACTACTATTCTTGCCTCCTACAGCAGGATCTTCATTGTTGTCACCATCTTTCTTGTTCTCCTTCTTCCCTGCTTGAGCTCCCTTCTTCAACGTGTTGCTGTTCCCTTTTTTCTTCTCTTTATTCGGTTTAGTCTTGCTCTTTTCCAATAAAGTCTTAGACCCCAAGAGCAGTTCAGGCTCGAGGTCGTCTCCCTCAGAGTCAACGAATCTGATGAAAAATTCTCCTGCGACATTAGACACCTTGCGTCGCCGCAACTCAGCCATGATCGCCAGCTTCAAGTCCTTTAAGGAAGTGTTTTTTTTAGGAAAGCAAAAGAGACCATCCTGTGCGTGTTGAACAAAACGACTGCCCGATGATGTCTTTTCGTCTGAAATTGTGGCCCCCTCTTTTCTTGGAGAGTTTGCCGCATCTGTCGTTTCAGCATCTTCCATGAGTCTCTTTGAAAATATACTAGCATCCCCCTCTTAGAGGTAGGCTTTTGGTGTTCGTTTAGTACCCCATTCGTTATGCCTTTCCCTCTTCAGGAAGGCAGGACGAACGGTCACAAAAACACCTTTAACCCACCCTTAACAATCATGAGTATGCGTGATTCGAAGGCCAGGGTCAGCCCTTAGGGGTTCCGTTTCAGGATCACTCTGACCTGGAGAGTGATCCTCTGTTGAAGAGGAGAAGGCCCCACTCTGAGTTAGAGCTCACCCATTTGATATTCCATCTTGTTCAGATGCATGATCTTGATAGCCCTTTGTTCTCCCTATGGGACAGCATCAAGATGCTCCCGAAGATGGAATCGTGGCGAAGCCTTAACTGAGGCAGGTAACAACTACAGTCGCAGAGGCACTCACCAGTCAGTAGATTGCGTGCGTGTAAATGAAACACATCGCCCAAGGCCTCCACGCACAGAGGCGTCTCCTCCTTACAAGAGGACGGGTACTTCTCATTGCGAGAGGCAGGGTCGTGCCCCTGCTGGTCTACAGTGCTGCTCAGTGTCTCAGCCATCTTTTGAGGCTTAGCTGATTAATAAGCTTTGAAGCGGAATAAAAAACAGTGCGAGAAGACGAGATAACAGATAAAAGCTAGACTCACGGCGGCGCTAGATCGATAAATTTAGAACGATGATAGCATAACACTATACAAAGATTATTCTTCTTAGATGACATTGAATCGTCGGTGTTTCACCACCGAAAATAAATCGTGACTGTTTGCCACAGTCCTGAGAGAAAGGCACCACTAACAAAGACAGCGGCTGTCGCCGAAGCCACAGAGTACCAGCGAAACTCTAAGTCCTACTTCTACAAGCCTTGCGATTGACGTCTTGGAGAGTTTGTTGAAATCAATCTAACACCAGCGAGAGCTGTGGCCAACGCTCTTTTTCTAGGGTTTGCGGAGTATAAACTAAGAGGATTTCGACAGCAGGCGCATTATTGGGCTCTTCCTCCTCCAATGAATGAACGCGCTAAATACCAACTGACTCGCTGGGCTGGGTGGTGTTGATTAAAATGCATTCACGCGCCTGCTGAAAAAGGTGGCGCCAAGTTGTCTCCGCCTCGTGTGTGTTTTCAATGCGTTGCTCGTCAAGTTCGTTTTTCTTATTCACTTAATTACCCAACTAAATCGCTCCAAGGCTTTGGCTTTTCTGCGGCTCAACTCTCAACAGATAAAAAGCAAACAACTCCAAAAGATTGGCGCAGTGCGGATTTCTCTCAGATTGAATCACTTTCATGGTGAGCAACCGGGATTGACCATTCAAAAAAGTGGAGGGCTCTCGCGCTTACTTACGGGCCTGCCACTGAGCACGAAGCGGCTGTATGCAAACTCAAGCAGGCTATGTAACTGGAGAGGGGTTTGTTGACCCTATACAGAGATAGTGATGCCCTGTGAATATTCCAACCAACTCTCATGTCATGCGAGTGCCCCTGATCTGGCCTTTCGTGACCACCGTGGAGACAAAATGGCACCAACTCTCGTTCCATTCATACAGTACTTAGTACAACAACTCTCGTTCCGAATCACTGTGAATGATTATAAGGTGTATCGCCTCAGGCTCATAGCGTTACCACAAAGTTTCACCTCACTCAGAATGGTGTGACAGAACCTTTTGGTAGACAGACGATTTTCTTTCTGCTTGCCGCCCACGACTTAGGATCATGGGATAGAATAAGACTAAGACAGGTTAACATAAAGTAGGACACATGATAAGGTAGGATGCCTCTGTCTCGTCGAAATTCACTCTCACTCCTCAGCTCAGGACAGAAAAAAAAAAAACGTAGTAGACTTACTTTGTACATTGCTTCTTGTAGATAAACATTACAGTGCTTTTGTTTCGATACGTAAATATTGTATCGCGCAGAATATGGAGTTGTTCCACACTTTGAGGATAAGACCTAGTTTTGTGAATAAATGCCTAAACAGATATGGAGCTACTGCTCAAGCGAAACGCGAAAAACCCTACAGTCTTCATCATCATTGCATCTCAAATGACCGTACGTAATCTTCTACTTTCGGTCGTCCATATTAAATATGTCTTATAACTTAGCAGGAACTGAGTCAGTATTTTGATGTGTCATTCGTCATCATCAGCTTCTACACGCCATTCGTCATCATCCTCTACTTCTTCCATCAAGAGCATTTTGAGGGCAGGCACCCTTTTTGGCACATAGTCGCGTGCTAACTTTCCAAACCTATCTTAGAGTCCGCTTCTGTTCACCTCGGTACTCTCATCTTGACCCCATCGACCTTGAATGTCATGAGAATGAAGGGCAAAAGGGGACCAAGATGCCGAGAAAAATGGATAAAAGCTGACCTTAACTATCCGGTTCCCAGATGTGTCGTAGTTCCCGTTTACGAGCCAACAGTAAGCGGAAAATCTCCACAGCCGGTGGAATAAAGCGGCTCTTTTTTAGAAAAGTAGTTTTTCACTATTCCTGGCTCAGTGACTTGCCTTCCACGACTTTCAAGCAAGGGGGGGACTCCACATCCACTCAGAGATACTAGTCTAGGATATAATGATGATTAAACTGGCCTTAACGTTCGCGTGCTCTCCTGAGCCTGCCAAAAGCTAAAAGCTTTGTTCTTGTTTTCAGCGCCAGAACCTCTAGAAGTATGAGTCGATGACGCAAAAGTGGAACTAGTTGCACTAGAGCTCTGAGTCTGATTCTGATGTTCTTGGGTAGAAGTTGTACTAAGGATCTCCTCGACGTTTTTTTTACTGCCTCCTGGTACATGGTCGTGTCCGATGTTTCGACTGGTCCTGCTTGGACGTCGAGGTATTGTTTTCGTAGTTCTGCCTCTTGAACAATCGGCCAAGGTCAAGTCCATCAAATCTTTCGGAGGTATGCAACTTTTAGAGACATAATCAATCATCAAGCTGTGAGGCATTGCTCAACATCAACATCACCTTTACAAGTAGCACACCTTTCTTGATCTGGAATTCTCGTTCTAGTTTAGTACATTACGCGAACGATTTGCATTCTTCCTTCTTCTTCAAACAAGTATTTAGATTTCGGGGGCGAGGCACCTGAAAAGCTAAAAGTCGAAATCTGGCGGAGAAAGTGTACAGCCTAATGAGGTGTTGATACAGAAACCAAGCACAGCCTGAAATTCCAAAAGGCATGCATTTGTTGGAGATCACAATCAGTCAATTGTAGTTAGAGTTTCTTTGTCGTATTATCGGAATTCAAAATTTGCCTTAAAGCGTAGCATCTCGAGACTCGCGCGTATCGGTGTCCAGCCATTGACGTCTGCTAAGTTGATATCTATTCTGGGCTGCTCCAGCAGTAGTCGCACCATATTTACAGAGTTCCCCACAATCGAGCTCATATGAATTAGCGCTAACATGCAGTACCACGGCCAGCACGAGTGAAATTATGTTTACCTTTAGAAGTCGTTAGGCGTAGGTCCTATTGTGAAATAAATCGGCGTTGACATCAACAAGATGACGCTAATTTTGATAAATCTTCATGACGATACTAGCCACCTGATGAGGCACTGGCTCGTCTCAATGTCGAACCAATATTTTTCGTCATCAAATACGACGAGGCGCAGAAACTTATTAGTGAGGCTCGTCAACTAGTGACCGTGCAAGAACGCTAGGGATGAAAGGTACTTAAGAGGTAGCTGTTGAAAGGTCAAGAGGCCGTAATAGGGGACTCCGCTTTCCGATGTTGACATCGACTCTGCTCGCATGGTAGAGGAAATGCTCTACTACACGTTTATACCGTTTCTCCACTGCAATCTTGAAGGCCGTTCTCCCGGTAGCGTCTAGTTTGTTCACGTCTGTTCGCGGATCGCTCAATAGTGTTTCGAGGAGATCCTTGGCCTGTTTTGCAACCTTGAGTTGGCTCGTATTAAAGGTCAGCAGTCCGTGGTCGCTGATTCTGAACGGGAAGGGCGTCTCCCCTTGTTTTCCCTTAGTTTTCCCGTGTTCTCTCAAGGGGGCTCCTCTTCGATCTCAGTGACCAAGAACCTCATGACCGTCATGAAAGTTGAGCCTTAATCTCACTTTTTTCGGTTTTCGGCAAATAGGTCATCATCTTCGTCCGAAGTAAGTTCATTTTGCTCTGTTGCTCTGCTTCTGTAGCATTAGACAGGTTGCTTCACGCACTACGAATAATGATAAATATACTTAATAAATCCCGGATAATGATAAAAATATGACTACAGGATGTCATTTGCCTCCGATTTGACATGTACTTTGAATCAATGTTGAGACCAGACCCTAGGGAACTAAGTCGAAACCGTTCCACAGCGTGTAACAGTAACACAAATAAAGGATCAACATTGTATGTGTAAGTAAATCTAAATTATAAAACGCCTCGTATCCTCCATGGAACGCCTCGTATCTAATCGCATCAACATGATCAGTAGATGATGATGATGATCAGTTTCCTCTGAAGCACGTTAGTACGTATAACATAATAGCAGTTGCCCAGCACGAGCTTCCCTCCAAGAGGTCAAATGGTGCTTGAAGACACAAAAAGTGGAGTGCGGTTCTGCTCTCACTTCGCGTCACCACTTGATTCACATCCAACTCAGAAAGAAGCACTGCCTCTTGTTCTTCACCTCCAACAGCAGGAGAATTAGAGGTAGGTGCCTCACGTTTTTAGCCCCCGTTTGTTCTGCGTTTCTCCCTTCGGAGAAGCAAAACAAACGGCAACATGAAGAACAGCTTTAAACTACTACCCATAAGAGAAGAAGAAGCAGAAGACAGTATCCCGTTTGACGAAGCAGTGCTTGATACAACAGTGCTGGTCTTGTCCAGCAGCAAAGTCTTCTCGACCTCTTCTACGCCTTCTTGTTTCATCTTTAGCAGAGCAGGTTCTGTCACTTCATCAAGTTCTTTTTCCTCGCCTTTTTTAGGACTTCCCGTTCCTGCCACTTTCGTCGAAGGTTTATCATCGTGAAACAAATATTGCTCCGCTTCTACCGGTGACACAATGCCTTCCCTGCGAGCAGCATAGCCCTTTTTCCGTGCTGCCTCCACCACTTCCGCTGCAGCCTTATAGTACTGGTACTGTACGAGAGTCCCCAGAACACCGTCAGCAATGTACTGACTCCACCGCACGATGCTGAAAATAGTCTCATAATCTTCATCCCGCGCAGCACCTAACAACCGCGACTCGAAGTAGTGCATCTCGAAGTCGCAATGCTTCACAAGAATCTGCAAGTTTTGCTGTCCGAAAACAACGAAATCCTCGAGAGTCAAAATCTTGCTTCCTCCCACATCTGAAGAACCACAGTTAGAAGAACCACAGTTCTCGGAGTCCTCTGCTCTACTGCAGTTCTCGGGGTCAAAAGAGCTTGCGTCTCCTTCTTTTGAAGCGTCTTCATCTGGAAGAAACAGCATAGAGAGTGCCTCCATGGGAAAAACGACAATGCGCGAGACTACATTTAGCAGCGCTTCCACCTTCACAAAACGCGCAACAGCAATTTCCACCTTCGGAGAAAGTTCCATCGCTTTTGTTAGCATGATTCCCATCTAGAAGGTGACATCTTGAATAACTGTTCTACTTTCCCCTTGAAAGCACCTCAACAAAGATGTTGTCTAGTTACACTCTCATCAAGATAAAAATTAATTATATGGCAAGCCCTAATTTCGCCCGCTTCTTCGGCATTAAGTCAATCGTTGTATGCCGGCATAAACTGCTATGCCTAATTGAGACATAGTCACCCCCAATACCAAAAGGGATGAGCCAATAGCGCCCTCCATGTCCATCCTCCTCTAGTGGTTCCGTTCGTGGTTGCGCCTGCAGAACCGGATGCCGGTTTGGCAAACCGTCTTCACTCCAATCAAACACTAGATCATTCAGAAGCTCATTTTCCAAGTCCGTCATTTTGTTTCATATTGCTTATCTCGCAAACAAATAGGAGAAATTGATGCATATCTACCAGTGAAAATTGAGTGTAGATGAAGTAGATGTATATGTTGTGTAAGTTCATAACCGTACAAAAACCTACCTACCTACCTAGTACTTGGACATGACCAACTACTCACCAACAAGAATTACTCAAACTATGGATGCGCAGAAAACGGCCGGATTTCAACGCTTAGACATAGTTCAATGTATGAAGTCGACACATGGTTTTACAGAAAAGACAGGTGGACGCGTTGAGGAGATTTACCGTATATTTTATCATCTATCTATCAGTCATCTTCTGAAAAGAAGAAAGTTGCCACGATCTGCATGAGCCTGTATGATCTGGATAGTTTAGTGGTAGTAGTTTACCCATTCATGACGGGGTAAAATTCAAAAAGAGGTAAGGGGACACCCAACACGTGATACGAGTGAAGTAGCCGCACATGGGGGACGATCATCACCACCAACATCGTGAACACCTGACCTTTTTTTCCGGTGATCTTTTCCTCAGGATCCTGGGAGCATCGAGTCTCGTAGTATAATACGTCAAAAAATAATGTCTGTGCCCCTCGTTGTACTAGTAGTCTCGTAGTATAAGAAATTCTGATGATGTCTGTGCTCCTCGTCCTATACAACTCCAGTAGTCATGAGTTTTATCTTGCTCAGCGTGTTCTCACGACTCGTCTATGACTGTTCCCACAACTTCGTCTACAATTGTTCCCTACAAAGGTTCGTCTAGTGGAAGGAAAACCGAAACAGACACTATATTCTTGTTCGTCACTCAGGTATGGACGTCCAGGCAGATAATGTTGATCCGATAAAACTCTGACGCGATCTCTTCACCCAACAGATGATGACTCTCGAAGACGATCTTGATGCACATTTCTTTTTCTACGTGCTTACGAAGAAGTTAACCAGAACAAGCCTGATGAGTGAATGAATGTACCCACTCCAGGGGTATAGAAGACCACTATTGAGAGAGATGCCAACAACAACCATACTGATCGGATCAAGCTTTTGATGCTTATTTTTTGTTTAAGCTCTCCTTTTATCTTCTTTTTTCCAGAGGGACGCAACTTACTTATTTGCGGTGCATCTCAGTGTCTCTAGCGCTTAGGTTACTGCTTCCTCATTTGCGGATGTACCTGTAACAACCAAACTCGATGATCGCTGGTGGTACTGTGTACTAGCTGTAGGCGGCCCGGCTAGCCTCTTCCCTTTGGTTCATTCATTCTAAAGGGAAGAGTCTAGCCGGACCGCCTCAATGAACAGTGATCAGATCTAATCGCCGGCGTCTCAAGTGATCATGTTTAATCACCGGCAAGACGAAACATTTCCTGCGACGGTCATAGACAGGCCGAGAAAGTGTACAACCTAATGAGGTGAAATCAAAATCACTCACAACTGAAGACTCCAGAGATGGGAGAAGAGCGTGAGTGCCTTCCTAACCGCGGTCCGGCTAGACTCTTCCCTTTGGCATCTTGTTTCAGTTGTAATCAACATTCTTATCCAGAGAGTGTACGCGATTGACTTTCACGATCACACAACGTACTGCCTGAAGCATCGGTGTTGGGATGGGATGGGAATTTGCTCGCCTCGAGGAGGTGAGCATTCACGACTATGAAAACCCCGAAACTGATTTTACCTTACTAGACCGAGCTGCGCTTGAGCTGCACGCGACGACCGACCTGTCTAGGAAATACCTAAAATGCTACTTGTGTGTTTCATTGTTTACGAGTAGAACTTGTTTCTTAGGTTGCGTAGTAACCTCACGCTCTTCAGTCTTCAATTAACATCATTCTTGAGTTTCTAGGGTTTTCATGGCCAGTACGATCCCTCGCTCTAGTTCTATCTCACGACGCTCTTCCTAATTCTCTAAAATTTTCGACGAACATCGCTAAGGTTAGAATATTCCTTCTGGTAGATCATCCTCTCTGCTAATCGAAAAACAGAAATAACTCTGAGTAGTAAGTGAGAAGCTACCTACTCAATCGCATTCGTCCTCAAAGCATCCTATTACGCGATTGACTTTCACGAATACTACGCAACCTAAGAAGCAAGTTCAAACAATGAAACACACAAGTGGACGCAGCTTAATGTAGCCATTTACACTGCATTTAAAATAAAAAACGCAAGCTTTGGAATTTGTTCTATCGCTCTTGTTCTTTCACTCAACCGGGAGTACTGCAAGTAGTTCTGTGCGGGTATCCTGGCCGTCGGATCTGCTGCCCGGTCATTAGAGGATGCGCCAGTTATGTTAAACCTTTTTCGACTATCCACTTCGAAGAAGCTACCACCACACTAGTAAGCGAAAAACTCGAGCAACCAACTGGCTCAGACATGCTGTTGTTTCTGAATTTCCTCCCAGAGCCGTCACTTCGCATGTTACTCAAGGCAGGCGGCGATTATATATTTTCAGACTTTCGAGCTTGTTGCTTTCGATATCTGTACCTTTCTTTTTTTATTCACGGAACTCCAACAATGCCCTTACCTGCCTGCCATTTTCATCTTACCTTGCTGCGAAACTTGTCTTCCTGTGTTTACGCTACTTCCACTTCTTCTTTCATTTTCAGCCCTTAGTCTTCAATTACTCGCGTGTTAAATCAAAGTCATGAAATATAAATACTTACATATGCAGTTCAATACTATTGAAACGCCTAGACGGCCTACGGGATTCAAGCATGAGCACGACACAACCACGCAACCATTCGCTTCCGCGGAAAACTCCCTGTGGAAGTGAAGATGGGTCGGTCTCATTCGTGACCGCAACGGGATCATAATTGCTGCGCTACTAAGTACTATTGCTACTTTCCGCGTGGCCGCCCGCACTTGCCAATCCACCATCGACCGATTGAGCGTCGAAAATATACCCGGATAGAGCCAGCGCTTGAGGACCGCTTTTTCTCGTTCCAGTTTCATCGGATGAATTCTCTTTATTCCTCATCGTTTTCCGTTACATATCTAGTAAGTGCGGCATTTTTACCCGCCCTTTTATAGACCCTGCCGCCGGGCTCTTAATTAATACTATGAACGTGATCTACTCATCGCTTTGACGGCAGGGTCGGAACACGAACAAGAACATGAGTACCCGATCTTACCAGGATCTTGGTTTTCAATACTCTGTTTCATCAAACAATTAACCGTTGTTCGCACTCAAAAAATACTGTTTATTGATTTTCCTTAAGGACGACGAGAATTTCTTCTCTATCTTATATATTTAGATTTGTTCTCCTGTTCAAGAATAGGTAGACGGATGTTTGTTTTCAGTACTTATTCACTTGTACACAGACTTTGATTGTTCGTACTCGATTAAGAAACACTGCTTATCAATGGATCGAAAGTGGACTTTTTTAAACGTTTTTCGCAATCAAAAAATACTCTGTTTCATCAAACAATTGACCGTTGTTCGCACTCAAAAAATACTCTTCAAACAAACGTAGGACTTAATTTTGATATTATTGAAGTTGGTTTCTAATTATCACAAGTACATAGCTGTTCTTACTTTTTAATTGTATCATAGATCTGTAGTAGGAGCTGCTTTGAAGATGTATCAAAATGGATGAGTGAATTTCGAATTTCGTAGCTTGAAACTGTTGCATAGAGTCAGAGGGCTCTGCTTATTCACATTCGTCTTGCGAATCTTTGCACCTTACCCTCATCTTGCGAATCTTTACACCTTACCCCTGAGTGTAATAGATCGCCTAAAGGTAGGCACGAAAAATCGTGCTCGGTTGAAAAAAATCCCTTGGTTTCACGTCAGCTTTTCAGCACTATCTGTCCGGTATCAACGGAACCCTACTAATTCGTGATCATCGACCTCCTAGTTATTTCTTCCCGCCTCCAAAGAGAGTTCTTTCCCTCTTCAATCTTGGATCTTCTGCAGCCTTTCTTTTGTTAGAGGAACAATGATGCCGACGATGTGGTGCCTAACGCGAGGTATAATTGCTAATTGTGTGTATTCACAACAAAAGGCTAGTACCAAAGAGATGAGGCTGAGAACAAAGATGGATCAAAGCTGACCATAATTTTGAGAATCGTTGCATCTTGCCACATCTCACACTCGAATGCAGGATGCCTCAACTGCCTACCTTGTCCTTCCATTTCGTCAAATGGTCTGGGAGGATTAGAAGAACTTCTATTTTGGCTAAGTAGGCTCGGCGTCCAGCGGGTAGGATAGGATAGGCTGCCTCGGCTTCGCGTCCAACAATGAGCTTGACGCATGCGCAAAAGGTCAGGAGGTATACATAGGAATCTTGTCACTTGAAGGGTCACAGTCAGCTTGAACAAAATAATGTAGCACTACCTTTTATACTTCTGTGGAAATGATTTTATAAATTTAATGTTTGACAAAACTAAGCCCGTAAGACTAATATCCGCAGTCCATCCGGAAAACGACCAAGGAATCGTGCTCAACCGCCTGTCAGCTACGATTTCGACGAGTTGGGGTCTCCGTCTCTTCACATTCTCGGATATTTCCTCTACATGCAAAGAACTACCGAGAGAATAAAACCTGAAGGGAGATGATCTAGTAGGTAGATACAGTCGTGTAGACCTAGACGCATGGCAGTTGTTGTATAAAGTTTGGAAACCTATGGTCGTGGTTCGTTTTTCGACGTGGTCGATGGTGGTTCAAATTCAACCTCTACGACAATAGTTTCTTATTGCAAGTAGAGTTGAAGGAAGGAGCAGATGAGTGAATAAACTTTTAGTACCTAGCAATCAGTCTCTGTGCTGGTTCGTAAGCCCCATCAGTGCCGCAAACCGCGACACTGACATAGAGAACTGTATTCCTGCCTGCTGTTTCCTCTGGATCCCGCTGTCCCGTAGGATTCACCTTCACTGCCACTGTGGAGTCCCTAGTATGACCCCAGCCGCTCACTGCGGCTAATGTAACGTCCACTGCGTCAGTGCGCGAGACGGAATTGTTACGACCCATCTCCTCGAATAGGGAAATGAACAAGGTGTTGTGTGCTGGAAGGTGTTCAGCTGGGAGCAACAAGTAGGGGTGCGTGGGGAACCAATTCTAGAAGATGAAGAAACCTGTGCAGTTACTAACTAAGAAGATTCAATCTCCTGTGCAGCAACCGAATGTACCTACTGTGATCACGACAAAGCTTTCTATCCTCAACAAAACCTTGTTAACCTGTTATCCTCAACATAAATTTCAAAAAGATGGGTAAATGCGGCTCCTCATCGTCTAAGAAACCACCTAGTCTCTTGTCTGACTGTCCGATGCTACAGTAAAGCTCGCAGGGGACGTGTCCACCCACGTTAGAAGTAGGCGATCATTATCCGTGGTTGAGGGAGTTGCCTTCTTCCACCTTCGTAGTTTCTTCTTGAAATCACGATCGATGGAGATCTCACTCAGGTTAGTTCACGCGAGATAATGATCGGCTCTTCTTAACTAAAACCTCGATCCGGAAGACAGGCCAGTTTACGACTGATACTTCACTTGGGAAGCACCATATCTGCTCCTCCATTCTGGGCCTTGCTATAGCTGGCACCGGACTGGGCAGGTTTTCTTGATTAGACGATGTTTGTGGGTTAGGTTCTAGGTTATGGATCCTGTGCACATCGAGCCCCACCCGCACCGGCTCGACTCCGAGGATGATGGGCTGCTAGAAGAAGATTAAGTAAAAGATAAAAGTTGTTCCCCAGTTGTATTCTGATCTTGTAATAGTCTTCTCCTCCAGCTCGTGGTCGAAATTCTGGAATAGGAGATTGAGTATCGAAGGCGGTGGTAAAGGCGAAAACACTCGTCACGACTGTCCATAATGTAACAGATACTATGCGGCGACGGAAACAGAAACTTGTGCACTTCGGCAGAAGTTAGCTCCGCAGCCGGACCAGCTTCTACTAGACCTGTCCATGCCGGTCGCCACACAAAGGGCAGTTCACTGTTGACGAGGCGGCATTCGTGGATGCAAGGATTAAAGGAGGTCGTGAGGGGTCAACGAAACTAGCTTCAAACAACCAAAAAATAGGTTTGGAATTATACTTACTTCTGACCCACTGCGGCCAATTCACAGAGAACCAGCCTCATACATGCACATTAATCATTTCTATAACAACTCAGGATGAGAAAAATATTTGATTGGCCCTAATCTTGAAACACGTGTGAAACAGCAACGCCTCCATCCACACATACCCGTCCAACGCTAGGTACTCGGTGTCCTGCAACCCGGTGATCTGCGCCAACACGGTGTTGTCAGGGCAATTGACGTAGAGACAAACGAAATTTGAAGGGAGTTTTTTACTATCCCTGGCTGCGTGGGTTCCCTTTCCTTTCCTGAAAATCCCCTTGACTTTACAGGGGACCTTTAGGGTTCAGCATAGTCGACATGCATAGGATAGTGATGAACTAGCCTTAAGAAATTCTCACTACCGCTTGGTCCTAGAGATTTGGTCTGCACGATGGTGTAGGAGAACTCTGGGTCTAGTTTGAGACGCAATCGGGCAGCCTGCTCTGCGTCTAGCTTGGCTGGAAGGATGAAAGAGGACAAGGGCAGGTGAATCTAAACTTCGCGGGATTCTTTGCGAGTAGAAAACAACGGAAGAATGTGGAATTTGACATCCATCGTGTACAAGACAAACATGCTTCAATTTTCACTGATAGTAAACCATGAAGATTTGTAAACCATTTGAGCTAGATTTGTAAACTGGTGACTTTGAAGACAATGAAATTGTTGACGGATTCGGATTCGATGCTACTTATAATACTAACTAAAACGCGGGTTGTTATTTTGCGCCTAGCTAGTTGCAAGTTGCTACAAACATGTATTCAAAGGGTCAATACAGCAAGGAAGAAAGTTTCTATCCTTCAATTTTCCGAGCATCTCTTACCAAGAGACAAAGCAGAAACAAGGAAAAGCAACCATAAAAAGCACTGATCTCGGGAGTGCAAAGTCCAGATAGGCGTATAACCGGTCTGGCGCGATATCTTTCACATAGAATCTGTTACCTATGCCACCAGTGAAATCCTCAAGTGCTTCTTCTATATTCCCACCGCGACCTGTCGCCATCCAACTACTATGCAATTTGGCGTAAGCCTTTTCGAGCAGACTAGCCCACCCAAAATGAGGGAAGTACTCACCTGGAGGGTCGTGATGAAGATATAAAGATGATGAGAGGACTAGAAGACGGTGTTTAGTGAGAATCTAGTCTAGTATCCTGTGGACGGTCGTGATAAAAGACATGTTGTTGATGCGAAATAAGATGGAGTCAGTGATTCGTTTTTTCGGTTGCGAAGAAACATCTAATCTATCTAGCCTGATGATGAGAGAATAAAAAAGGTGTGTCTGATATGCCACATCTTTACACAAAAGTCATCGATTCTCATATTGCTTAATCTCGTAACTAATTACCCCTACACCCCATCGGCGCAGCATCGTTCGACTGTGGCAGATAGTCGTCCACTGCTATTGACACCCAGTCCGCATGTTTGTACAGACGAAACTGGTACAATCCTAGTGCGACATTACTAAGCACTGCTCCGTCACGGTCATCGCGAAGAAACGTGTGGGGATTAGCACCAATTCCTGTCTAAAGAGAGTTTCACTCGCTACACTACAGATCATCTTCTGCAAGACCACCAATAGATTTATAAAGAACTCCAATTTCTTTTTACTATCGAAGCCCTCCATAATGTACACCAATTCCGGTCTCGCAGACATTGCATTCAATGCGTCGATCAAATAACCATTCGCCAAGTTTCCCTGAAACACCTTCCCCAAATTTTTAGGTGGCAATGGTGGCTGCGATGCGAGTGGTGGACCTGCAGCTACTACTATCTGGCCATTAGACACGACGCTCTCTAGTCCTACACCTGCATGCACTGCGCGTGGGTGTAAATCTGGTCTCCTCCACTGAGAACTCTCGGGAAAACGAGCGCTGTTCCACGGAGGGAGCGTGAAAAAAGTTGAAGGTTAGAGGCTCGTATACCAGGCAATCCATGCAAGGCATTGCAATCAATGAAACATCTTCGAAAATGCTCTATCATGTAGCTCTGTAGCGTTTATGCCATAGACAAGAGGTAGAGGTACTAGAGCAGCAGCGTTACTCCAAGGAGGCAGGTGGCTAAAGAAGGTCCAGATCTCTGTACTAACACTTGTTTACTCTACAACTTCTTTTGTCATCACGCACAGTAGAAGCACAACACAGCCTGCTTAACTCGGTGCATTATCGTTTGTTGTTAGTAGATTCGCCTGCATCCTGACTGTACGACCATCTATGCGACCTGCATTCGCTACTTTGCTTCCAATGACTCTCTGGCCCAGTCCAGGAACTACTTCCATATCTAGGAAGCCACCAGCACCACCGTTTAGCTGAAAATCCCATCTAGAAAGACGTGTCCAACCTTCAGGACCTTGGGTAAATTGGTCCAATTCTGCCGCACTCACACCACCCTCCAAAACGGACATCAAGTCTTCTGGTTTGACTTAGACTAGAGTACGTAAAGGCAATTTTTTGGTAATGCTTATCTGCTTCTGCTAGAAATGCCCACAAAATCATGAAAACTGTTAGTTTGTGTTATCATCAACCACGACTGGAGGCGAACCCTAAACAATCGCTGAACAGTAGGGTCATCAAGGCCATAGTACAACACTTAGAAAAAATCACTGTCACAAAATAGCCGTAATCTCCACCCACCCACCACGACACCGCGTGCGCCGGAAACTCACCCGGGGAGACGAAAGAACCATCGTCTTTAAATTGCGTCAACTGGCCAGTTTGATCCAGAGGCAGTTGCTGCAATGCGGCAACTACGTTGTCGAAGAGTGCGGCAGCTGCATCTCTTTCGTCAAAGTAGTCGCTCTCTTAGAGCTCACTACAAATCCATCTTTTCCCGTATCTGCTTCCGTTTTTCTTCTTGAAAACAGCTTACACATGCGGCAAAAGATGGATTAAGCGAGGCCTTAATTCTCACCTTCATACCAAGTCGTCCTAGCAGCCTGTAGTTCGGCTGCGCCGATGCCACGTTGCTGCACTTGGACCCCTCCTGGAGGACCATCTGATTGACCCATTTTCTTTCTATCACATTGTGATGCAAAAGAATACAAGGAACAGCGTGATGAAACAATAGAACGAAGAATAAAGTACACTGTTGCTTAACGTTGAAAGACAATGTAAAAGGTCACTCGCAACTCTGTCGTGGTCCCTCTATTCGGCACTCTCTGCTGCAGTAACATCCTTCATTGTAAAAGCTCCTTTCTCTTTTCCTAATCCAACTTTTCTCTGTAGTTGTAAACCTGGATTATACTCTTTTAGACATTAGAGATCTTTCTGCTACTCTCACTTTCAACTGCACTGTGCAAACTCCACGCGCTAGTCCTCACTGTACTACACGAGCGCTCATCCTCTTTAATTGTTTCGCTAGTCCTCATCCTCCTGTGCAAACCCCTCACGAAATCATCATCTCTTTCCAAAAACCAGTGAAACTCCTTTCGCCAGTGGAGGTACATCTATTCTCCTTCGAATGCTGTAAAACTATCTATGCATTTAGAGTGTCCAGGTGTAAAACTATCTATGCATTTACTGCAGAAATTCTGCAAATCTTGTTCTGAGATGAGTTGTCTATGAGAGTTTCTTATTCCATTTTCTTCTGGCCTGGGGTACTAGGATCAACCACCGATTGAGACGCTACGTAATCATTAAGGGATGTCGAAGCTTCACCATCCACTGCGATCCCGTTAATCTTTGGTCCCCTAGATTCTTGCATCGTCGAAGCGCCAATTGGTGTTACTCCAGAGCTTCTGTTTTCTTGCGACGCTTCTCTTTGCTTTTTAGCAGCCAATGCCTTAATCTTAATGCGTCGTGCTACGTTAAAAACACCCGCTACTTGCGCAATCGTGCGCAATCGCACACCCTCAGGAAAGTCTACGTCATTTTCACCTTTCTTTCTCTGTTCCATACTGCTCGCAGGCACGACAGCGGCACTCGGTGAAATAGGCGCAGGTGCATCTTCAAAAAACCTTAGCCCTTCTGCCTTTTCTCCAGGATACTCGCTCATCTGCTCTTGCTTTGGCGGTGATCCATCTTCTGCGTCCTCTGGAGCTGAATGGCCAACATATGGAGTCGATACGATCTTTAGCGCAACTTCGCGATTCCGAAGTTCATTCAAGAATGGATCCAACCTATTCCATATTTCCTCTTCCTTAGTTCCCAGCTTAGCTCCCGTTGCATAAGCGCCATTGCCCTTACTGCTTCGTGGAGAAAGAATCGAATGCGAAGAGCGAATCACAACTACATGTTTGAAGATGTCACGTCCATTTTGGTCAGCGTCATTCCCACGATCATTCGCCTTTGCTTTCAGCACCTGCGACGCCGCTTGCAAATAAAAAACGACTCGCTGCCGTTGGAAGTCGACGAGAAAATTCGCCAAATTTTGCATACGTGCTTCTTTCCTACTTTCAAACTCGTATTGTACACCAAAGATCGCGAGAAGAATCCCGTTTACTAGCCTCATCGGGTGTGCGACTCCTCCGCACAAGCTTTTTAGCACATTTTCCTGTACCATGTGGCCAATACAATCTCCGATCGCGAGCGGAACATCAAAGTCCAAATCTACAATCCCCTCCATCAAATCGACTAGGCCGAACAAGTTGTGACCTTCGCCGAAAATCTCCTCGTGTAAGATTTCACCTGCACTAGGAAGCAGGCTTGAGGCTATGGAGCACGGATCTGGTATTACGCCTGCAACCATTCCAGCTACTGTCAATCCAGTTGTCATAAGACAACAACAACCTGCGGCTTTGTGGAATTTGCGCCACTGGTCTTGGGTGTTGGTGATTTGGTAACTGGAGCTAGTCCCGGGCGAAGTCGGCTGTTGAGATTCCACGTCTACTCCTGCATCTAACAACTGGTCTTTTGCTTCATCTTCATCAGGTGCTTCCACTTTCTCTTCTTTTGGCATTACCTTGCCATCAACGTCCAGCAGCAGCGGATTGGCACGAAACGAGTCCTCAAGACCTGCTCCTATATCCAGAAAGGGCGAAATCTCATCCCGTGAAAACAAGCGACCAAACGGGCTGCTCGGGAGGGATATCATCGAAGCTGGCGAAAGAGTGCTCGCAATGCTACTAATCGATTCCTGCTTTGATACTGTTTGCTCCCTTTCATCCTCCGCATCACTGTCGGCAACAATTTCAGGCGTAGAGTCTTCACGACAGCTCGAAGCTCCTCGTTCTTGTACAGCCTTATGAACGGCCTTCTTCAATGAGGCGACGGCTTGACGGCTTCCGACGTGAAGCTCGCCATCTTTTTCCGGGGAATGAATGACTTCCATGACGAGATTGGTTTTCGGTGCGGCGAGTAGGCCTCCTGGGCGTCCAGCAGCACTGGTGTTGCTTTTTTCAAAAGCACGGACAAGAATAGAACGACCATGCTCGCCTAGGAAGGATGCAAACCCTTGTCTCGCTGCTTCGATATTCGCAATATCATACGCTTTAGCAGTCTCTTCGAAAATCTTCCACAGCTTGTCCTTCCCCTTTTCCGTAGAGCGAACTTTGAAAACTACTCCTTTGCTCTCCTCATCTTGCTGTTGTGCAACGGAAGTAGTGGAGGTAGGAGTAATATCTTCCTTGAGCCACAACGTAACATCTTCGCTACCACCAGAAGTCTCAGCATGTTGCTCCACCCCTGTAAGTATGTTGCCACCAAGAGGTAAAGCTTGTTGAGGTGTTGTCCACTCCTCTCTAACGATATCCCAGTCCCTTGCCGCATGAGGGAAGCTTAGTAACTGCGACCAGGCGATCGCGGTCACAAAGCTTCGAGAACGCGTGTTGGAGCGTAGCATCTTTACAGGTAGTCGATGTCTTGTGATGCAGTATACAGTCTGGGATTCTTCGCAGATGAAGTATGATGTCTACGTGATATTGATAATGATGGTGACGGACTCGGTGGTCGGTGGTAATAATCTACAATGTGAATAATGTTGGATGATCTCTTATTTTTGGAAAATATTTCGTTAGGTGATGATCAGTTGATTATCTTTTAATTGTTTTGTAGAGGGGATGAGCATTTAGCTACGAAGGGTTTTAGATGTGCAACACGAAAGTTCCAAAACTACAACCTATTCTTATATCCGCGTATAAATAAATTAGAAGTGCCAAAAGTACATATAGAAGTGAGGTGCAAAGATGTTTAGGTGTCAAAGAAGGAAAAACCTGGAGAAAGTAGTTGTATAAGTTGTAAAGCAATGATGTTCTTGTGTGAAAAAATCTGTCGAACTGTGGATCTGATGATGATCTTTCAACGGGATGACCTTGCTCCTAGATCCTCAGACTTTGTTAGTGAACTCTTAGATGAGATTATTTCTCCCTCTCCCTGTTTCTGAACTATTAAGGATCTTGTGAAGTGATCTTGAACCACGCATCTTCATTACCTCTCCAAAAGCCTAAAATCGTCGATCAGGATGATCTTGGGAAAGCAACAAGACGACTATAGTCACGATGATTGTTTTGCGTGCTCAAAGCGGCGGCCCAAGAAGAAGTAGATATTCTATCTACGGTTCCGTTAAAATGCTTCCGCGAATTATCGGTGTTATTTCGTGCATGCCAAGGTCTCTATCTCAAATCCAGATCATATGCACAAACGTACTGACCATAAGGCTACTTGATCATCAGGCTCGTTTAGCTAAATCAGGTTTCATCAAGTGGAGACCAGTCACACAGCTGCCCCCACTCGTGTTCATTTTATGTGACGCTGGTAAAACTGACATTGTAGTTACTCAAAATGCTGGATCTGATGAGCCAGGTCGAAAGTCATATCCAAGTCGAAATCTTTTAGAACTAGCACACGACAAGAAAACGAGCGTGTAGTTTATTCACGAAGAAATTGGAATTTCGATAATAATTTTTCATCAGATTCTTTCGTCAGAAATCACGCATTAAGTCCCACATCACTCAATCTCTGATCCTGATCTCCCCGACATCGATCTCAGCAACTCCGTATGATCCCCCACCCTTCCAGAACCTGTCGAAACACGGAGCCATCGATATCGCCACCGCAAATGAGTGCGTCGTGTGAGGCTTCCTTGATAACACTTTGCTCGATATGTGCTTCAGGCATCTTGTACACCTCTCGGGCTAACCAGAGAACTGCTTTTGCGGGACATATCTTATCTTCCTCACTGTAGATCAGGCGCCAAGAGGAAGGTGGTGGTATCATAGTAGAGGGTGTTGGAGTAGAGGCTGATAGAGTAGAGGCTGATAGAGTAGAGGCTGATAGAGTAGAGGCTGATAGAGTAGAGGTCGTTGGAGGAGAGGCTGATAGAGTAGAGGCTAATAGAGTAGAGGTCGTTGGAGTAGAGGTTGCTGAGGTAGAGGGTGTTGGAGGTGTAGAACAGCATGTTGAAGCACTGCACCAGTCCTCTTTTTTTTCCCACCTGCTAGATTGTTTTTGTTCGTCGCAGGTTGATGATATACTAGAGGAGTTCTTCTCATCTTCAGGAGATGGTTTTTTTTCAGATGGTTTTGAATTCTTGCTCTCATCCCGACTCTCCGCGAGAACGTCAGCTAGCTCTTCGCATCCTCTGTGCCAGCCTCGGTCTGCGCCCACTTTCATCTCAGTCCCCATACAACGACGCGAGGCCAATTGCATGGCTTCTAGTACGGTACCCGGACCAGGAAGCTTCTTCGCGGCAGTTGTTGATGTCGATAGAGTAGAGTTTTCGGAACTACAAGTGAATCGTTCGCGCTCCTTTCTCCAAAACAGACAGCGGAAGATCATTAGAATGTACGAAGACTACGAATAGAAGATCCTCTAATATACGGTTCTGTAGACATGATATCCAAGATGCTCTATTAGGTCTGGAGAGACCTATGTTGAAAAAAGACAAAGTTGGGCAAACTAGACATAACAAAAATTCGCCTCCGAAGGCCCCGAAGGCGATAGGAATAACAGAACGTTGCAAACCACCAAGCAAACTCGTGCCGACGTGCAGCACCGGCGAAGGTAGGTAGCTAGCCCAACGGGCTTGCCTCAGCGTGTCCGCGCAAGCAGCTGATACGAACGGCGCTAGCAGCGTCACATCTGTCACTCTCGGCATCAACGTTGCTTCAGTATATTTTAGAGTGTAGGTGAGTACACTAAGGAAGTAGAGGTATATTTGTGCTGGAGCCAACCTACCTAGGAAAGATAGAAAAAGGTAAAGGTATATACAATAGGACTAACAAAAATTTTGGCCATCTAGTTTAGGATCCGGTTATTCTAGGCGCCGTCTGTCGTCCAACTGCCCTGGAGGTCTTCTCATCTAAGGCGGCCGAAGCCTGTGCGTGCCTCAGAGAAGTGCTCGGTTCCGCCCGCGGTATATTTTACAAATTCACTTGGAAAGGAACCTAATTAAATTAGCATAAAAGAATCGCTCAGGTAAAGGTTTCAGATTATTTAGAGTCCTAGGGCAGCTCTCCAGTCCTCCAAAAGTCCTAGGGCAGCTCCAGTCCTTCAAAAAGTCCTCCTTCTGTAGCGAGCTTTTATTTTTTTGTACACCTTAAAAGCTGACGCCCAGGAGACTTTCGAGATCGTTGAGACTGGAGGAACAGCAGAAAGTAGGTCATGTACGCGTGCCCAAGACAGATGGCTATGACCTTCACCTCCGTGACCTTTTCCGCTAGCAAGACACTGAGGCAATCTTCAGCATGTCTCACGAGGTGCCCATAGACGGTTGTACTCCCTGACGAAAAGTCGTACTTCAAATTGTCCTCGAAAGAGCTTCTCCTTTTTTCCGCCTTAGCAGCGAAACTTCCCACTGCATTATTGAGAGGCGGTGTCTCCCAACTGGTATCTCCAGCTCCGGGTCTATCTACAGACAGGAGAACATGACTCGAATCGACCTTTTTCAGCCACGTCGGAGCAAAAAAATCCACGACATGGGCACTGGCGCCCATAGGGTGAAATATGAGGACAGCTGATTTTCTCTTCTCGTTTAATGTGGTCGCTTTCTTCTCATAAGACGGCGTGGTCGCAGCAGACGTCGATGCTTTCTCCCCATTTGCAGATGTGATGGCGGAAGTCAAAGACTCTGCAGTGGTCTCATAAGACAACCTTGTAGTGACAGTAGGAGAACAAGTCGATGCAGGCTCATCATCATTGGGGGATTCCACAATACGATAGCCAACGAGGCGGCCATTCTTTGTCGCATGAATCCGACGCTTCGATGCGAAATTTGGTGAGGACGTCATTTTGTTCTATAATCTTGTGGAGGGGTTGTAGGTGGAAGTAGTGATGTTGTATTGCTATTAGTTATTACTCATACAACTTCTATTTCTGACACAACAACTAATGGCACCTATACAAAAGACGTGTCTCACAACTAACTTCTGAGCGTGTAATTGTTTCACTTCAGATGGTGCAGCGAACGTTTTATCATCTAGGAGCTACGCATGTAGGAACTGCTATACAACACTCTCCTAGCTCCAACAACACGAGGAGTGGGGAGATTTCATCAATTTGCAATTTCTACAAAGGGGAAGAAGTCTAGCACGCGTTTTCTCATGTAGCATAACACAACAGGAGAGAGAGTTCCAAAAACACAAAACGACGGCCTTGCACAAGTCGATGAACCTGGTAAAGCTTTTCCATCAAGGAGCTTTTCCATCAAGGAGAGAGATTGATCTGGTTCCTCGACTTGCTTGGGATGATTTTGAGCACTATGTTCCGGTAGCTCTACTCCTCTGAGCGACGCGCTAAGTGCTTCCAGTGTCTTTACTCCTGCACAGCTAAGAATGGGCTGAATGCATTGTTTGAGTTTTTGACATGTTCCACATGAGTTGTTTTTTGAAATAGGAAGAAATCACATCGGCAAGCAAGGTAATATCAAGCGAATGATCGCAAGATGAACCTAGTAAAGCCTTTCCATCAAGGAGAGAGATTTAGAGCTTCCGTTCTCCATTTTCTCTGGACTGCACTAGACTGTAGAAGACTATAGTACTAGACTGTAGACTAGTAGTACTGTAGTACTGCAAAGCACTGCAGTCATGATCTTTTTGGTCGCTCATGAATTTCCTTCCACTGCTTGGCTGTCGCTGTCTACGCGCTAGGTCAGAAAATAGCGACGGCGTGAATCAATTCGGCAGTCTGTCTAAGATTTCCCTGACGATTTCCCTGACCACGATGTCGGATAATATGAAGATGGGGTGTCTCCATGCTCCTCCAGTGAACACGCACAATAGGCTTCTTTTGCTCAGTGTACCTAGTGGGATCTTGATCTTGTACGGGTCGTGGAAGGAGCGATCTTATGATCTCGTGATCTCGTGAAGGATTTTCATCTTCATCGCCACGAATGGAGAACCATACGGTCTAATTTCCGATAACACTCATTATACGTAACTCTCAGCAGCTAGATCATCTGCACTTCTCTCGCACTCCCACTTGTTAGTGAGTTGAATACAATCGGCAAAGTCTAGCGCTGTCATATTTTTTCACCATGTCAACATTCGTCGGAAAAAAAACATCCTCGACCAAGAACGATATCATCAGAGTCGGGTCCATGTGACATGGCCTCCTCACCACAGTCCTCCCTATGACACGTCCTCCCCTTCTGAGGCACTCAATTGATTCTCAAATCTCAAAAATTAGCATTGATTCACTACGGAGAGGATAGCAAAAAATGTCTGCCAGCTAGAGGTGCGTAATGTATGTTTGTGTTAGAAGTTGTTCCGCACTGTCTGTAACCGCTGACTTTATGCTTGAGGGGCAAGTTGAGCAGGAGGGACATGAACATGCGACGCTTCCCTCACACTCACAATTCGTCAAGGTGCAGGAGAAAGCAGAGGTGTGTAATTTCAATCACACTTCTTTCTGATACTTAAAGCTCAAGCAGAGTGTACCAACAACTTCGTCACACCTCTAGCTACAGGCCCTAAACGTGGAAACAACCGCATCGGCGTCAATGACACACTTCTTCTACCCAGAGGCCCTAAACATGGAAACAACCGCATCGGCGTCAATGTAGAAATCCTTAGGCTGGATCAGGCGCGCCGCGAGTTCGCGTGAAGGGAGCGTGTCAACGAAGCCAAAGGTTAGCTTTCCACCCCAAGTCTGCAGGATTACGAACTGAACATTCGCGTTGTTGGTACCTTTTTTGAGTTGTTCATGTTAAGTACCTGCTTTGTTGTTGAGAGATCACCTTTGTTCTTTGATAGCGATTCAAAAATTTTTCTTTGTTCAACAAAACCCACTTTGAAGATCGTGAAATCCAACCTAAAAGTTGTTTAAGGAACCTTTCGCCACTCCGCTTAAATGCGCTGAAATTTCGGCACAGCGGTTTCGTTTCATGCGTTCGATCGCAAACTTTTGTTGCCTTTCCTCTAGCGTTTCTCCTCTTATCCTGCTTATATCGAAGCTGGCTTCGGCAGGCTGGACTATCTCATCAACCCGGATCTTGCGGTCGCTCAGCAAGCTCACGTACATTTCCTCACCCTTGCTGCGTCGCATGGCTAATGGTAGTGTTATGGGTGGGAGCAGATGTTGTTGTTACTAGTTGTGCTGAAGAGAGAAACCATATTTACAAATAACTACTTTGTGATTGCGTTTTCCTTGTGGAAGGAACTGATGTTTCTTTTGAGAAAAACCGTATGAGTAATAAGGTAAGCCGAAGAGGACTCTTCAATAAAGTCAGGATTTCTACTTAGAGATGAAACCATACTAATTTACAAATGCTAGTTCTTTCAACGCAATGCGATACATAGGATTCATAATTGAAAGTATTTCTCAAGAGAACTACGATTGTAAGTACCATCCGAAAAGCACAGGACTAGTCGACTGTTCGCACCGAGGGCAGACTGTAGACGTCGTAACTGCTGCAAATTGCTTTCCCCAGTCCCGACAAGCTTGTTGTCCTGCATCGCAAGAAGGCCCTCCGGATCAAAATACACTATGCGATGCACATGCTGGCTTTGGAAGTAGATTGTATGTACATGCTGGCTTTGGAAAAAAAAATGTAGATTGTAGATGAAAGCCCTTCTTGAATGGGAAAAATAGAAACTAGGATCTAATTTGATCGTTGTATCCATCTTGTCTTTGCGTGTAGCCTTATGGCAACATCCAAAAGCTGGGCTCCTCTATTCTTCAGCAATAATCTAGCATATGAATCACAAGACAAGAACAATACGACAGTTGCGGTAGCGGTTTTGTAGACGGTAGATCTGAAGACGCTGGCACTGACATTAGAGGTTGCGTGAACTGTACTATCTTCAGATTATCCCTGACCCTTTTCCTCCTGGAAAAAAAGTCAAAGATGGTACTGAAGAATGCAATGTGGTAACCCTTAATGACGCTGGTTCTGCGACTCCTGCTGATTGCCTACTAACTCGCGCCTCGCTCGTCCTCGCTACGGCTCCTTGCTCTTCGCGTTTAAAGCGGACTTGCGTGTTGCCAAAGTCCTCCAATGCCTTTTTTATCATAGCAAGGCTCTTCAGGTTCTCATCGGAAATATGAAAGCAGGTTCGTTGTGCTCAGTTGTAATCTAGTTACTTAGAAGGAATCTCTCGTGGACTAGAAAATGGACTAGGACTACTGTGCCGAATAATAGATACAGTACAGCCGAAGGGGAATAAACTTCTAACACCACTGACAATCAATCTCAAAAAACAAAAATTAAAACATAACTCATCACACCCTGATGAACGATCTCCAATGCATTGTCTGCTCCGATATCAATGCCGCACCAGAGAGGAACCTTGGGCAATTCATCCTCATTCGAACCTGCCTGTTCCTGTGGTGCGCCAACCGCAGGTACCCAACTGCGCGTCTGCTGCTGTGCCGCAAGCTGTATCGGCTGGAATGTGGCACCTATGATGATGATGATATACCCAGTAGATTATTGTCTACGGGTGTGCAAGTATAAGTTGTTACACTTACAACAAACATAGTAGGGTCCTATTTCTAGAGAGTGAGATGAGATGCTCCCCAACAGCTCCGTTCTTGCAAGCTCAAAGAGTGAAAAGTGTCGCTCCAACAAGCCAGCCTTTGTGCTAGAAGAACTACACCTTCGGTACTAGTACTCTAAGAGGAACTACACCGAGTCACATACAGCAATTAGAGTACGAGCCGGCGCTGCCCGGGCTTGAGGCGGTGGTACGAAACTGAAATAGTCTTGGCGACCCATCGAACCACCGATATAGGAGCGCTGATAAGTGGCAGCCATGATTTTTTGATTAAGATCAACCCGTCACCTATAAGTTGACTCTTTCCATCACTCGAAACAGTCTTTGCTACTTTACCACAGGCTTGTTTACAGCTTTTCTTTAGTTTCCGATTTTTCTGATGATGAACCACAATATTTCTTTATGACCGCACAACTGGATTTTGAGTAAAGCAAACAGGCCTCCCAGGTCCTCAGAACAAATGGTACGTGAGTTGGTTTCTCTCGCCGTTTTCTTCTTTATGTTGAAGCTCCTTCTGAGTATCCTCAGTTTATGAACACTTATAGTCGTGCAACACCAAGATAGGATGACTAGTGAGACGAGGGGCATTTCTGTATCACACTCCCTCGTCTTGTAACTATGTAAGTAGGTACTATTCAGTTTTGATCATCTACTTCTTTAAGACTTGATGAACCATACTGCAAAATGAGAAATTCATGACGGCACTGCTGTACATTTAGGTAAACGCTACCACCCCTCCTAAAAGGCCACAAGTCCAAGTTGTACTTATAGTTTCTTATTCAGTGGTGTTCATCTACTGCTTTGAGAGGACTTCGTCAACCGACGAAAACGTTCAAGTTCAAATATCGGATCACAGGCCACTTTCCATCCGTCCCATTCCTCTTTGAAGTGCTTAGACGAGTTATAAGCAAAGATTCCCCACAGGACATATTGAATAGATTTCCACTAGTTTTCGTAAAAAACCAGTTTTCGCAAAAAAGTCCGCTTTGTTCAAGGCCTCTAGCGTCGCTTGTTGCAGCTTGGTACCCGCTTTCGAGGCGATCCACACGTTTTCTGGACCCAATTGTTCGACTCGTTAGGCAACTCCAGCAATACACCCTTTCATCGAAGGGATGTTTGCGACGTCTCCTCCGGTATCCTCACCCATAAGGGGTTAGAAAACACCGCCGAAGCCCAGGCCAACACGAGTCACTGAAGTCGATTCAACTGGAGGTAGCTGATCAGCGGCTGAAGCCGCTTCGCCAGTCTTCAACATGTTCATGTTGACCTCTGTAAAAGAACTAACTAGAAAAGTCAACGTCAAGAACCACAAGTTAGAAGCGTAAGAAAACAATAACAACCAGACTTGCTTCGTTCTCCAGGAAACAGGGAGAACAAATTTATCACTCATTCATTCACACGAACCACGCAGCAGCTACAAGTAACTGCCTGGCTCAGTTGTGACCCGAATAGATGAAAAAAGATAGATCAATCATCCAGTCTTCTCAACTCGGATACACTGCATCTCGCACAAAAAAGTGTGCAGACGACCATTATGGTGATCTTGACTTGGTCCTTAATCGGTCACAGATCTATATTTTCTGATCTTAGTTGCAGGGCAACGCAGGCCCAAGTTTGTTTAATCCTTCCTGGATACGAATATCCTCATTTTGCGGATCTGATCATGTTTTCAAACTTTCATTGTTGCAACTATTACTAATAATGAGACAACATCAGCACATTATGACAAAACTATTCGCGTTTTCATCAAGGAATGGGAATGCCGAGTATTCATATGAAAAAAAATGGAAATGACATATGATTACAGCCCCCCTATCCAGAAACCTCAGGGCGAATTCTCCTTACTACTCTCCAACCGGCGTTCCCCCACTTCGTAAGACGCGTTCCAGTCCTATGGCTTTCATTCGCGCTGCTGCTTCGTCGAGGCGCGCAACACGGTTCCTACTATCACGAAGCAAGTCATCCAAAGGGCACAGGGATTCACGCTGCTTTTCGACAATTAGAAAACGGTGGATTCATCTTTAACAAGTTGCAGAGAGTACGACTGATTCCTCAGTTCTTCATGCTGTAGCTACGACGAGCTTTCTACAATTGAAGATTTAACATGTAGATTTTGAAGCCTTAACAGTAGAGTCGATGGCAGAATATTATTTCGGTAAAAATCCAGACTCGCTTGTAGATTTCGCCGAATCTGCTCCGTCCGCAAGTCAGAGTCTAGTCTGGTGGAAGTCGATGTGGTTGAGAATGGAGTGGGGGCTAACCCATCTTCCGCAAGCTGTTGGTCAAATGCATAGGCAGCAAGCTTTTGGTCTCCTACTGCATGGTCCAGTGGATATGGAGACGAGCTAGCTGCTAAAGCAGTCACTTCGGAAGGAGTTGGCAGCGACGCTGCGAAATGTAGACCTAGAGGCGTACTAGTGGTCGATAGTGCAGGAGTAGTAGAGCTAGCGCCAAGCCTGCCTCCCCCAGCAACAAAATTATCTCCATAGCTATCTGAAGATAATTGTCCCCCAGCAGGTCTACAACTTGAAGATGAAGATGACCTCTGCTGTTCGCTCAGCGCCTGAAATGACGGTGGCAGCAAAGTGGTAACCGCACTTTGTTGATGGAGATTATCCCCACCTTGTTGAAGGAGGCGATCTCTGATCCGAGCTTCTGTCAGCGCCACGAGCTGTCGTTCGGCCTCACGTCCACTAGCTGCAACGCTCGTAACAGATGCTGATCCGTCCTCTTCCAGGATTAGAAAGCGTAGTAGTTGTTCATCTCTTACTCTTACTTGAATAGATTTACACTCTATTTGAACGTCATATGTGTGGTGTCCCTGATCATATGGTCATTTATTCTAGTAGACACTATAAACAACAAAACCCGGGAGTAAATGATAAAATTAGTACTACTTTCAGCTACTGGTTCTGCCTTAAATTCAGCGTAGAACTTGAGAATATTTGTCGCTGCATGCGCTGCAACAAGTCCCGAAAGCGTTCGTCATCATCCTTGTCTGAGGCTGTGGTACTACTGGCAGGAATGCTGGTCGCCAATGCCACGATGTGCTTCTCAGAGGGTGGCAATAGTTGCATTCCGGTAAGTGTTAGCGATAGAGGTGGAAACGGAGGTTATTCCTTCATGTAAGTAAATGAATACTAGCGATAGAGGTGGAATCGGAGGTTATTCCTTCCAGTACTAGCAGGTAAATGAAAAATACATTGCAAGAAGGGATAGCCTAAAAGTAGAAAGAGGAAAACCCGCCGGCTGTATATTTAAGTGCTTTGAGCGTCGCTGGACCTACGCCTTCGCCGTTTTACGGGCAAAAGCCAATCAAGATTTGCAGCACAACCATACAGACTTCGTTATACGGTAAGAGGATACTTTGTGCTTGGTAAAACCAGATCATCAAATCAGGAGGACTAGAAAATTGGCATGCTGAAAGGTGGATCCGCCAATCTTACAACATCAAAAAAACTGCCATAATGCTGCGACATTCTCGCCAGGCGCTAACGCTTGATACGGGGACGTCAGAGTGCGTATGGGATATCGCGTTGAGCTACCTGCTGAGCCAGCATGTTGATCTCCCCCCTCTTGTTGACTACTTCCACCTCCTATGACCATCCGTGCTTGAGCGGCCACACTTGATGGATCAGGATCACCTACTTGGGTAGTCGTTTTTAGCTGTTGATGTTGTATTTTTACTCCGTGATGATCGTGGTCCTGTTGCATCTCTTCCGCATCTTGCACTATGGTGCCCACTGAGGTTGGAGTAACGATGACTTGTATCACGTCCTCATTGCTCTGCTCTAGAACTAGAGTACCCAAATTTTTGGTGCCTTTTTTCGAAGAAGTCGTTCTTGTCTCCTCCTGCGGGGGAACGAGTTTGCGCTTCGCAACTTCTGCAAAGGATGGCGCTGCATCGAGTAAAGGTGGAGCCAATGTCCCCTGGGGACTAAAAATACTAGTGTGATTATTTCTAGAAGTCGTGCTTGCTTTGATCTGTTGCGAATTATACCCCGCTCTACTTCCAAAAGAGGTTGAAGACGATGTGCTCGTTTTTCCAACCGAATTAACATAGTTGTTCCCACCTCTACTCCCAAACAAATTCCCAGCTGCGAGTGAGGATGGTGAAGCTGGGACATCGGTGTCAGAAGAGAACCATTTTGGGCCATCGGCATTCGCATAGTCATATCGCGGTCGGGCATTCCATCTGGCGTAGTCTTGAGAAGTTGGATTCACGATGGGTGGTACTGGTAAACGGGAGGACCAACCTGCGCTACTGCCAGCGTAGGCGCTAGTGGTATGATCATGTTGATGTTGGAATCCAACACCTGCACCGGCACCTGCTGTACCGTATCCATTTATCGTACTAGAACTACTCGTAGTAGTGCTAGTTCTCCTGGGAATCACCCGATTCCGATCTGTCGTTAACTCTGCCCTCCTAGTTTTCTCCAAATGGTGCTTGGACAACGGCGAATCCGAATTCAAAGCGTGCATTGGATGAACTAGAGTGACAGGATGGTGCTGAGGTCGCTTGTTCTGCTCTATTGACGACTGCAATGTCGAACCAAGAGGCGAAAACGGGGCTCCGAGCCCCTGTGCGACACTGCTGCCGGGACTGGACAAAGCGCCAGCCAGAGACCGGACGTCATTGCGAAAGGCCGATACCTCGGCGAACCAGTCCGCGGGGTGCGAAGGCGCCATGTTCGTTGTATTTTGGAAGATGAAGGGGATGAGCGAGTCACAAGTTCGTCGTGTTGATCCTGGAAGACTTATTCTGCTGTACAAGCCTGTAATTCTTTTCTTTCTAGAATTTTCTGGTTCTACACGGTTTTTGTTTTGGAAGAAAGATATGAGTCTCCACGGGACCAGGACCCCGTTGGATCCCGTGAAGCCACACGAAAAACCACTTTTAAAACCTCTACCACGATAAGTCTGTTTTTCCACTCTGCACCATTTTCATGCTCTCCACTTTTTCCGCTCAAAGCCTCATGCTTCGAACTAAGCTCACCTCTCTCGAAAAAAACACTTCAGGCCAAATAAATTTGCACCGGTCTAATATTCATATTTCCAGTTGTTTTGCTCTTTTAACCGTAGTGAAGATTTTCTTGTCCTTACAATGGGAGTAGTAGTTGCAGTGATTTACAAGTTGTAAGTTGGAGGCAATATGTAGCAGTACTCTTACTCTGTGCTATTGAGAGTAAGTACGGTGAGCACTACTAGGTGGATTCATATCATTTTCATGCACCTGGGGATATAGTATGGGGTATGTCAACGTTGACTGACTGGGCATAGTATAGTGGATTAGCGGTGATGCATTGATTCTTCAAATGCAAATGTTCTAGTCACCACCACCTTTTTTGCCTTTCTTTCCCTTCCCTTTTCCACCACCCTTGCCGCCTCCTCCTTTCGTTTTCTTCTTCTTCGAGTAGTCGCGTTCGGTCAGAGCATCTCTGGGTTCGAATTTCTTCGGCAACGTTACGGTGGTCGACGGATACGTGCTCAATTCACATTGCATGTACTCAAAAGTTCGTCGCAAGGCATGTTTGTCCTGTAAGCCCAAATCGTGTTCTAAACTTGCATAGTTTAAAGAGCCAGATGGCGAGTTTTGCATCACGAACAAGGCTAAATGGATCAGCAGTTTCTTCTTGTTCAAAACGCAAGTTTCCTCGCGTTGGGCAGCCTCATCGCGGTCGATGACCTCACTAGTAACGGTGATTTGATAAAACGTGTCAATCAAATGCTCTTTCAATCGTTCTTGCATCTGCACAGCGTGAGGCGAGATCTTGTCATCAGCATCTCCTTTAGCAGCAGCAGCATCACCGATTTCTTCTCCAGCACCAGATGAATTATCCTTTCCTTTTTTGCCCTTCCCCTTCTTTCCTCCGCTTTCGTCAGAAGCACGCAGAAATTCGAAGTCGAAGTGTCGGAATTTCGATTTCACTTGCTCCCGCGTACCCGAAAAACTGAAAGCGCGGATGCTGTACATGGCGCACAAAATACGGATCAGGCCTGCGACTCTTGCCACGCCCTCGGCGTCCTTTATGGTTTTCACACGCGTCGCGTCGCTGAGATTTCGGTTTCGGATCAAGTCGAAAGCGGTGACACTGCCACAAGCGTCGCGAAGCTTGCTCTCAGTCGCCTTCGCGCGGTTGTGCCACAGCTCGCGAACAAGAGTGTTGTTATCCCCAAGCTTCAGACGGTCCTTCAATAAGCTCGCTGGGAAGGCCTGCCGTGTATTAAGGAGGAGTGGTGTATGCTGAAGTGACTGTGATGTTGTGAAAAAACTATCTCAGCAGCACAACCAGGCATCTAGTACAACCGTCTACTAATCTTCTTCGTCCAAAAATTATACAACAAAGTCCAAAAACTAAATACAAATATACCTTATTCAATCCCGCTTGGAAGACGTCCTTTTCGTTCTTCGGTGTGGGGTTCCACTCAGGCATGTAGGTCTTGGCATTCTGGATATGAGGGTTCTCCACAGCAGGCTTTTCGTCGCCTGCTTTCTGTAGGCGGTTTTGGAGTTCACCAAGGTCACCCTCAAGTCTGGAGTCGGTAACTTCCTTGTTCTTGGAATCTGGTGTTTGGTGATGGTCAGAGGGAAGGTAAGTACGGAATATTATTCATCTCGGGATGAAATAAAGTTGTAGTTGAAGAAAAGTAATCATGTAATTACTTTCATCGCTCGGTGACCAAAGGTGAAGAAAGCATCACGCCAAATGAGGAATATTCTCGACGACAGAACAAATGAGGAATATACTTCTCAACGACAGAAATTAGTGGAAACCGGACCATCGTCATCACCATGTCTAAAAATTTGACATTATGTATGAGTCCTCTAAGTACTTTTAATTTTCCTCAATCTCTTCGCAGCAGAGAATTGTTCGTGGAAGTTCGTTAGGCGGTCTGCCTTCATCTCCGCGTCCATAGAGCGGATGTTGGTAGCAATGCTCAACATAGTTTCTTCCTTCGCTGGAACGGAAGATCGTAATCCGTGAAGCTCGGTGGCGAAGACGTGGAGTCTAGAGCCCACTAATGCGGCTACGTACAACTGAGCTGGAGTAGATGTACTGCTTGTTGCTGAAGAAGAAGGTGCGCTTTTATCATTGGTTATTTTCGATTTTTTGCTTGACTTCTTGTTGGTGGAAGATGAAGAAGAAGAGGAAGAAGCATTTTTCCCAGTGAAGACTTCTTCCACGACATGAGTCAAAGGCGATCGTTTCAGCTGAAGCTGCAACTCCATCTTGTCGACTCTGGACTGATACTGGACTGGGTGTGAGTCCCAAGTGCCCAACAACTGACGCTCTCGCAAACCGTAGTCAATGCGCTTGAATTTGGTGCCCGTGAGAAACGCGCCATTGCAGGTAATGGGGGTTAACACTCTAGCCAAGGGTACAACGTTCTCGAAACCCTCGCCTGGAGGATGCAGCACTACGTCCAAAATGATGCCTTCCTCTTGCTGATTGCTGCCATTGGCTGTAGTTGTTGGCCGTTCATTGTTTCTCTCCTCTTCGTCGTCATCATCATCATCACCCTCTTGATCACCCCCTTCTCCGCCATTCTTTCCGCCTTTGTGATTTTTTCCCTTCGTCGAAGATGAAGTAGAGCAAGAAATACTGCCACCAGCTGCATTCAACTTGTAAGGATTGGTACGAAGTTCACTGCCGCTTACGGATCCCCAAGGCAACAAATGCTTGGCCACTTGGATCACGCCTTTCACTGGTTGAGGCAAGAGCACTTTGGACCCGGCTGCTGAACCTTCCTCCACACTGGGAAGGAAAACTAGATATTCACTGCCTGTGATCGGCGCTTTTGATCTTCGGGAACCATCTAGAAGGCGAGCTCTCTTGGGCTGGTTTTCTCCAGCAGATTGTTGTTCTTGTGCGGAAGAAGCGAACGGACAATCAGATGCCGAAAGGTCTCCACTAGGCTGAAAAAAGATCCTAGGCTTGATGTTGGTGGATCTAGTAGCGTCAAAGGATTCTAAGCTCAGTCGTGCACCGCCTTCGCATTCGATGCCTTCAGGATCTTCCGCTGCTCTTGGCCGCTTCTTAGAAGTAGAATTTCCTTGCAGGGTGAACATATCCTCGTCATCCTGGTCCTCCCCATTTGTGCGTTCACCTAGCGGTTGAGCTTGAGGTTCATGCCATCTCAACTTCGCATCTTCAAAGAGTTCTCGGACGCATTGACCTGCTGCGACACGTACTACGAACCACCCATCTACAGGGCTGCCAACCAAGGATCGTGGTAGACTCGAGGTTTGCTCGACTGTCTTTCCCGTCTTCAGGGTCGCGCGACATCCCGTGCCTGCGGCAGCCGTGTAAATGTCACCGAGGTCACACAGCGTCGCGAGGGCCGCGGGAGCACTCATTTTCGTTGATCAAAGCCTTTGAAATGATAGTCTTGTTGATGATGAAATGGTATGAACGTATACTCAATTAGGTAGATTTGTGGAAAAAATTATTGAAACGAACTGCTTTACCTAGTATAAATTCCAGTAGGTACTATTGCCTTCACCTGCGCAAAATAAATACATCAAGGATTATACATCGACAAGCCGTCGTAGGAACCTAGAACTACATTAACATGCATGCTTTTTAGCATCTAAGCAACACAAGAGGTTGAACAAGAGGTTGAACAAGTGGTGAAAGATCATGTTGCGTGGCGTTTTTCGGAGGTATCAGAGATGATCCAGAGTGAGACATCTTGAGTGTGATCATGATCCCGAGAGGAGGGAGACAGCATGTAGGGCTCACCACCCAGAGAAAAAACTGAAGAACTTTCTTAGCAACGACCGACCACCTACTACTCACTGCTAACAGACTACCAGACTAGCTTCACCTTAGGATACCTACCAACCTTTTAAGTACCTACTCAAGTTAGTCACGGCAGAAAAAGAGAGCAAAAATCATGATCCTGAGAGCAAGATCTCCACCAATTAGGTTTTCAGATCTTGGACCATCAGAGAACAAGTGTGACACCGATAAGACTGCCCCTCAACTTCTATGAGCATGCCTTTTTGAAAGTATTTTCGTCCACTACTTCTCCAATCTCTTTTCACTTGTAAATCACATTTCTATTCGTGTTGCGTGAAGTCCTTGTTCTACTTGATCGAAAGTAGAAGACAGAGTGCATCTTATTTCCATGTTCATTTACGAACGCATTTTCATTGCTGTAATACAACCTATAGATGACTACACTTGTCTGGATAGTTGTGCCGGTGTGCTTTGCCTACTTCTTTTTTCATATAAAAGAAGTCCCGACCTGTGGAACACGAATACTACATTTTAGACCTTCTTGTTGACCATGTATAAGAACGAAAATTTACGGATCTTGAGAAAATCGTCTACGAATAAGAATATTGATTGACCAAAAGAAGAAAAGGAGCAAAAGAAAGGATATAAACTGATGATACTAGGTGGTACTAGTACAACAGAGGACTTCTGAAGTGGCGTGGGTGCCGTGCCTCACGACAGAAGGGGGTGCCGTGTCGACGAAGACTTTGTTCTACTGTGTAGCTGTGTAGTTGTGATTAGTACATCCACACCTCCTAGCACTACACCTAGCGGACAAGGGAGACGATGACCATGACTACTTGTACTACAAGCACCCGAGTCTTCATACAGTTTCGAAAATAAAAATTATATAGGTAGGTAGTTAGGTAGTTAGGTAGGGACAGGGACGGGAACGGACCTACCAGCCTTGATGATGTGATCAATCGCATCGCGAGCAGCGTAACCCGCAGACTGCACCTCTCCAGCACCGGTCTCTGCGATGACTTTCTCCACCGCAGGCCTTATTTGGTCGCGAATAAACTCTATTCGCATCTCGCTATCTCGGCAGAATGTCATGGTGAGCTTACCTGTCGGGATTGTAGAAATATGTTTGTGAGCTTACCTGTGACTTCGGTTTTGGAACATCATCAAAGTATTTTCTTCCAACGAAGAACATTTTGCATGACGAGTCCAGTCGACTATTTTGCATTGACTACGAAGTCTACTTCTTAAAGAGGTGGTGTTTGTAACAAGAACAGTCATGTAATGCTCTATGGTCGTATCCTCTTATGTCCTAAATTAATTGTTGTTGTCATCAAAAAAGTCTAAGTAATCAAAAAAGCAGCATTCTTATAACAGGTAGTACATGCGCGATATTTGACGTTTGGCACGGAGTCTCCGAGAGCTTTGAGGAAGGTTGGCGCTAGTATAGTCTCCGTTTGCTGGCCATTTAGGACTTCGCCTAATGGCACTATTGCCTGCAACACGGTCAGTCGAATACAATGACCACTCTTTGAGGAGAACCTTATCAAGTTGTTTGAAGAAGTTTGGAGAGAAGTGTGAATCTATCCATCTTGTACATGTACTTGAGTCTTTCTTCAGAAAATGCATCCGTAGGTATTGAATTTGAAAGCTATTATTGAAAAAGATTTAGGACTCGTTAAAAGTCTATTGCGGTAAAATGTGAAACGAGGCGGCTGTAGTAGTATTCGGTTTTTAGTACTCGTTGAGGATTTGTGGAATAAACGCCGTCGTGCTCCATTCGTTGCCGAATATTCTGCAAAAAGCCGATGCTTCCTTCACTGCTGCCATCCGGACGGCGTGGACACTGTCTTTCAACGCCTTCAAAAACATCGTCTCGATTCGACCGAAGTGTTCGAGTCCAAACACTTTAGCCAGTGTTGGCAGTTGTTCTACTACCGCACGACGGATGCGCCAGTGCTTGTCCATAATGAGGCCGTTGATGCCGTTCAAAAGTGAGTAACTCACCTGGTCTTGCCCTAAAACGACACAAACGTCGGCTGCGAAAGTAACCATGTATAATCGGACCTCGTGAAACTCGTCTTTTATCAAGTCGGATACGAAGTTCAGCAACAGCTTCTGTTATGGTTAGGTAGCAGTAGGTTTAGGGTGAGGAAGATAATCTTCATGCTTATCTTGTTAATAGAGAGTTCACAGTGATAATTGCGTTCACAAAGCAGGAGGCTTTTGTTTCTGTGATGTAGATTCAACTTTAGCGTTGTGAGTGATACGTGTGTCATCTCTTATACGTGTGTCATCTCTTTCCCCAATCGCTTCCCCGTGAGCCCGATAACCTTTGCCACTGCTGCCCTGACGTTCTGTGATGCGTCTAATGCTAGAACTTGGAAGTAACTGACAATATAGCTCTGCATCTGCTCTGCAGTCAACAAATCCGCTTCAAGTAAATCCCCGATTGCTTTTGTCTGTCGAGTGTTGGTTGAAAAAATTTAGGAGAATATCGCAGACACCATGATGCTGATGAACCAGAGAAAGTTACAGTGAAATTCACTCAGTGAATCTGAGGACTCACACGTAAATACTACTCGAAGCAAGAGAAATCGTTCAAATCTGAGTACCGCTGCTGTCCTCACCTCCTGCTCGATATCTTTGAGCATGTTCGCAAATGGGCCTAACATGAAATTGCCCGTTATGTCCGCACCAAGACCCCTGAATTGATTGAGGGCAAGAATAATTGATCCAACTTCATAGCGCTTCTTCCATTAATCAAATTCTACTAGGATGAGTTATTCAACATTGTGGATTTCCTGACGGTTTGTCATTTCTAAAATTGTTATTGCTAGAACGGAGGTTATTCAATAATCATCAAGGTACTACAGTCTCAGTCTCAAAACTAAAAAAATATAGTACTCGCAAAGTTTTGCGAATTTTTCCGCGACTCTAAGTCGCACACGCCAGCTTCTGTCTTCCAGAGCGTTTGATATTACGCTAAGGATATGCTGCTTCGCCCCCTCATGGTCTCCCTTAAAATGATACTTTACCAAATTCGCTGATACTTCGACCTGGGTTTTTCATTGGGAGGAGAAGTTGTCGGTGAAGATGCGTTATTTCTGAAATAATTTCCTCATCGACACGTCATGTTGCACCAGGATCGAATCCACGACTGAACTGTAGTATCAGAGATCCATAAGTACACACGAGGTCCTGATGATATCTTGGGTGTCGTCGGCTGCCAGATTTCTGTAGGTAGGTATCAAATCCATGATGCATCCTTGCTTGTCGACCACCGAGACGAATTCTGACGAGTGTTTGGGATTTAGTTTTTGTTGGGCGATTCTTGGGGAAGTTGTTAACACTTCTTGGTTAGGTTAGGTTAGGTTAGGTTAGGTTGTGAATCCTGCACATCGAAGCCCCCCGGCACCCATTGATCTGGTAGACATTGATTCATTACGAAATTTATTATCGGATGTTGTGTCATTCACCTTCATAATGGTTAGGTTAGGAAATCTCATACATGAGATATAATACCTGCCAAGTGATTTGCTGCACTTCGACGGACCATAGGGGTTTCGTCGGCGGCTAGTTGGTTGAAGAGTTTCCGCAACTCCACTTTGTAAGTATCATTCACCCCAACATAGACCGCTGGAAACAAGCCGCACACTGATAACCTTGCGGTGAACCACTCAGCCGAAGCTAACCTCTGCAGAATTGGCAGTATATCCTGCTGTATGTTTACCCGTCCGCCACGGCAGACCAACTTGATACCTTTCATTGTTGACCACATTGATGATACATAGGAGTGTTTCGGTGTTGGCGGGTGAAGACAATGGAAGGGGAAGTAGAGTACAGAAGCAATGCTGTCCCGCGTGAGGCGCTTGGCGCGTCGCTTATAAGTAGCGAGTCGCGTGGGGCACTTAAGGGGCGCCTCGCTTAACCGGTGACAAAAGTTACTGCTTAAGCGACACGCTAAGTGCCACGCGAGGCACTTAAGGAGCGACTAGCTTAGGCGGCGACAAAAGTCACTGCGTAAGAGACACGCTAAGTGCCACGCAAGGCAGCTTAAGGACGCTTCGCTTAAGCGGTGACAAAAGTCACTACCGGAGCGACACGGTAAGCGAAGCGCTGCTGTAGTTGAAGAGACCCCCTCTATCAGGCGCTTCAAATTTTCACAGGCGATCACGATAGAATTACCTTCAATCGCTTTTTCCCTGATCACGGTCTCCTCTTGGTAGGCCAACCACTCGATTGGTGCCGCGAAGCACAGATGATTCCCGCCTGTCAGCCCCATTAATTGGATGTACTGTTCTCCACACCTAAACAAAAATTCGTCGTCGTTGAGGTAGGTCTGGCATTTCGATACGTCAAAGAGCCAAGGTATCAGTTCCTCCACCGTCCTCTTGGGGCCGATCGCATGCGCGACCAAGTACGCCCTTGAGACGGCCGCGAGTCGCACACTCTGATCATCATTCCGCAGCTCGTCCTTCAAAAACTGAAGGTAGTCACTGCTCGCCATCTTGTCGCTTCTTGTCGTTGGTTAGCGTTGATGGGTAGTTGGAGATGAAGGTCTAGTTTGGATTTTCTTGTTCTACTCGGACAGATTCTTGTTCTGCTTGTTCGTGTCCGCTATACAGTCAACTATTGGCGTTCGAGGTTTCCGCTCTGTTTCCGCTTCCTGGGTCCAAGTCCAAAACGTGCTCCTGTGTGCGGCGACTAGTACTAGTACTTGTATTTGATGCCCTGCGTCACTACTTACCTCCAATACTAGTACCTACTTCTTTCAGATGAAGACGATGCTATGGGGCCGTCGTTCTAGCAATTCGTCCACTCAGTGCTTCTGCGAGACCAGCCTATATGAGTAGGCCGACCTCGCCACATTTTTTCTGGCGGGCCCTCAAGCCAAAAAATAAACGGCCCTAGCGGTCAACATGATCTTTTCTAGCAATCAAGTGATTGTAAGTGAGCATAAAAATCAAACTTGGTTGTACTTCAAACGAAAAAATAAATCAACATCCGCGACTAGCTGTAGCACCTTGGCTAGCCTGCACTCATATTCGTTCAAGTAGATGGATTCATATTAGTGACCACCAGGAGAAAAAAATCAGTTCTGCATTGTCTGACTGTTCAGTTCTTGCAGCAGTTTGCAATTCCCAATCCATTGTAGTTTTTCATCCTTCCAATTCACAACAAGTTAAAACCTCATCATCTTTTCGTTCGCGACAAGAACTCTGATTACGGTTTGCTAATGCGAATGTGGTATTTCTCAAGAGCAAAAAAAAAATTGTCAGGCTCAACAGACAAGAGCGACCACCTCACCGGAACGATGATTTCATTCCACATCTTCAAACAATCCAGAATTCAACGCATATGCCATCAATCATTTTTCTTTGTTGCCATGGCAGGCGACTAATGGGCCTTGGAACGCAGCTCAAGGTTGTGATGGAAAATCTTACTCATCATGCTTGTGAGTTTATTGAGCATCCTCACGTTAACCTTTGGCGCAGCAGTGTCTACTAGGATGGTAATTAGACTTGGCAGCTTACAGTCTTCAAAATAGACATCGTTTCCAACTCCAAGTTGAACTCTATAGGGTACAAGGTATGAAACAAGTTGAATTTCGTAGTACAGTCAAGTATTTACGAGTGCTGAAAATATAACAATGCTGAAAGCCTCTTCTTATGCAACAGCTTGCAATGAATCGGCTGTTTCAATAGCGCCGAAAAACAGGTCGTCGTCCTTTTCAGATGCCGTCCAATATCCACGTAGACTCCGATACGCCTTCACCGGTGTGAGGTCGTTGAACAGGAAGAGTGCTCCTCTGCGAGCGAGACTTTCACCGCTCAATCCAAATCGACGCATTACATGTGGGTTGCGCTCAGGACTCAAGTATTCAAACGCAGTAAGATTTGCGAAAGTGAGACCCGTCTGTCGACCCAAAAGAGCGCCTGTAAACGCCAGCAAGCACAGGTTGAAGCCAGCAGTGCACAAGGTGACCAATTTTGCTAGAGGCGACGAACCCAGATCGCCCAAAACCGTCACTACAAATGTGAAAGAGGATGTTGAAGATGTAGTTGCCGCATCGCCTGGAAAAAGAGAAGCAGATGCTGTTGATGTAGTTCCTCGTCCTGTGCTAGAAGTACTACTAGCGTCAGCACCAGCTGCAGCAGGCATCGGCTCGAAGAATGTCTGTAGGTTTAAAACTCCTAGAGACAGCAGTCTTGCGAAGTGACACACGAAAAGCAGAAACCACAAAAAGTCTAAGAGGAAGCTAAAGAACAGGAACAGATAGAACTCCCGCTGATTGCCCAGTCCGATTGCGTTGTCTACCTACCGTTAAAAGAACTGCCCCAAATCCATCCTCGGAAGCATGGTCGGTAGTCCCCGTTTTCCTTTGTCTTGCTGACCATGGATCTATGGATGAAGATGGATCTATGGATGTGGATGCCTTAACATGGACAATGATGATCGAATCTTGCTACTACGCGGCACTTCTCCTTCCAAAACTTGCTTCGTCGAGTCAAAAGACACCTGCACGTGACGTTCAAACCAGTGAAGTCCGCGCTCAGGACTTTCTTCAAATAGAGCCGGCCATTCAGCGCTGCCCTATATCGGTCGCGCTCGGATCTGGCGCCAACAGCATCGGAAGGTGTGGTCAGCTCGAGGGAATATGAAAGAGCCTGAGTGCGGGAAATTCTACATATCGATCTAGCCGACTTTGACCGAACCGTAGCTAAGTAGCTCTACACGATTTCGCGCTCCACTATGCGAATCACACAACTTTTACATTAATGAACAAAGAAGTCTATGTCATGTGTATGCCCCTGAAGATAGTGTCCTTCCTAACACCCGTAGAGACAGAGTCTGAATGTAGTCATGATCAAGAACTTCTACCACCTTCTTTTTCATAAAATCATCCGCCGCAGCCGACCGACGTTGATTGAGACGGTGGCGATTTTCTCTTCGAGTTCTGCCTGTGCTTCCCGGATGGCTCCTGCACCAGTGGTTTTACCCCTGTGAACCTCTGTGCCTCCGACGCCACTTCCAGCGAATAAACCCGGAAAATCTTTTGCTAGAGTATGAAGAAAGTTGGATGCTATCCCTGTAGTTGGATCGAATAAACTACAGCAGAACTTCTACATTATATCATTACTGCAACGTACCACTGGTTGTCAACAAAGATGAAAGGTTACCTCCGCTAGTAAGAACTAGTAGTTGTCAACAAAGAAAAGAGCAATAGCTCGTTGCAAGTCTCTTCCCATGATAGAAAAGCCCAGTTCCGTCCTCACGAATTATCTTGATATCAATCTAGAATAAGATCAGTGGAGCACACCTAACTAGAAAACAAAAAAACCAAAAGAATCAAGTAATCCAAATATCTAGAATCAAGTAATCCAAATATCTATCTTATCTGCTTTCTTCGTTTGACGCCATACAATTCCGCTCCAAGGTGAAATGACCCCGCAATGTCGCCTCCCATGTAGAGTTCCGCTTCTCCCACTGCATGACGCAGAAGTTGTCTTTGAAAGTTACACTTATGAAGGTCCCTCTCCAATTCGTGCAGGTCTTCTAACGTAGATATCACGTCATCCACAGTGATCTGTCTCCTGGCATCTCCGCTGTGTAAAACATGCAGGAGCTGTTTTTGTCGCAAGCGCTTGTACTCCTTTTCTGGGGATTAGAAGAAAGAAAAGAGTTAGAAGTCGGGACGTCATGATACCCACAAATAGTGCTCGGAGAAAAAGATGAAATTGATATGACGACAGTAATAGCCTATCATGCATATCATAACTGGCGGAATCGAGCTTCCCAGATTTTTGCCCACTTCCGGTTGCGCCAACAAGGGAACTCACCAGTGCTGACGTGCTACAGCTAACGCTTGAGTGGTCGACCGTTTCTACGCGTGGGGATCCAACTTAGTGGTAGTTATTAGGACTTGAACATAAGAAGGTTGAAATCATACCTACCAAGGATAGTGTTGAAATCAAATCTGCCACGACCCTAGGATAGTGATAGATCACACGAGAAAATGTGTTGATCGTTTGAATCTATTGGGAAAAGTGCCAAGATTTCCCCTTGATCATCGATTTTAGCCGTAAGCAAAGGTCCCACAGCTCGAAGTTGTTCTTTTGCTGCTCTCTTGGCGTGCACTATTAGTGATCTCAGCTGTCGTGGTAGAGGAAACTAAAGCATCCACTGAAGAATTAGTATGATGTTGGCGGCCTCCGGCAGCACCTCCACCTGTTGTGGAAAAGTGAGTTTTTCCTAATGTATGGTCTTGTCCCGATCCTGTTGTATTAAAGGTCGTTGTAAAATTTTTACATTCTTCAGAACATCCCTCACCTCTCTCCTACTGGAAAAAGAGTGAGGAATGATGGTGGAGGATGTAATTGGTTCACCCTTAATTGTAACACCTCCATCTGCTCTTCCAGCTGTAGTTGTACCTTCCTCAAATTCCCCTCCTTCTTTTTCGCTATTGTGTACTAACTGCGCAGCCACTCGTAGTTGCGAAGAGGGACTCATCTGTAAGCGGAAATGGTCTTCTCCCTCCTGAGTTTGCTCTACATCGGCAACAAACACACTCGTTGCTACAGTGGGGTACACCGCGTAGAGATCTTCTCGATACCGGTCTAAGCGTTTGCGATCCAGTGTGGGGCTCTCGGCGGAATCTTCTCGACTTTCTGCCTTATTAGAGCTGTCCGCAATTCATCTTTCAAGTGCATCCTTGAAAAGTATGGGGGAGTATTCGCTGAGGATACTCCTCCATACGTTTCATTTTCAAGGATCATACGTCCAAAGATGTACTAGGTACAGCCTTAACCTTACTTCTGGCGGTTGAATGATCCTCTTCTGGTCCATCATTCTTGGCAACTAGTGGCAGGGATAAATTTGTTTCTTGCGGTGGTCCTGTAGTTCCTGTTGTGTCTTGTTGTGTGGCGTAAAAGTTCTTTAGGTAGTCGTCTGCTGCATCGGATGCCGGAATCAGTGGCGTGTAAGTCGATGGGGCAAAGAGACTCGCTCTCTCACCCACTCGGTGTGGACCGCTGTCTGCTGCTGGGCTAATGAAAAAAGGGGAGTCTGCTCTAGAGTAAGTAGTAGTTATACATATAGTAAAGTCTAGTTGTAGTAGTAGTAATTGGAGATTCGTAGGCACCTCCTCCATACAAGTTATATAAAAATCACTTAAAAACTCTAGAGTTGTTTCGAATCTTCACTCTAGAGTAGTTTCAAATAACCACTATCCATACAGCTCAAGCAGGCTTCTGCGGACGCAAAGCAGCCTCGACGCCTTTTTTTCCGTCGACGGAAGAAGGCTACATGTGTCATTTGGCTCTCGATGACAGACTCCGAGTCGAAGAATTCCGCATGTTCCCGTATTCTCTGCTTCTGAGATAGGATGGTGCTAGGCGCAACGCAACCAGGATCTGCTGTGATGCAGCGGCACCACAACTTTACAGTAGGTTAGATGACAAGGTGAGCTTACCACTTTCTTCCTCAGAAGAAGATTCACAGAAGCTACGAAGCCGACACCCGCCAGGAAGAAGTGGTCAACATGAACATTACTATTTCTAAGAGCAAAAATGTTATAATCGTCTTGAAGAGCCTTAACTAATGACAAAAAGAACAAGCCACGTGATGAGTGCGATTGCGAGAGTGTCTGCAGTTAAAATCGGAAACTCTCCCGTCATGCCTTCGATTTCACGACCTAGAGAGGGTTTGTTGAACAAGTACTTTTTTTTAGTCCTAATACTTTTGCATGAAGGGAGAGAGCTGTAGTGAAGAGGTGAAAGCTAACCGGTTGCTTTACTTAGTGCTTTAAGCGCCGCTGGACCTATGCATATAATCTAAGAGGTTAGAAGCCAAAGCCTAAGCCTATAACTAAGTCTAAGTAACTACTCTCGTTCGCGAGCAGAATCGGAGGTGCAAAAACGCAGCTGAATATGGCAATGTTGGCAGCAAAAGTCACAGCTACTGCCCATGCGAATTCTTCCTGAAAAAAGTGCGGCTTTCCAATCACTCGGTTAAACAAGATTTCAAGGCTTTCCCATATTCATCGTGAAGTGCATCCTTGACCTGTACGTTCCCTCATCGTCAACATTGAGTCTCCTGTACTAGAACTAATACATAGTGTGCCGGCATCAAGACGATGCAAAACGACAGTACAGTCAAAGGTGGTTGTTCCTTCTCAGGAGATGAATGATCGGTGGAAACCTTAAAGCTTGCACGTCCAGAAGTTGAAGTACAAGGAATAGTTCCCACCTCGCCAGGCTATTTGCATAGGCGTGTCTCCGCAGCTATCCGGAACATCTATCAACAAAATAGCATGAAAGAATGCTGGGGCGACTATCTATCAACAAAACAGCATGAAAGAATGCTGGGGCGACTATCTATCAACAAAACAGCATGAAAGAACGCTGGGGCGACTATCTATCAACAAAATAGCATGAAAGAATGCTGGGGCGACTGATTGAACAAAGAATGTCGACAAGAAGCAGGGAATGCGCCGTTTCTATATCATGCTCAGTTTAGTTGTAAGTAGGTGAACTTTTACTTGTTTCTAAGGCCTATATTTCTTTATTTGCCTGTAGACACTTTCTTCTAAGGCCCACAAAGCAAGACTCTCTGGAAGTAAAAAAGTGGCAGTCGAGAACTACTGGTGGCATTCTTTCTTCATGGAGACTCTTTCATTTTTCCCCACTCACACACAGAAAACTACATCATAAACGGCGCCGACCGAGATCAGCCAATCCACAACGGCCCTTCCCCCTGCCCAGATCTCCTTGGCGTCGCGTCTTGAGGCCCAATGCAAACTCGTCGCTCCCTCGTGGTCGCGGTGTTTCATATGAAAAAACGTTTTACTCTTCACGACTAGAGTGGATCAGGAAGTCATCACCCGACCCCCGTGTCCGTCAGAATGCGCGAACATTGTATTTTGACTTGTTACGGCACTCAGTAATGTATAGAGTGATGAGTGGAAGCATAAAAAAAGACGATCTCAGCTTCCAGATAGAGGGATACATAAGACGAGGGAAATTTTGAAACCCGTTTTTCATCGATTTTGACTTATAACTTCATTCATACCCTTGCTCTAAAGTGAACAAAAACGTCTTCACAACAAAAAGCCTCTCCACTCTTAAAGCCTTAAGCAACAGAAGCCGCACGTGAGAGTAGGTAGGTGACTGCGCGTGGGTGGCCTTGATAACATGCCCACATCAAAGGTGTGCGACCAAGGTTATCCTGTTCTTCAACGCTCGCGCCCTGAAGATACATCCATTCCATGCACTCGATATGATACAAGTTAGATGTAGCTGACTCCCTGAGTGGATCAACTGTTCATGCAGACCAGTCTACAAAACTTGAAGCATCCTTCAGTGCACAAAGGGCACAACTGATTAGTATGAAGAGTGGTGAAATATTTCAGAAAAAAATATACGCATTGGAACATAACCAACTGTGCTGCCATTATGAGTGGTGAAAGGCCCTCCGAATCCCTGGCACAAAGTATCCCTGCATCTGCTCGTATGAGCCACCTCATGGCAGCCACATTACCTGCTCATATTAGAAGAAGTCACGAGCATTGGAACCCTTAGAGAGCTGCCTTGTGCAAGAATAGCAATAGCTTCAGCATGCTCTTCTAATAGTCACTAGAAACTTTAGTACCAGACCTTTTTTTCGTGTGCCCGACCTCTACACCAGTTCGTAGATTCTAGTACTAGGTCGTGATTCTTAATTTCACTGCCCAATGACACGCCGTTTCTCCAAGTTCATTCCTATGGAATAGCAAATCATGGGTTTTCTTCTTTTCTGCTTCTCCGATAGAAGTGGTTGAGGGAACTCCAGAAGGAGTAGACGATGTTTTTGCAGCATCCTCTACAAGCTCGTCCTCGACTGCATTCGGAGGAAGTCCCAACAAGAGTCGCACAAGTTCCAAGAACCCAGGATCCGATTGGAAGGCTGCGTAGTGCAAAGCGGTGCTGCCCCTTGCATCAGGCTCTACGGGGAATCCGCGTCGAAGCAGTTGCAAGGCTAACTCAGCCTCACCGTGGGCGGCCGCCGCCGTCACGGAATCGATTTCATGTGCTCTGGCAGCAGGACGCATTTTTTTTGAGTTTTTGAATTAGTGAACAACAAGTTAGTCTAAAGAGAAGAAAAGAGAGAGAACTCGATAACTATGGAAGTTGGCGTGCGTCTACAGTCTACTTGAGTTCTTTCATATTCATACTGTACCTATTGAAGACAAACGGTAAAGGTGTAATTGCCAATAGCTGATAGATACATCTCCTTGGAATTGTAGTGTGTGAAAGAAATTATCTTCTTGTGGCGTCATTCTGCTTGAAAGCATGATCACCATGACCCTAAGCCCTAATGATGTGATTGCGAGGGCCGGCTCCTAAATGATTTTTTTGTGTAAATAGGGAAAGACCACGGGCTACACAGGTAAAAATCAAAAGTAAAAGAATCAACACTATATAAATTCCATATGAAACAAATCTTTGGCTCGTCTGCTTAGTCACGAAGTAGCTAGCCTTGGTGCTCACCTCTCTCTCCTGCATGATCTACAACCTATCCTCTAAGTGCCTGTCTACGTGCATTTGTTGCAGCCGTTCGCAGTTAGCGCAGAAGCACTTTGCTGTGGGCTCAAGCCTGCAGGTAGAGTTCAGATGCTCAGCTGTTGTCCTCGTCTAAAAATTTGACTTCATTGATTGTGTGGTCAGCAGCCAAAATGCTATGCCCACGCGCGGTGAAAAAATTGAGTTCCTCCGCTCTTCGAACAACACGGACGGAGCCCAGCTCACGACACGAAAGTCCTCGGGTTACAAATTTTGTATGTAGGGAACTGAAGATGAAGTGGCGTGGTTGAGATGTCCAAGACAATCCAACCGGCCCTCTGAACCGAAGCTCTTAAGGAAGTGAGGCGCTAGGTTGCTAAAAATAAGTATGAATCCAAGGCCCGCACACCTCGGGCACAAAATATGAGCGAGCTCAGGCGAGTTAGTAAGATGTAGCCAGTGGGTCTGCCGAAGCTGCCTGGTGCGTCCGCGTGACTTAGTCTCCTTCGGTCGGTTCAGTTCGTCCGCGCGTTTTGGTGTGTTAGGTTGCTTCTGTTGGGCTAGGTAGGTGAGCAGGGTCAGTCAGTTCCGCCTTGTCTAGTCCGGTCAGTTTAGTCGGGCTAGTCTAGGTCGGCTAGCTCAGTCAAGTACGCTAGCCACGTGCGGCTAGGTTAGCTCAGTGTGGTGAGCGGCAGCGAGTCACTTTAGTTGGCTTCTTTGGTTGGTTAAGTTTGGCGAGCTCAGTGGGGAGGCGACTTTAGTTAGCAGCATAGTTGGATAAGCTTAGCGAGGTTGGCCTCGTGGGGCTAGTAGTTTACTTCGGTTTGCTTGGCTGGGCTAGTTCCGTCCCGTTGGTCTAGTCCGGTTGGTTTGGCTTAGTTGGTTGAGCTCGGTTGGCTTAGTTATGTTGGCCCGGCTGGTTTAGTTTTGTTTAGTCAGGTCAGTCGCTGGGTCAGTTTAGCTGAGTTGGCTCCGTTCGGTTAGCTGGGTCAGGGTAGCCGCGCTGGGTTAGGTTGGTGCGGTTTTGTCCGTTTCGGTGGATCAATCGGCTTACTTACGCCAGCCTAGTTCGGTCAGAGCTCCGCCGCCTTTGCTCGGTTGGTCTATCTGGGTCCGGTAGGACAGTTCCGCTGAGTTAGCTCAGGTCAGTTGGCTTCGCTAGGTTGGCCGGGGCAGGTTAGTCCGGCTGGGTTGGCTTCGTTGGGTTCGTTAGTTCCGTTGGGCTAGTTTAGTTAGCTCAACGCCGTCCGAGTAGTTTAGTCAGGTCAGCCCAGTGCCTAGTTGGGTTAGTATTAGTCTAGCTGGGCCAGTTTGGTTAGGTTAGCCTAGTCCGGTTAGTTTCGATCAGTCGGCTCAGTTTAGTTGGGTTGGTTTGGTTTCGTGGTCGGTTTCGTTGGGTTGGCTCACGTCGGTTAGCTTACTCCCGACTAGTAAGCTGGGCTAGTCTGGCCGGGTTCGGTTACTTGAGTTAGACCAGCTAAGCTCCGCCAGGTTCGCATGGCTCGGCTAGTTTGGTGCGGTTAGCTGCTTGGCAGGTTTGGCTTGGTTCGGTTCGTTTGGTTGGGCTAGTGTAGTTCGGTGGGGTTAGTTTGGTCCGGTTGGTATCGTTCGGTCGGTTTCGTTCGGTTGGTTTAGTTCGTCCGGCTTAGTTCGGTTAGTTCAGTCCGGTCCGCTCAGTTCAGTTCGGTTAGTTCCGTCCGGTCAGTTCAGTCCGGTTAGTTCAGTCCGGTTAGCTCAGTTCGGCTAGTTAGGTTAGGCTAGTTAAGTTAGGGGAGTTAAGTTCGGGGAGTTAAGTTAGGTGAGTTAAGTTAGGCGAGCTAAGCTAGGCGAGTTAAGTTGGGCGAGTTAAATTTGGCGAGCTAAGTTGGGCGAGCTACGTTGGGCGAGTTGGGTTGGGTTAGTTGAGTTAGGTTCGTTGGTGTTGCGCTAGGCTAGTGATGTTGGGCTAGTTGAGTCCGGCTGGTTGAGTTTGGTTCGCTAAGTTTGGCTAGTTAAATCGGTTTAGTTGTGTTAGGTTAGTTAAGTTAGTTTTGTTATGTCAGGCGAGTTCAATTAGGCGAGCCACGTTAGCTTAGTTAAGTCTGTCAGGTTAGTTAAGTGGCTTTAGGTTAGTTAAGATAGCCCAGCCAAGTTAGCTCAGTTTAGCTAGGTTAGGGGATTTGGGTGAGCTTAGTTGGGTTAGCTTATTTGGGTCAGGTTAGTCGGGCGCGGTTAGTTGGGTGAGGTTAGTTGAGTTAGGTCAGCTGAGTTAGGTCAGTAGAGTTAGGTCAGCTGAGTTAGGTCAGTTGAGTTAGGTCAGTTGAGATTGAGTTAGGTCAGTTGAGTTAGGTCAGTTGAGTTAGGTCAGTTGGGTTTGGTCAGTTGAGTTAGGTCAGTTGAGTTAGGTCAGTTGAGTTTGGTCAGTTGAGTTAGGTCAGCTGAGTTAGGTCAGCTGAGTTAGGTCAGTTGAGTTAGCTTACTTGAGTTTGGTTACTTGAGTTAGGCCAATTGCGTTAGGTTACTTAGTTAGGTTCGGCCAGTTCGGCGAGGTTAGTTAGGTTAGATATGTGAGATTAGTTCGGCTAGTTCGGTTAGTTGGGTTAGTTAAGTTAGGCTAGAAAAGTTAGGCTAGTCAAGTTAGGTCTGGCGAGTTGCTTAGGCTAGTTTAGTTAGGCTAGGTCAGTTAAGTTAGGCGGGTTGGGTTGGGCTAGTTGCGTTAGGTCAAGTTTGGTGAGCTAAGTTTGGCGAGTTCAGTTAGGTGAGTGCAGTTAGGTGAGCTCAGTTAGGTGAGTTGTTAACTAAGTTAGGCGAGTTCAGTCAGGTTAGTTAAGTTAGGCGAGCTAAGTGAGGCTGTTTAAGTTAGGCGAGCGCAGTTGCGTCAGTTAAGTCAGTCAAGTCAGGTTAGTTAAGTTAGGGCAGTTCAGTTAGGTTTGTTGGGTTTGGTCTGCTAAGTTGGGGCATTTTGGTTAGGTTAGTGAAGTGCGCCGAGCTATGTTAGCTTGGTGAAGTTAGTAGGCCAGTGAAGTTAGTAGGCTAGTTAAGCTAGTAGGTTAGTGAAGTTAGTGGGCTAGTGAAGTTAGTAGGTTAGTGAAGTTAGCAGGTTAGTGAAGTTAGCAGGTTAGTGAAGTTAGTAGGCTAGTGAAGTTAGTAGGTTAGTGAAGTCAGTAGGCTAGTGGAGTTAGGTTAGTGAGGTTAGGCTATTGGGCTAGTTGGGTCAGGTTAGCTGAGTCAGTTCAGTTGGGCGAGTGCAGTCGAGTTAGTTTAGTTGAGTGAGTTTAGTTGAGTGAGTTTAGTTGAGTGAGTTTAGTTGAGTGAGTTTAGTTGGGTGAGTTTAGTTGCGTTAGCTTCGTTGCGTTATTTTAGTTGAGTTAGTTTAGTTAAGTTAGTCTAGTGGCGTCAGTTTAGTTCAGTTTGTTAACTCAGTCCGTTGAGCTAAGTTCGCTGGGTTAAGTCCGTTGAGTTAAGTTGGTTGAGTTAAGTTCGTTGGGCTAAGTCCGTTGAGGTAAGTTCGCCGAGTTCAGTTACTTAGTTGAGCTGAGTTAGTTGGGCCAAGTTAGTTGGGCTAGCCTAGGTTAGTTGGGTTCAGTCAGTTGAGTTAGGTCGTTTGGGCTAAGTTAGTTGAGTGAGGTTAGTTGGGTTAAGCTCGCTGGGCTTAGTTGGTTGAGTTAAGTTAGGTAAGCCCAGCTAGTTAAGTTAGTAGCGTGAAGCTAGTCGAGTTAAGTTAGTCGAGTTGAGTCGGTTGAGTTAAGTTAGTTGAGTCCAGTTAGTTGAGTGCAGTTCGCTGAGTTCAGTTAGTTGAGTTCAATTAGTTGAGTTCAGTTAGTTGAGTTCAGTTAGTTCAGTTCAGTTAGTTGAGTTCAGGTAGTTGAGCTCAGTTAGTTGAGTTCAGTTAGTTGAGTTCAGTTAGTTGCGTTCAGTTAGTTGAGTTCAGTTAGTTGAGTTCAGTCAGTTGAGTTCAGTCAGTTGAGTTCAGTTAGTTGGGTTCAGTTAGTTGGGCTCAGTTAGTTGAGTTCAGTTAGTTGAGCTCAGTTAGTTGAGTCCAGTTGGTTGCGTTCAGTTCGCTGAGCTCAGTCAGTTGAGTTCAGTTAGTTGAGTTCAGTTAGTTGAGTCCAGTTGGTTGCGTTCAGTTCGTTGAGTTCTGTTCAGTCAGCTGAGTTCAGTCAGTTGAGTTCAGTTCGTTGAGTTCAGTAAGCTGAGTGCAGTTAGCTGAGTTCAGTAAGTTGAGTTCAGTCGGCTGAGTTCAGTTAGTTGCGCTGAGTTAGTTGAGCTGAGTTAGTTGAGCTGAGTTAGTTGAGCTCAGTTAGTTGAGCTCAGTTAGTTGAGTTCAGTCAGGTGGGTTCAGTTAGTTGAGTTCAGTTAGTTGAGTCCAGTTCGCTGAGTTCAGTTCGTTGAGTTCAGTTCGTTGAGTTCAGTTGGTTGAAGAAGTTAGCTGAGTCGAGTTAGTTGAGTTCGCTGAGCTGAGTTAGTTGGGCCAAGTTAGTTGAGGCAAAGTAGTTGCGTCAAGGAAGTGGAGCTAAGTAAGTGGAGTTAAGTAAGTGGAGCTAAGTAAGTGGAGCTAAGTGAGTGGAGCTAAGTAAGTGGAGCTAAGTAAGTGGAGTCAAGTTAGTGGAGTAAAGTTAGTGGAGTAAAGTTAGTGGAGTTAAGTTAGTGGAGTTAAGTTAGTGGAGTTAAGTTAGTGGAGTTAAGTTAGTGGGGTTTAAGTCGGTGGCGTTTAAGTCGGTGGCGTTTAAGTTGGTGGAGTTTAAGTTGGTGGAGTTTAAGTTGGTGGGGTTAAGTGAGTGGAGTTAGGTGAGTGGAGTCAAGTGAGTGGCGTTGGGTGAGTGGAGTTAGG